ATTATTAATAGTAAAGTTGTAAAAAAAAGTTATTTTAAAAATTATAATAATTAAAGTAAACTAAATTATAATTATATTTTTATGAAATTTAATAATAAAATTTAAATAAATAAAAAGATTTAATAAATAAATATTAGATGTATATTTCCAAAAATATAATAAATTTAATTATAAAAAGAATTGTATGTTATTTTTTTAAGTTTACGTGAGATATAAATTAAAATATAAAAAAATATAGAAAAAAAAGTTATAAAGTTATTAAAGTAAAAAAGAATAATAATATATATATATATATATATATATATATTTATATATATATAATTCATTTTTTTATATTTAGAATTATTATTTTTATAATATATAATTTTTAAATTGCTTTAATAATTTAATTTTTTTTTTTAAATAAATTAATATTAATAATATTAATTTGTTTAAAAATATATTTATTTTAAAATTAAATGAATTTTATAAATTTAATTTTTTTTTTTTATTTTTGAATATATAATATTTAAATTAATTACAAAAAAAAATATTCTTTTTCAAAAAAAATATATACCAGCGCGAATAATAAGAAATATAAATAAAATTTACTATTTCTGCTTAAATATTATTTTAGTTTAAAAATAATTTATTAAAATAAAACAAAAAAAATAATGAAAAAATAAAAACAAAGAGGTTTATTTATTGTTTTCGAAGGATTAGATAGGTGTGGAAAAACAACTTAATCAGAAAGATTACTTTAATATATATAAGGTTTATAAAAAACAGCCTAAATAAAGAAATTTCCTGATCGTACTACAATGATTGGATAATAAATAAATAATTTTTTAAAAGGTGGATAAACATATACTGATTAAACTATTCATTTATTATTTTCTGCTGATAGATGGGAAAATTAAATGGATATAGTGGAAAAAATCAACTCTGGAATAACTATTATATCTGATCGATACGCTTATTCAGGTGTATGTTACTCTACAGCTAAAGGTTTAAATGTGGAATGGTGTAAAAATTGTGATAAAGGACTTCCTTAGCCTGATATTATTTTTTATTTGTACGCTTCGGAAGAAGTGACAAGTAAAAGAGGAGGGTTCGGTGAAGAAATTTATGAGAATAATTCCTTTTAGAAAAAAGTCAGATTCGAATTTGAAGGATTGCTAAGAAATGAAAAAAATGTTGTCAGAATTGACACTGAAAAAAGCTTAGATGAAGTCCATTAAGAAATTAAAGACCACTTAGATGTTTTAATGTAAAAAAGACTTAAATGTGAACTTGATAAATTATGGATGGAGTGATTTTTTTTCATTCTATATATATATATATTTAAATATATATCTGTCGAAAAATATGACTCTTTTAATATTTTTTTATATATATTTACTTTATTTGTATTTTTTAAGTTTATATTTGTAAAAATACTTTATTAAAGGTTTTTTTTTTAAATTTATATGTTTTAAATTTTATAGAAATTATTTATGTTTATGTAGTTTATGGTATTAGTATTTTTTTATTATATTCTGTTTATATATATATATATATATATATATATATATATATATATATATATATATATATATATATATATTTATATATATATTATTTATTTTAATCATATGAATATTTTTAAAATAAATATTATTCTTTATTATATTTAAATTTAAATTTTGTTTTATTTATTTGTTTTATAATTTTTATTATTTAATTTTTCTTTTAATTTATTTTAATACGATTAATTTTTTTTTACTTATAATTATTTTTAAATATTTATAGCTCTTTAAAAAAATTAATGTTTTTGTTAGTTTAAAATTAAACAACTAAAATAATGAAATTAATTTACTTGTATAAATAACACATTAGGAAAAGACTTTAATAATTAATAATATTTTTTTTTTAATTTAAAATAAATAATAAAAAAAATTGTATTTTAATTAATAAAATAAAAAAATTATTATATTTATTTTATTTTCAAGATTAGATTCTTAAAAAAAAAAAAAAAAACATTTTATAAAAATTAAAAAAAAAAAAATGGAAATCGAAAAACCAGCAGTAAAAAAAATAAATGAAAACAAATGAGAATATAGCCATTAATCCAAAAAAAAAAAAAAAAGGACGCTTTATCATCACAAACCGAGGAAGATTTATACATTCAAATGAAAGAATTAGAAAAACAACTAGAATTTCTCGACATATAAGAAGAATTTATAAAAGACGACTAAAAAAAGCTCAAACGTGAACTAATTCGTTCAAAGGAAGAGCTTAAAAGAATCCAATCAGTCCCTTTAGTAATCGGTCATTTTATAGAAATGATAGACGAATTACATGCTTTAGTATCATCTTCTGGAGGTTCAACTTATTACGTGAGAGTATTATCGACATTAGATAGAGAATAATTAAAGCCTTCAACCAGTATTGCGTTACATCGTCATTCACATTCTATTGTTGATATATTACCCAGTGAAAGTGATTCGTCAATATAAATGATGCAAGTTACTGAAAAACCGGATGTTTCATATTAGGATATAGGAGGTTTGGATTAATAGAAATAAGAAATGAAAGAAGCAGTTGAATTACCACTAACTTATCCAGAACTTTACGAATAAATAGGAATAGATCCTCCAAGAGGTGTCCTTCTGTATGGACCACCAGGTACTGGAAAGACTATGATGGCAAAGGCTGTAGCTCATCATACTACAGCGGCTTTTATAAGAGTTGTGGGATCGGAGTTTGTTTAGAAATATTTAGGAGAAGGACCAAGAATGGTCAGAGATGTTTTCAAATTAGCAAGAGAAAATTCACCAAGTATTATTTTTATTGATGAAGTAGATGCTGTAGCAACAAAAAGATTCGATGCATAAACTGGAGCTGATAGAGAAGTCTAAAGAGTTTTAATTGAAATTTTAAATTAAATGGATGGATTCGATTAAACAACTAATGTAAAAGTTATTATGGCTACTAATAGATAAGATACACTAGATCCAGCTTTATTAAGACCGGGAAGATTGGATAGAAAAATAGAATTCCCGTTACCAGATAGAAGATAAAAAAGACTAATTTTCTAAACTGTATCAGCAAAAATGAATATGGCAGAAGATGTAGATTTAGAATCATGTAAAAAAATAAAATAATTATATATTTAGATATATATATATATATATATATATATATATATATATATATATATATATATATATATATTTATTTTATATTTTTTTTTTTAGATGTTAGTAGACCTGAAAAATTATGTTGTGCTGATATTACCGCTATTTGTCAAGAAGCCGGTATGTAAGCTGTTAGAAAAAACAGGTTATTAATTTATATTTTTTCTGTTATTTTTATTTTTTATTTATTAGATATGTTATTACATAAAAAGATTTTGATAAAGCCTATAAAATTGTTATTAGGAAATCAGATAAAGAATATTAATTTTATAAATGATATTTTTTTTATTTTAGATATAATTTACCATAAATTCAGATATTTATGTTATTACATATATATTTTATAAACATATAAAAACATAGAATTCTTATATTTGCGTTTTTTTTATTAATTTTTTATAAGAATATTAATTTTTAATATTTACATGTTTATAATATTTAAATCTAATTATTTCTCAATGGTTGAATAATATATATATATATATATATATATATAATATTTATAAAAATAAAAAATAACAATTTGAATTTTTTTTATAAAAATAAATAAATATATTTATTTAACCTTAATTTCTTATATAAAAATAATTATTTTCTTTACTTAATATATATATTATTATTATTAGTTTTTTTGTTTTTTTTTTTAAAAAAATATTAAAGAAAAAAATGCAATAATCTTAATAAAATAACTCTAATAATGATGATAATTATATGGATTTTTTTCAAAATTTTTAAAAAAATGATTTTTATGATTAAATAGCAAACCCATTAGAAGATTCTGACTTTTTTAATACAAATTCACAATAAAAAAAATAAAAAGTTATTTCAAGAGGCGAATCTTAATTACAAAATTTAAGTAAATTTAGTAGTTTTAAATAAAATAGTTAAAAATAAGATGATAAATCTAATAAAAATTCAAATATTTTTGGAAATATAAAAAATCCAATGGAAGATTCTCCTTAAGATTCTTAAAAATTTAATTAAAGTGAAGATTCTAAAATAAATTTTTGGTAATAAAAAAAAAATGAAGATATTATTATGAATAACTTCTAAAAAAAAAACTCTAATCCCTTTATATAATAAGATAATACTTTACTTAAATAAAATTCTTATCTATAATAATAATAAAAATCATAGACTCTTAAATAATAAAAAGAATAAGCATTTGATTTAGATGCTTTCGGTTAAGTTTCTGAAGCTTCAGGGGGCGAAGATTCGAAAGTCGAAGCTATGAAATACGGCTTTGTGGAAGAATATGAAGATAGTGTCAAAACCAGCAAAGTAAAGTATGAAAATAGTCGAAATTTAGATGATTTTGATGATTTATTACCTTCAGAATAGGATTTATTGAAAATAAAAAAAGGTTAATAATATAATGGGTATTAATTAAAACATATGTAAGAGTCTTAAGTAAAATAAAAAACTAGTGGAGAATAAATAATAAAGCAAAATAAAAGTAAAGAAGATTTTGAGGAAAATCCATTTGCTTCAGTTGCTTAAGCATAATAAGTTTAGGGAAAATAAAATAAAATTTTATAAGCATAGAGTATTATATCTTTTTAGTCAAAAGGATAATAAATAAAAGGACTTGAAAATAAATTGGAAAAAAAAGAAAATAATTAAAGAAATAATATTTAAATTGAAAATGAAAACATTAAAAATAGTGAATGTAATATTAAAAAAGAAGAATAAGATAAATCTTAATAATCAAATGTTGTTAAGTAAATTTAAAGCTAAATTTTATCTAAAAATGAAATAGTTGTAATTATATTAATATTATAATTATTTTTATATTATTTTAAGAGTTTAAAAAAAATTAATTCATAATAAATAATAGAAAATAATAATAATATTAATAATAATAATAATAATATTGATAATAATATTAGTATCGAAAATTAAAAGTTAGATTTAGATAATTTTGAATTTGCTAATAATTTTTAAGTAAATGATAATTTAAATATAAAATTATCAATAATCAAAGAAGAAATGGAAGATATTTATAATTCTAATTATACTTAAGAATAATGGGTATTTTTTAAAAAATATTAATTATATATAAAAAAAAAGAGTATTAAATTAAAACAGTATTAAAAAGAATAAGAAAAAATACAATAAAAATTATATACTATTAAATAATAAATATAAAACTTTAATGAAAAATTTAAAAAAATAAAAAAGCTGGAAAAGAAGATTTAATTCAAATAAGAAAGCAGTTTTAAATTATGACGAATAATTAAAATGAGATAAAGATTTTAAAAGAATAATATAAAAATAATTAAGTAATTATTTTACATTGTGAATATAGAAAAAATATATAATTAATTGAAAAATAACTTATTGAAGTTACATAATATTAATAATAAATAAATTAAAAAATTAATAATGTAATTCAAAAAAAATTACATATTATATGTATATTTATTAAATTTATTTCAATATTTATTTATATAATTAGAAAAATGAATAAAGTCTGTAATAATATTAAATAGAAATTATTCAATTAAAAAATTAATTAAAATAAGAATAAGAAAAAGATAAAAATAATTCTATAATAGATGATTTACATAAAGAAATATGCAAATTAAAAGAAGAATTTTATAAAAAATAAGAGGAAAATAGTTATGATGCTAATTTAAACAATGTTCTTTTGGAAAAAATATAGTTAATTGAAAAAAATACGTTTGAATAGAAAAAATAAATCTTAAAATTAGATGAACATCAAAAAGAAATATAGAAATAATTTTCTAATATGAGTAATATGGAATATACTATATCCCCTAAAATAAATAATTAATCCAATTAAAAATAATAAATAGATGAAAATAATAATATATCTTAGGCTTTTTCGGAAAATCAATTCTAAGATTATAAAATAGAAAAAAATTCAGAAAAATCTTAAATTAGTTTAGAAAGAATTTAATATTAAAATGATTTAAATAATGATAACAATGTATAAAATCTTAAAAATTTATATGATAAAACTGCAGCACATTGTAATTTGTATGATTAAAATAGCCATTTATAAAATATATATTAAGATAATTATACAGTACTAAAAGCTTATGAAATAGCTGAATAAAATAAAAAATAAAATAACTAAATTAATGATATAATTGATTTTTCGATTAATTCATTTAAAAATAACTTTATAGGTCCTAGTTCATTAATGTAAATAAAATATAAAAAATATTAATATATATAAATAATAAAAAACAATAATAAAGATTTAAATTATAAACATATAAATATATATATTATATAAATATATATATATATATATTTATAAAAATTTTTTTAGTCCAAATCCTTTAAAAGTTAATATAAATAAACAAAGACAAATTAAATTTGAATAAATATAAGAAGTTGAAAGATAATGGTATAATTAAAATTTAAAATAATAATCTGGTAGAATAAATTAAGATAAAAAAACAATTAAAGAGTCCTATATTTTATAAAATTGTATTCTTTATGATTCTTTTGAATTTCAAATTAGTGCAAAATATAATTTTGTTAAAAATAAATAAAATAAAGAATATATTCTAAAAATAAGTCTTACTTATACGAATAAATTAAGTGTAAATATAAATTCCATTTTAATAGCTTTATCTTATTGTAAAGGTTATTTATATATATTTTTTTAATAAATTAAATATAAATATATTTAAATATAATTTATTATATAAATAAAAAAATAAAAATAAAATAAATATAAATACATATTAATATAAATATCTATATTATATATATATATATATATATAATTTATATATACATATATTTAATTTATATATACATATATTTTACTTAATAAATAGGATATTTAACTGTTCTAGCTGATCCTCCTTAAATAAATCAGATGAATTTAAAACCTTAAGAAACTATTAATTAAGATATTTATATTCCTAGTTTTAAAATTGATTTATAAATGATTATGGCTTAAATAGCATATAAGTAATATATTTTTTTATTTAAATATTATATATTTATTTAGTACAGGATAAAAATCTTATAGAAGTTGTATATTAATTCCTTGTTCCATTAATAAATATTTAAATATGGAATTTATTAGTAAATAAATATTTGAAGAATTGTGGGAATAAAATAATGATTATGCAATTTGTTGTAATGGTAATTATTTTAATAACCATCTAGTTAAAAATAGTGAGGACTTTAAAAATTTATATAATTGTTTGATTGAATTAACTGATGATATTCAGAATATCAATTATGATTAGAATTATAGAGAATATGGAGGAGCTTTCAAACTTTTCGATAATAAAGATTATGTGTATTTGATTAAAATCACCGCGTTTTAAAATGAAGAAAATAAAGAAAAAGTAGCTTTTTAACTTTCGTTTTAAAAAAATGAGAATGACGTAGATACATCTTATTGTAAAAAAATTATTTAAGTCTTATTATAATAGTTATTTTATATATATTTTGAATGAAAAAAATAAAATTTTAGAAATAAAAATTTTTTTTTTTTGATAAATTTAAAAACGATAATTAAATATAAATATCTTTAATAAAATATATATTTATATAATCATATATATATATAAATAATAATTTTACAATAAATAAATAATATATAATTTTATATTTATATTCATATATATATTTTTTTTATATTTTACTAAATAATATATAATTTCTATTATAAAAATATATTTTTTATAAAGTATTATTATTATTATTATTATTTTTAAAAAATACATATATATTTTTAAATGAAACATTCTAAGACATAATTAATTTATAATCTCATAATATAATGAATTTACAATATTTTGAAATTAATTTTTTAAATATTACTTTAATTTATTTTTATGTCAAAAATTTATCTATATTTTTTTTTTTGGATTAAGTATCTAACTAATAAAATTTTTTTTTTTTTTTTTATAAATATCCTATTTTTCTTATAAAATTTAATTATTATTATTATCATTTTAAATTTCATTCCATTCCTATATTTTTATATTATCTTTTTTAGAATTATTTAGCAAAGTTATAGTTTTAACCTATTTATTTGGAGATGAACAAACTGATAAATTTACTGATTTTCCTTAATCATATATACTATTTACAATAATCTATTTTTAACCGTAATAATGTACTTCTTCCATTTAAGAAAATTTACTTATTTAAGAAAATTTACTTACTTCTGAATTTTATAAATATTCCTTTTATATAATTGTTTAATAATAGTTTTTACCACATTTAATTTCATCTAAAATTTTTTGTATTTGATATATATCGGGTCTTTTATTATATTAAATTTGTAAACATGAGGAAATTAAAAAGCATAGTTAAGGTGAATATATATTTTTAATTTATTATAAATAGGAAAATGTTAAAGAGAAATTTATGCATAATGAGTTTTTTTAATGATTTATATAATATATATTTTTACAGTTAAATATTATTTGTAATATGAGTATTCCTAAGCTAAAAATGTCAGTTTTTATATCATTTTTAGATTTTTTTTCCATATTTTTCAAATTTACTATTTATTCGGGAGATAATAAAAAATTGTTTTTTATAATTTATGTTTATTGATTATTTATTATATAATATATGGCCTAATTATAATTTGAAAAAGGATATTTTTCTTGACATTATAAAAGAGAAAGTTTAATAGAATTGTTTTCATCAAGATATATTGTCTCAGGTCTTATATCTCCATGAAATAATTAATTTTCGTGTAATTTTTAAAGAGCATTTATTATACTTTAGAAATAAAATAAAATATCTGTTTCTTTTATATATTTTTCATTATTTGAAATTTATTATGTCATATTAGATAGTGTATTTTAATAGTCTTTAGTTAAAATTTAGATTTTGTTTAAATTTTCGTTATAAAATATTTCTATGTTTATTAAATTATTATGAATTATATTTTGAAGTTATTTTGTTTTGGCTTGAAATTATTAATATAGTTGTTAGATTTAAAATTATTTTTCAAACAAAACTAAGTTTGTATATTAAATTGAGTGAGATTTTAATAAATATTAATCGATGCTATTTTAATCTATATAAGATATTTATTAGTTTATATTATCTTATTAATATAAAAAATAAATTATTTAAGGATTTTATATTTAAGAAGCACCCATTTATAATAATTTTTAAACAAAAATAAAGTAAAAATATATTATTATATAAATAATTTATAATAAAAAATTATAATATTAAACTCATATTTTTATAAAAAAATTTAAACAATAAATAATTTTTATATTATGTTTTTAATAAAATTTTAAGATGAAATTAAGAAATAAAAAAATATATGGTATAAAGAAAATTATATAGAATAAATAAAAATTTTATAAAGAAAATAAAAATTAAGTAAATTATAAAAGAAAATATTTAAAATATATATAAAAAATAATATTAAAATAAAAATATATATATAAATATATATATATATATATATATATTATATATATATTTATATATATCTTTATTTATATATATAATAATTTTTTTTTTTTATAAAAAAAAAATAACATTATAAATTATTTAAAATAAAAATGAAAACAATATTTTTTTATTTAATAATTTATAATTTAAAAAACAAAATATATATATTCATAAAAAAATATATATAATAAATAATAATAATAAAATAAAAATTAATCAATAATAAAATAGGAAAAAAAAACAAGAAAAAATATAATAATTATAAATAAAATGTATAAATTCGGTAATAAACTAACATTTAATTTTTCATCCCAAAAGAATCCTTTCTAAAAAACATTTAAAAATCTAAAAGTAGACGGAAAAAGTTACAATTTCTATAGTCTTCCTGATTTAAACGATTCTCGTGTAGGTAAATTAACCCCTCTTAAAAAAAAAAATTAAAATCAATAAATATATATATATAGAAAAACTTCCTTATTCAATAAGAGTATTACTAGAGAGTGCTGTAAGAAATTGCGATGAATTCAATGTAAAAGCCTAAGATGTTGAAAATATATTATCTTGGTAAAAAAATGCTTAAAAATAAATAGAAATTCCTTTTAAACCTGCTCGTGTAATTCTCCAAGATTTCACAGGAGTTCCTGCTGTTGTCGATTTGGCTGCCATGAGAGACGCTATGGTGCGTTTAGGTGGAGATCCCAATAAGATAAATCCTTTGTGTCCCGTAGATTTGGTTATTGATCATTCAGTTTAGGCTGATGTGTATAAAGATAAGCAGGCCTATGAGAAAAACGAGGAGATCGAATTTTAGAGAAACTATGAAAGATTCGAATTCTTGAAATGGGGACAAAAAGCATTAAACAATTTTTAGATTGTACCCCCTGGAAGTGGTATTGTACATTAAGTTAATTTAGAATATTTAGCTAGAGTAGTGTTTTAGAATGAATAGAACGTACTATATCCTGATTCTCTTGTAGGTACAGATTCACATACTACTATGATTAATGGTCTAGGAGTCTTAGGTTGGGGAGTAGGAGGTATTGAAGCCGAAGCAGTGATGCTTGGATAGTGTATTTCGATGGTTTTACCTGAAGTAGTGGGCTTTAGATTACATGGAAAACTTAAATAAAATGTAACTGCTACTGATTTGGTCCTTACATGTACTTAAATGTTAAGAAAAAGAGGTGTCGTAGGTAAATTTGTGGAATTCTTTGGACCTGGTTTAGATAATTTGACATTAGCAGATAGAGCTACTGTGGCTAATATGGCACCTGAGTATGGTGCTACTATGGGTTATTTTCCTATTGATAGTTAGTCAGTTTCTTATATGAAATTAACAGGTAGAGATGATCATAAAATTAAAACTATAGAAAATTATTTGAGAGAATAGTAACTTTTTAGAACTAATGAAACTAAAGAACCTGTTTATACTGGAGATGTACTCGACTTAGACTTAGGAAGTGTAGAACCATGTATTTCAGGACCAAAAAGACCACAAGATAGGGTAACTGTGAAAGACTAAAAGACTGAATTTTAATAAATTCTAACTAATAAAGTTGGGTTTAAAGGATATGGATTGAATAGCGATTAAGTTAAAAAAAGTCATAGTTTTACATATTAAGGGTAAAATTATACTCTTTAAAATGGATCTATTGTCGTCGCAGCCATTACTTCTTGTACTAATACTTCTAATCCAGATTCTATGATTGCTGCTGGTTTATTAGCTAAAAATGCTGTGGAGAAAGGATTAAAGTAAAATATAAATATATATAAATATATATATATATATATATATATATATTATATATATATATATATATATATTATAAATGTTTTTTATAATTATAGTGTAAAACCTTATATTAAGACAACTTTAAGTCCTGGTTCAGGTGTTGTAACTAAATATTTTAATGAAAGTGGTGTTTAGAGTTATTTAGAGAAATTAGGATTTAATACTACAGGTTATGGATGTATGACTTGTATAGGAAATACTGGTGAATTAGAACCCGAAGTAGATTAAGCAATTAAATAATCAGATATAGTTGCCGCTGCAGTACTTTCAGGAAATAGAAATTTTGAAGGAAGAGTTCATCCTTTAACTAGAGCCAATTATTTGGCTTCTCCAGCTTTAGTTGTAGCTTACGCTTTAGCCGGAAGAGTTGATATTGACTTCGAAACTGAACCAATAGGAAAAGATAAATAGGGAAAAAATGTATTTTTAAGAGATATATGGCCAAATAGAGAAACCACATAAAATATAGTAAATTCTAGTCTAAAAACAGAAATGTTCAAAGAAGTATATAATAAAATATCATAAGGGACTCCAAGATGGAATGCTTTGAAAGCCTCAGACTCAAAAGTTTATGACTGGAAAGAATAATCTACTTACATTCATAATCCTCCATTTTTTGCCTAAACTGAATTGAACCCTAAACCTGTTTAAAATATCAAAAATGCTTATTGTTTATTGAATTTAGGAGATTCTATTACAACCGATCATATATCCCCAGCTGGAAATATTGCTAAAAATTCACCAGCAGCAAGATATTTAAATGAAAGAGGAATATAATAGAAAGACTTTAACACTTATGGCGCAAGAAGAGGAAACGATGAAATTATGGCAAGAGGAACATTCGCTAATGTAAGACTTATTAACAAAATGATAGATAAAGTAGGACCAGAAACAATACATATACCTTCAGGAGAAAAAATGGCAGTTTTTGATGCAGCAAATAGATATTAAAAAGAAAAACATTAACTTATAGTGTTAGCTGGATAAGAATATGGATCTGGTTCATCTAGAGATTGGGCAGCTAAGTATATAAAAAAAAAATATTATTATAAATATATAATAATCTATTAATAAATTTATATATTATTATAATTATATATTTATAATAATATATATTTAAATATTTATATATATATATATATATATATTTTTATATTTATCTTTTTATATAATTATTTATATATAATTTTTTTTTTTTTAGAGGACCTTATCTTTAAGGAATTAAAGCTGTTATTGCTTAAAGTTATGAGAGAATTCATAGATCTAATTTAGTTGGTATGGGTATTTTACCTTGCGAGTTTTTAAATTGTTAAAATGCAGATAGTTTAGGTTTGACTGGAAAGGAAAAGTTTAGTATTGATTTAAAAAATGGAAATTTAAAAGTTAATGAAGTTTTAAATGTTATAACCGATAATGGAAAGACTTTTTAGGTTAAGGCAAGACTTGATACAGATGTTGAAGTTGCATATTATTAAAATGGAGGTATTCTATAGTATGTTTTAAGAAAACTAGTTAAAGGAGAAGTTTCTTCTTGATTTTATTTAATGATTGTTTAGAATTTTTTTTTTATTGTTAAATTTTTTCTTATTATCTTTATTTAGAATTTAATTTTTTTTTTTTTTTAATTATATATAAATATATTTGAATGAATTAAATAATATAAATAATTAAAATACAAATTTATTTATATAAATAAATTATTTAAGTCAAAAAACTAAAAATATTAATATAAATGTATATTTTACTTTTTTTTCTTTTTTTTTTTTTTAAAAAAATTTACAATCTATAAAAAGAAAAAAATCCTCAAATTTTTAAATATAATTTTTTTATATTTTTATTAATTTTTTTTTTTTTTTCTTAAAAATAATTCAAATACCCGGTTTATCTACAATATTAATATTATTTATAATATGATTATAAATTTATAAAAAGTCTTATTTCTTTAAAGCTAAATTTATATTTTTTAATTCATTACATATTCCAATTCTGACGTTAGCTAATTTAAAGCCTATAGACTATAAAAATTTTAAATAATCTTATAAATAATCACATATAGTCATATTTATTTTTTCTAAATTAGAATATTATTAAAACAAAAACCTAAAAACCTTAATACATATAAAATTCATGTAATTAAGTTTTCTATATATTCTAGAAACATATAATTTCTTAATAAAACCACTTTTTAGTTCTATATTAGGGTTAACATTAATTTAACTAAATTAAATTTAGGCAAAACCAATTTCTATGTTTTGTTTGAATTTTGTTTCTATATAAATTCTATAAAAAACAGTTTTAGCTTATTAATTATTATTTTAAAAACAAGAATTTAATATATTAAAATTCATTTATTGTATAAAAGGTTTATTTTTATTTATTATTGCGTTCGAATTAGAACTTAATCTTGATAAAAAATTATTCGAATCATAAGATAAATAGGAAACATCAGTATATTTACTTTAAAATTGACTTGAATTTAAATAATAACTTCCTATAGTTGATTTTCTTTTACTTGTATTGACATTGTTAGATATATTATTGTATATAATTTAATCTTATTTTTTTTAATCTTATTATATTTATTCTAATATACTTTAATTGTATATATTATCGAAATTAGTATGAAGATAAAAAATATCGGTATCATTATTTATTAAATCAACGTATTTTAGGATCAAGTATTCGTCTATAAATGCATTTAAAATTTCGAAATGTATTTAATCATCCTTTGGTAGTTTTGTTATTTATAAACTTTTTAAATTATTCGAAATATTTAATGGTTAACATATTTGGTTGTTTTTTTAGAGTGAACTTTAGCCTATTTTTAAAAACCTTTGTCCTTATGATTTCGAATTTGTTAAGTTTTCTTTTATTTCTTTTGGTTTTATTATATTATATTAAAGATATTAGTCTTTTTATTGTAATTCGATTTCTTTGTTTAACTTTTCTATATCTTCTTTATATTTGTTTTTTTTTAATATATATTATTATTATTCCATTTTATTTTAAATATATGTAATAAATTTAAATTAATAAAAAACAAATAAGAAGTAAATAAAAATACATATATTTTTATTATTAAGTTATAAAATAAATATATTTTTTTATAATAAAAAATACAAATCAATAAATCTTTATATAAATATAAATTATTATATATTTAAAAAAAAAAAAAAATTAACAAAAAATAAAAAATATTTATAAATAAAAAAAAAATATTTATATATAATAAAATGGATAAATAAAAATAAATAGAAGATCTTTTTTTATACAAATATTTTTATAAAGACGAGAAGAATTTCGACCAAAACACAATTTAATAATACCAAACAATAATCAACTGTTTAAATTCTGACTAAATAAAATTAAAAGAACTAATATAATTTATTCATTAAAAAAGAATAATTCCCGATTCTGCTCGTAGTTTATTATGGCGAATTTTATTAAATTACTTACCTTAAAACCGTAAATTATGGATTTAAATACTAGAAAATAATACAAAACACTATGAATAATTAGTTGATGAATATATAGTTTAGAAAATAAAAAAGGGAAAAGATTAATAATAATAGGAGGATTTTTCACAAAACAATAATAATTTTAAATAAATCACTTTTTTAAGTTGCTAAGATCACCCTTTAAATAGGAAACATTCTTCCTCATGGAATAACCATTTTTAAGATTTAGAATTATGGAAAAAAATATAAAAAGATACTTCAAGAACTAGAAGGGAATATTATTAATAAAAGTGTGAAAAAATTAAACTTTATAATGGACAAATAGCCAACTTAGCTAAAAAAAATGAAAACGAGGAAACATATTAGGATATTATTACAAGAATTCTATTTTTATTTACAAAACTTAACCCTTAATTAGGCTATGTTTAAGGTATGAATGAAATAATAGGTTTAATTTTTTAGTGTTTTAATAGTGAATAATAAGAATATTTAAAATATAAAGCAGAAAGTGATTCATTTTATTGCTTTTCGATAATAATGAGTAAAATAAAACCAATGTTTAACGTATATGAGTCTTAAAGTGATCATTAGAAACATATATTAGAGAAGTTTTTAGATTTATTTAGAAAAGTAGATAATAATTTATATAATCATTTCAAAAAATTAAACATAGACCCAAAATGTTATTGTTTAAGATGGATGTTAGTGTTTTTTTGTCAAGATTTTTAGTATTTTTAGGCTTTATAGATATGGGATTCACTTATTTTAACAGACAATATTGTCGAATTTGTGAATTATATATGTGTAGCTATACTATATATTAATAGAGATGAACTTATATAGAAAAATTATGGAGAAATTTTAATTAAATTGTAAAATATTTCAGATATGGATATAGAAAAATTAACAAGAATTGCTTTTAATTTATATAATTAATATTCTAATAAATGAGTGGATGATTTAAAATAAATAAATATATATATATATATATATATATATATATATATATAAATATATATATAAATATATAATTTTTTTATATAATTAATTAATTAAATATTATAAATAACCAATATAAAAATGGGATAATAGAATTCTTTTTAAATAAATCGAAAAATATATGAAGATTAAGATTATGATATAATTTCTAATTATTCTGATATAAGATATGGTTAAATGAAACTTCTATAATCTAAATAATATCCAGATGATTAATATGCACTTATATAAAAAACATATTTCGATGAAATTTTATGGGAATAGAATGTTGAGATGTCTAAAATTATGTTTTTCTTAGATCACCCTAATTTAGTCAAATTAATAAATTTTAACTCAAAAAATTCTTCGGAATATTTATGTTCATAGCATTATCAAATAACTTTCCTTTATTAATATTTTCATTATGATCTTTCTTAGGAAATTAGATCTCGTTAATAGGTATCTTTAGACTTTAGAGAAGACGAATTATGGTATTTATTTATTTCATTGATTAAAGTATGTACATATTTATGCCAAAAATATGTATTTCATGCTGATATAAGACCATACAATATACTGTTGACTGAAGAAGGCTTTGTTAAATTAGGAGAGGTGTTTGGAGCTTAAAAAAATTGCGCTTTTTCTCTAATATAAAGTGGAAATTTAAATGAATATTACATATCACCTTAATAATTGACGGAATTAGGTTAATTTAGCGGGAATTCAGCGAAAATAAATGAAAAGAGTTGCGTATTTTCTATAGGAATGGTAATGTTAGAATGCCTTAGTTTAAAAAATGTAAGTAATTTATGTTATGATAGAGAAAACTATATAATTAAATGGTAAATAGTGGAAGAATTATTAGAAATAGGAAAAAGTAAATATTCTGAGAATTTAATAAATTGTATTAAATTATGTTTAATTTAAGAAGAAGTAAAAAGAAATAATTTTTAAGAATTAGATTTTTATATATAAAAAAATATGGAAAGAAGAAGAATAATAGATAGATTATCTTTTGTAGAAATAAAAAATATCGAAGATAATTCTTATATTTTAAATAATAATAATAATAATAATAATAATAATAATAATAATAATAATAATAATAATGAATTTTTTTTGAAAAATTAATAAAAAAATATTGCTTCATTAATTTAAAAATAATATTAATCATAAGATTTTCCAATTAAAATAAAAAGTAAAATATATTATGATATAAATGATATAACTAAATATAATAATTAAGAAAATAAATCTAAATAATCTTAAAATATTAATAATTAAAAAATATAATAAAATGAATAAAATATAATAAATAATAATAATAAAAATATTAATGATGTAAATTCAAATTTATATAATAAATAATTAAAAAAATAATATATATATATATATATTTATATTTATATTTATATTTATATTTATATTTATATTTATATTTATATTATTAATTTATATTTTAATATTTTTTTTTACATATTTTTTTTATTAATAATTAAAAGAATCATTTTAATAATCCTGAAGATTCTATAAAAAAAGTTAATACTGTATAATATATTGAAAACAAAGCAACTTTTTAATAATCTATTTTAGATGATTATTAACATGCTTCCTAGTCTAATTAATAAGAATAATTAGTGATATTTTAACCCTAATATTAGGATATTATTAAAAATTAATTCTAAGAAGTTAATTTACCTTAATATTAAGAATTATGCTAGCCAGTTTTAACAACTTTTCTTTAACCAGTTCAATAATACATTCCTATTTAATAATCATTAAGAACTGAAAATATTTAAAATTTTCAAATTTAAGAAGTTTAACCTATTCATTATTAATATTTACCTCTTGTTTAAAATGTTTCTAATTCAGTTTAGGTTTATGATTAAGATTTCGGAAATTCGATTGTTTAATAGCCTGTTTATAGCTAAGTTTATATTTAGGATTATTAATAAGTAAGTACTCCTTAATAATAATATATTTAAAGTTGATATTGATTAAAATATATTTAAATATTTCGAAAAATGTTAATAATTTTGAAATATAAATAATATAAATTATATATTATATATATAATAAAAAAAAGAAAAATACTTTTATTTTAAATATATATGTAATTTTCTAAAAATTTAAATGATTTTTTTTTATTTATTTCGAAAATGATTATATTCATAATAATATAAATAATACTTTTTAATATTATAATCAATAAAAAAAATAATAAAATAAAAGAAAAATTATTAATATGTCTATTTATTAATTTTAGTTTAAAAATAAAAAAATTATATACATATATATATATATATATATATAAATATATATTTATATATTATTTTTAAATAAAAAGATATTTATTTTTTTATTAATTTTATTTGACTAAAAGAAATTCTTAAAATAATGAATACAAATAATATACAAATTATTTTTTTTATTAAAAATTATAATCATTTTAAAGATGTTTTATCCATTTATTTAATTAAAACTTTTACAAATCTTCTTATATTAATATTTTCTTTAATTAAATTAATAGGCATCATATTTATCATTTATATTGTTCTATTTAACTTATTTAAAATAATTAAATACAAAATATTTATTCAATTAAATTTTTTATACTTATGTTTTTAAACTACTTATTTTAGGTAACCAAAACAATAAATAGGCAAAAAACATTAAAACAGAAAATATTGCAACTAATGAAGTTTACAAACTTTTCGCAGAATCAAGTTTATCGTAAATAAAAGAAATTTCAAAATTTAATAAATATTAAAAACTCGGTCTTACATAACTATAAAATGAGTTTTCTTTTTTATTTTTAATATATAATGATATATATATATATAAATATATTTAATTTTATACCTAATTCTATAAATTAAATATTTGAAAGCATATATATTTAAGATTTATTATTTTCTAAATATTCAATAATATTGCTTTTAAAAATATTAAAATAATGCTAAATTACATTATTAATTCCTATTTTCATATTTCCTTCAATTATAGTCTCGCATTAATTTCTATCTTAAATTTCAATAAATTAACATGGGTTTTTATAAAAAATATTAAAATATTAAACTCTAAATTAATACATAGTAGATAATAATTATAAATTAAACTAAAATAAAAGATATATAAATATATACTTATATAAATAAATTTTACTTCTTTAAGTTTTCCATTATATCCTAGTAAATCTTTTAATTTAGAAAGTGCTTATATAGTAACTTTTTATCCATTAATATCAAAATCTGGTTAAATAATCATAATTTTCTAAACATTTAAATAATAAGCAATAGTATTTTACATAAAAGTATGTTCATAATACTATGGCCATAGGAATTTAATAGTTGCTTTTTAGTCAAAAATAGAATAAAAATTGATACAAGAATAAATTAATGTAAAAAAAAGAATTATAATATATCTAATAATATAACCTTCTGCCCCTTTATATTTATTTGCTTTATATTTTTTAATGATTTTTTTTCTTTTTTTCATTTGTTTTTCTAAAGTATTATTATCGTCTTCTTCTTCATTATTATTATTATTTTTAATGTTTATTTATTAGTTTTTTAATTCGAATTCTTCCCCGTTTTCCGATTCGTCTGAAGTGTCAAATCCTTCTTATTTATTTTGACTTTTTTACATTTATTCTCTAATTGAAATGTAACTTGAAAGAAATTTATCACAATGTTTATGTAGATAATATATATGTTTTTAGGGAATATCGAGAAATAAAAAAAGTATACTTTCCCTTTAATTTTTTATTAAAATAGTTATTATTATGAATACAATTACAGCAAAAATACATATTATTAGAGTCACGATTAAAGTTAAAATAAGTTCTATTTCAACCTATTAAATATTATCTAATATATTAGAAGCTGCATATTCTGATTATTAGATCAGTTTATTATATATAGAATTAAAAAAATTAACCAAAAAAGTAATTACTTAAGCACTTTAATATATATTAGTTTATAAAATGTTTCCTTTTCCGAATGAATTTCCTATATTTGCAAAAGTAAATACAGTATTTGCAATATCTATACTATCTGTTTTGTAAAATGAGGAATTAAAGTAGATTTTAAATTAGATTTTTTCGTCTTTAAATTTATCGAAGAAATCCTCGTATTAAAGGTTATTTAATTATTTGTTTAAGTTAATAATTTACATACAAGTCTAGTTTATATTTTCGTTTATTTTTTCTAAACTCCATTTTTATAAAAGCATTTCTTTATTTTTTTCCATAGAAATATTTGCTTTATTTATAATTTAAGAAACCAGTTTATTCATTTCGAAAATTCTTGAGTTTATCCTTTATATTATATCTATTCCTAATTTATAACTATCCATTCTTGAAACACTAAAGAAATACATAAAAAGGGATAATCCAATTATTATTATTGTCCAAAAAAGCGACAAATAAATAAAAGCGCTTATTAATTAATGATCATGTTATGTATTTAGGGCTTTCCTAATTACTTCTGTAGAATTAGATTAATTAAAAATATGATAATCTTCCGCATCTTCGTATTTATCCCCTATTTAATTTTTAAATACGCTATTTTCTTCATCTTCCGTTATCTCTTCTTTATCGTCGTCTTCGATAATATTTTCTAATCTATTATTATATAATCTTTTAAGCCTAATGCCTTTCCCGTAGTCCTTAAATTGATTTATATTAAAAACATCTTCCTAATCAACAGAATTCTAAGAGTTCCCAAAAGACTCGAATTGACTTTATTAAAAATCTTATTATATTTTATATAAATCAAGCACAAATTTAGTTAAATTATCATTTTTGCAATTCAAAATATTATCCGGATCAACAAATAAAGACTTACGATTATTATCTAAGAATTAATTATTATTATCTTCTAAAGATAATTTAGAGAAAAATCCATTATTATTTTTATCGCTTGAAAGTCTATTTTTATTAATTTTTTTGCTATTATTAGAACTAGTAATTTATCTGGAAAAAAAGACTGTTTATTACATACTAGATTTTTCCGTTTTTTCTATTTTAAATTGATATCCTATAATTTCTTTTTTATATTGACTCTCATCTAAAATAGTATTTTCATCCCCATTATTTTCTAATAATTCCATGTCTATTTTCAGGTTTTATATTTAGCAATTATATGCTGTTTATTAAGGATTTCCTTCTTAGTTCGTTTATGTGTATAGGAAATCTTTCCCGTTTTTCTCAAAGTATTTTTTCTCACTTTACCAATCAGAAACTATAGTTTCGATTAAAATTTATTTATTCTTCACATGGGCTATTTCTATTCCGAAAAAAAGAATAACTGACGTAGAAATATCCATTATCAACCCAAATTTATCCGTGAGGATATAACAAGTCTATTTTATCGAAGTATCCGCATTATAATTAACTAAAAAGGTCTAGGCATCATCTGTAAGTATACTTACTCTATAAAAAAGTGCCACAAGATAGCCATTTTTACTCCTCCCAAACTTTTATTAATCCTCATTAATATAATTCGAGTCAAATATTCCCAAGGAGACATTCTCAAAATATCTTTACATAAACTACTGATGAATTTCACTATATAGATTAGGTATAATCAATTAAATTTGCTTCCCTTAAATTTCCTCTTTCTAATATCCAAAGAGTACCGAAAAAATTAAATTAACATTCTCAATTTAGCCTACTTCACCCTTTTTATTTTTAACCAAAGAATAAGCAATCGGCTCGTTTTTAAAATCGAGTATTTTTTCGACTTTATCTTCATTATTTTCATCTAATTATGCTAAATTTTTAGCTTTTTCGATTAAAATTTCCCCATTTTCCCTATCATTGAGTACGTATATAAGGTATTTTCCAAAAGTCTTTATTGTTTAAGGTATTTTGTTGTTTATTTTCTACATATCATGATAATGTGATTTCGCCTCATGGACAGCCTATGATATTTTACTTCCTATTATATTTAATTTAAAAAGAGCAGGATTTTCCTCTTTTAATTCTGCCCAAAATTCCTTATGCATTTGTGCAGATAATTTCATATATTCTTCACATTATTATATATGGGAATCAAACGCGATTATTTTTACGATATCGTTTTCACCTTCATCATCGTTTTCATTTATTTAATCCAGATTTTCATTTAGGATTTTCTTATATCTATATATAATGAATTATTCATCAAACGAAGGCTTTGTTTTTTCCGCGATTTTAAATTATTAGAAAGATTTTTCCCTTTTATTTTTAAACCTTTCCATTAGAAAAAAAGCGTAAGAAATTCTCAATTTAGTACAATTAGGAAATTTCTTGAGTCCATTTTAAAAAATTCTATCAATTTCCTTAATTAGATTTCGGCAAGTTTCTTCCATTTCAGTTTCTTATTAGTTTCTTTTTTTTGATCTTTTTTATTTTAAAGGACAGTCTTCTTCCTGGCAGGTTTCTTTATGTTTTTCAACATAACCAATAAGTAACATATATGCATTTTTGTCTTTTTTTTAATCCTCAATTAATTAAAGTACATATCTTAAATGTCCTTAAATTTATTCCCCCGATCTGAATTTCATTTAACTTCTTATTAAAGTGTCTATTCGACTTTTTTTAGTAGTGAGCATAATCATCACTATAAACGGAAGTCCAATAAGCCATGAAATAAGTCCCCCGTTAAACTACATTCCTTATAAAATTTAACTAGTGAGTAAATTCGTATTAGTCCATAGATAGTAAGTAGTCACAATTTTATAAAAAAGGCCTACCTCTTGATCATAATAAGGATCTTCCATATTATAAACCCAATGTAAGGCTAAACTTAATGAAAATACTAAAAGTACTAAAAACCAGTCATTTCCTTGAGGAATAAAGGAAAATAGGATTTAGCAAAGTACTTTATTTAAAATAAAGGCCACTTCACCTTTCGAATCTTACCTAGCAGTTCTATCTTCGCTAGTTTGTTTTGGCTGAAAATATGTCAAGGCTACTATAGTACTTAGAAGCATAAATAAAAGATTAAAAATGGAAGATATTAGGGCATGAAAAAGATGCCAACCAACCCAACATTCGATTTCGGGGAAAGAATCTAATGTTAAAATGCCATTTTCGTTTACTGAGCATTATATTACAGATACTAAGGTTTCTGTTATAGGTAAAAAAAAGACTGTTACTAATAAAGAGGCAACTGAACGGAGAATAGATAAAGGCCAGGTTGTAGAGAATTTTTTTTTCGAAAAACTATAAGAAACGAATATTATATCGAGAATAATTAATAATATTATTAAATCTAAAAAATATACTGATGTGATAAATATATCATAGTTTATTCGAGGCAAATATTTATTTAAATCAAATAAATCAAAAAAATCAAATATTATTTGCAAAAATTCAGTTGCTTTCCATATATGGGTTATTTTCTAGTGGAACGGAAAAGAGTGCATTTATAAATAATCCATAGCTGTGGCAAAATAAACGTTCTTTATTGATTTTTAATATATATAATTATGTATATATATATATTTTATTTTTATTATTACTAAAACACTTTCGCCTTCTTCTTCTTTTAATAATACAAATAATACATTAAATGATATTAATTTTATTTATAATAAATATGCTTCAAGCCCTTAGTTCTCTTATGGAATAATATCTTTGTTTTTTTTATCGAAATCTTCCATTTATATATATATATATATATATATATATATTTATATTTTTTTTTAAAAAAAAAAAAAATATTATAAATATATATATATATATATATATATATATATATATATATATATACATATTTTATTTTTTATCTTTTATTAATTAACAGAAATAATTGCTTTAAAAAATAATATAATTAATAATTAAATAATTATATATAAACTTTATAATTAATTAAATATAAATTAATATAATAATTAATATACTTTTATAATAAATTCATATTATAATAAAAAATATGATAAATAAAATTAAATTTCAATTAAATAATAGAAACTATAACTTTAAAAATAATTTATTTTTTTAAAAATAACATATAAGATTAAAGATTTAATCTATATAAACATAATCACAAAAAAATTAAAAAAAAAAAATTTAAAAATATATATGAAAAAAAAATGTTTTGCAAATTCATTAAATTTTATTCATAATAAATTTATAAACTAGGAAATAAATAAGAACTATTTTCATATATATATTTAAAATTTTATATAAGGCAATATTGAAGATAATTAAAGCTTCAATGACAAAAACTTAAACAATGATACATCTTTTTAAATTATTGCTCTGGTTTGTAATGTAATAAAAGATAAATATTTAATAATAATAATGCAGATCAATAATAAAATAAAGATTATTTAAATCCAGAAGAAAATAACGATTAAATTTCAAGCAAATAAATTAATAATGAATTCAAAAAAAAGTATATTTTTCTTATTTTATAAATAATGAATAATTAAATATATTAATATTTCCTTTAAAAAATAAAAACTTCGAAGAAAAAATATCTTAGTTACAAACACATTAATTTAAAAATAAAATTAATAATAGTAATTATGAGTAAAAAAATAGTATATTTTTAGTCTAATTAATATAAAATATTTATATAAATATATTTATGTGAGAATTCTTTATAAAATATTAAATATATTAAAGAGAAAATATAAATTATGTAGGAATAATATAAATGATTTATTATTTTTATATATTAAAAATATAATTATATATGGATTTTATTTTTATAATGATATATTTAAAAAAAAAATGTAATTTTATTTTTTATTGTTTATATTTTTTTTTATTGTGTTTTTTTAAATATTTTTTATTTTTTTAAAAATAAAATAATAATATAATTTTTTTTATTTAAATATAATTTTAAATATTTCTAATAATAGATAAATAAACGGAAAATTATAAATAAATAAATAAAATTTAATACATAAAAGGTCCCAAATAAAAAAAAAACAAAACAAAAATTAAAAAGGATTAATATTTGATAAAAAAAAAAAAAAATAGAAAAAAAATATTATATTTAAAAATAAAATTACTAAAGAAATAAAGATAAAAAAAAAGGGAAAAAAAAAAAAAAAATTATTAAGATTTAATTTATTTTATTTATAATTTAAAATAAAAAAATATATAATTGTGTTTTATCTTTTTTTTTATTTAAAAAAAAAAAAAAAAAAATCAATAAAAAGCACAAAAATAAAAGGAATAATAATAATAATAATAAAAAAAAAAACTTAACAAATTCTTTAAAAAATTAAAGAATATAAATAATGTTTTTTTTCATTTTCTTTTATTAATATTCCCTTTTTTAAAATGTATTTTTTTTATAATTTAGTATTGAAATGATTAAAAATTAAAATTAAATATTTATTTAAAGAGTTTTTTCAATTCCAGAACATTACATGTTCTCTGAAATCATTTTTTTTCAATTTCTTTTAAATTTTTTCAAAAGAAAATAAAATATCTTCATCATCATCTTCCTCATCCTCTTGTTAATAAAAAAAAAATTAATTATTTTAATCATAAGATTTTTATTTTTCTTCTTAATCAATAAAAGATTCATCTTAAGCTTCTAGACTATCACTGTTTTCTTGATTTTACAAACCATTAAAAGTATTAGGTTCTGTTTCGTTATCATCATCATCATTGTTGTCATCATCATTATCATCATTATTATTATTAATATTATTATTATCATTAATATCATTTTATTCTTCGTCATCATCTTATTAAACTCTTTCTTGTATTTATTTTATTATTCAATTAAATACTCGTAGACTTAATTAATTTATTCAAAAGACTAAAATATTCAGGATAAGTACTAGTTAAAATGTCTTAAAAATTAATAAATTATTAAAAATAATTTTCTGTATAAAAGACATAAAAAATCACTCCAACACCCATATTTTTAGCACTCCAATTTTAATTCGAAAAAAAAGCCTAAATAATAGAACTATCAAGAATTGACGTAAATTCATAATCATCTAAAAATTTTGAAAAATGTTCTTTTAAAAAATAATAAGAAATATCTACTGGAGTAACTAAATATAAATTCCATTTTAGATTTTCCATTATTTTTTACTCAGTTTGGATAATCTCATTATCAGTAAAATTCTATCTCATACTTCTTACAGAAAACTAATTATGAGTATCAGATAACTTTAAAGATAAACAAAAAGATACTAATATATATAAAAGACATTCTCTTTCTGTTTGATTTTAGTTTTATGATAATAAAGAATCAATGTACATAAATGATAATATTGTTTCATTTATTGTTATAGGAAGTTAAAACTGTCTTTTTTTATAATATCATTTGCTTGAGGTATAATTCTGTTTATTAGCTTTAAAAAACTTAATTCACGTATATATGATGGGTTTCGGTTAATTTAGATTTAAGATTGTTCTCTTAATAATTTATTTTACATTTATTTTATATATTATTATTATTTTTTTTATTTTTATTTTTTTTTATTTATTTATTTATATATTTATTTGTATAATTTTATTTTTTTATATATATATATATTTTTTTTTTTAAAAAAAAAAAAAAGTGATGTGTAAAATATTTTTAATTTCTTAATTTTTATGATAAAATAAGAATTTTTTAAAAATAGTTTTATGTGTGTTAATTTTATATGAATTTTTAATTTTTTCTTTTTCATAATATATTTATTATTATATTTTTATCTTTCTATCATAAATTTTTAAAATTTCTGTTAAATTTATTATTTCATTTAATTTTTTTATTGAATTTATTTTCTTAAAATAAATCTAAAGATATAAATATAATACAAAAAAATATTTATTTTACATTTTTAAATAAGAAAAATATATATAAAAAAAATGTTATTTTATTTTTTAATAATAGATTAAAAATAATAAAACAAAATTAATTAATTTAAAATATAAAAAATAAAAATTTTAACATTTATAATTATCTATAAAACATATTTTATTTTTTTGTTTTTACTTAAAATATATTAGTATTTTTTTTTTAAATATTAATACATATTTATAAGTTATTTTATTTATATATATAATAATTTAAAATTGTTTTTGAAAAAAATTTTTAATTTTATAATGTATTCTAATTAACTAAAAATTTTTTTAAATAAAAATTTTTCAATTATTAATAATGATTGTAATTTTAATAAATAAAAATTATAAATAAAGTATGACGTAGATTTTCATAAATATAAATGAATGATTATTTAAAATAACTTATTTAATTAAAAAAAAATATATAACGAAAAACAAAAAAATATTATTAATTTTTGAACAAAAAAATTATAAATATTATAAAAATATATATAAATATTAAAAAAATAAATATTATATTATATTATATTAAAAAATCATAAATTATATTTTTTAATTACTAATTAAATTATTTTTAAAATAAAAAAAATTATATTTATATAAAAAAGAAGATCTTTAGGGTAATAGCAAAAAAAATATAAATATATATTATAGAAATAGATAATAATAATAAAAAAATATATAAATAATAATGTAATGATATATATAAATGTTTAAATTAAAAATAATATTTATATTTATATTTATATTTATATATTTATTTATATATCATATTTAATTTTATATTAAAAAAAGGAATATATATTTTAGTAATAATACAAATTATAAAATTATTAGGTAATTATATTTATAATAAACACTTTCTAATTTATTTTATCATTTTTATTTTTAAAATATTCATATATTGAATTTTATAAAATTAAAAAAATAAATTGTACAATATTAATAATTTGTATTTTTAAATTAAGAATTTATTTTATATTTTTATTTAATAATTGTAGCAAATATATTTTAGTTTCATTAAAATTTAATTCATTAAAAATAATCTATAAATTCTGTATTATAGAAGTTAATAAATATTATAGCCTAATTAATTATAAATATTAAATAATACATAAACAAAGAAACTAATTTATAAATCTTGCTTTGCTGAAAAAATTAATTTTATACTTTATCTGATTTATATATACTATTTTTTTTGTAAATACATTAATTTTTTATATGAATTACCTTATCTTTATAAAAAAAAAAAATTATTTAAAAAAAAAATATATATATATAAATTATTTAGGTTTAAAATTTGTAAAGAAATAAATATATTTGCTGAAAAAAAAAGTTTTTTGAAAATAAATTAATAAAGATATGTATTAAAAATTTATCTATAAGAAATATAAAAAAATATAAGAAAATAAATTATAAATAAATTTTTTTAATAAAAAAAATAGTAATTTTAAATATTATCTTGTAAATACTCCTAGTATTTTTAAAAATTAAGTGAGAAGAAAATTATTATTTTATTATGTAAATAATTTAATTGATATATAATTTATTTTAATTTTAGATTTTTTATATAAATAATTTTATATATTTTATTTTATTTATATATTTAAGAAAGAAAAATTATAATAATATCTAATTATATTTAATAAAAAATGATAAAATTAAATATATATAAAAAAAAGATGATATAATTATTAACAAAAATAATAATAATAATTAATTATTAAAAATCAATATAAAAAAAAAGATCATAAAAAAAAATAAGCCTTTAAGTAAGTAATAAAAATTCTAAAAAAATATATAAATGTAAATTTATAATATATAATAAATATAAAAAATAATATCAAAAAAATTAAATATGTAATATAAAAATAAATTGAATATAATTATAATTAAAATCGATTATTTATTTAAGTATAAAATTTGAATAAGAAATAAAAAAATATTATTAAAAAATATAATTAATTTTTAACAACATGTTTTAATATTAAATTAATAATAATTATAAAAGATATTATTTTTACAAAAATATAATTAAAATAAATATATTATATTTTATATAAAAAATCACTTTTCTACTTCCATTTTTTACAGATCTACTTAATTATTAATATTATTAATATCGTTATTTTCTTATTTTTTTTATATTTCTTCTTTTGGAACATAATGTAAATAAAGTAATTCATTTAAAACATATAAGCAATCTATATAATAAATGAAATATATATATATAAATTTATATATATATATATTCATATATATATATATATATATATATAAATATATTTTTTTATATAAATATATAATATATATTTATATATTTTTATTTTACCTTTTATTTCTTCAGCATTTATTTATACTTATAATTCTAAAGAAACTTCTTAAAGCCATCTTTCGTATGCTTCTTCTTCTTTAAGTACCATTGGATTATATTTATCTTTTAATTTAGATGATAATTCTAAACTTTATAAATGTATATAATTGATATTTGTATAAAAATTTATTTTTATATAAAATTATTTTTTAATATTATATCAAATTTATAATAAAAATAATATTATAAATTTTCTCTAATGTTATATAAATTATTTATAGAATTTAAAAATAACATATTAGTCAATTTTATATATTATTTAAAGATAAATTATATTCTTTTTATTTATATATAATATTACTATGGATCTATATTATATTATGAACAGCTTATAATAAAAGCAGATACTATAATTGTTTATGGTTTAAAAATTAAAGGAGCATAACTTCTATAACTATCAAATGTAATAATTTTTGTTGCACAAAAAATATGTTCCTCTTTTTCTTTTCTGGAACAAAATGTAGAAATAACTTAGTTTAATTAATCAAAAGGCATTGCAATATCGAAATCAAATTAAATAGCTTTTAGGATTTTACTTTCAGCAATACAAATCTTATAAAGTAAAATAAAAAAATATATTTTTAATTATAGTAATAAGAAATAAATATATATATATATATATATATATATATATATATCATATAAATATATATATATAATAATATTAAAACTAATATTATAATAATATAATAATATATTAATATAATAATATAATAATATAATTAAATATTAAAATAAATATTTTATTTTTTTTAAAAAAAATATATTAATATTACTTTATTCTTTATTTACTATAATGTTGGATCATCTATTATAGAAGTTGTTTCATTATTTTTTTTTGGAACTATTTTATGATAGTTTATTATTATTGGTCTCATTCTACAATGATCATATTCTCTTATTTTAAATGCCAACATAAGTGCAGCTGCACAATAAATCTTTTTAATAATTAATTTAATAAAATTTTATTTTTTTACAAATCTATCATAATTTAAATAACTTTTTCCTATAAAAAAATAATTAACTAAATGTATTCCTAATGATGTTATAGTATAACTTTCTCTTTTTTATATGAATGGATGAATTTTTATTTTATAAATATTTCATTTTTATTTTATATATATTTTTTACATTTTCATGTTAACCATTAAATCTATTATAAATTAGGCATTCCCGTTCATTATTTTTTTTTATATCTCAGGAGAAATTTCTAACTCAGAATTTTTATTATGTTCTTTTGAAAAAATTTCACTTTTTTTATATAATTTCATATTAAATATTAAATTATTTTTAATAAAAATAATATAAAGAAATTAAAATATAATATAAAAAAATTATATGAATATATATAAAAAATAGTAAAAAATATTATATAATTAAATATATATATAGATATATATATATATTATTATATATTTATATATTTATATAACATTTAATTAAATAATTATAATTATATATTTTATGGGAAATAGTAATATTATATAACATAATTAATGGTTTGAAAATTAATTTTTTTGAATATGATTTTCCTTATAATTCTGATTATGAATATATTAAAGATTTTCAAGCAATTTCAATTTAAAAAATACTACAAAATAATAAAACTCGTTTATTTCCTAAAAGATTTTCATATAATTAAATAAAATAAAGTACAAATATCGGAAATTGTTATTTTTTGAGTATTTTTAAATCTTTAATTTTTACTCGTAATATAAATTTTATAAAAAGACTTTTTTTTCCAAACTAAAAAATACGCTTTTTTCATAATGGAAAGCCTGTGTTTATTTAAGTAGATGATAGGTTTTTATATAATGAAAAATCTATGTTATTTTATGGAAGTGAAGTTAATAATAATAATTTGTATTTTGCTTTTTTGGAAAAAGCTTGGGCTAAATTTAATGCAGGCTATTTCCTTTCATAAAAATAAGCAGTAGATTTTGCTATTTTGGAAATTTTAGATATACCGGTGATTGGTTGGGACATAAAAGATGCTAAATTGGATTTGTTACAGGAATTTTTAGATAATAAATATATTGTTATAATTACTACTAGGAATTGTTTGGAAGAATTTTAATTCAAATATCATTCTTTGAGCCTTTTTTTGGTAAAAGACGGGATTTTTTATCTACAAGATACTATTAATAGGACTCTTAAGTATAGTTTGTGTGAATTTTTGTAAAAAATCTAGTATATTTCAGTCGGGATTTTAAAGGAAGGGTATTAAAGTTAAAATATATTTTTTGAAAATAATAATATATAAAAAATTTAGTTTAGAAGTAATATTACATAGTTTGTATGTATTTCTTTTTAATAATTTGGAGATGATATATATGATTTTTATTTATAAATTTTCTGTGAATAAATTTTATTTTTTTAGGGATTTTTTAGAAAAGATAAATATATATTATTTATTTAAAATTTAAATAAAGAAAACAAGTTTTTTTTAAAAATTTTGGAAGGAAAATGTTATTTTTTAATTATTAATTTTTTAAAGAAAAAATAAGAAAATTATAATAATTCTTGTTTTTTTAATTTTATGTATAAGACTTATTATAAATTATTTAATGATAGTTTATTTAATATAAATTAATATTTTTTAAATATATATTTTTTGAAAATAAAAATAAAAATAAAAATAAAATCAATTTTAATAAAAAAAATTAGGATAAAGGACTTTTTTTTTGTTAATTTAAACAAAAAATAAATAAAAATTAAACTAATATGAAATAGATGAAATATTATATAATAATTAGAGATTTTTTTATTTTAGAAATTATTATTTATTTATTTTTAAATTAAATTATAAAACTTTTAATTATTTATTCTTAATTATATTTTTTTTATTACAAAATTAATAAAACAAAAAAATGGTCGTTTTTTTTTAAAAAACTTTAAAATGTTTCCTTACTCTAGTTTTTTTTTTTTTTTTTCTGATTGTAATTTTTTTATATTTAATCTTTTGAAATAACTTTATCAAAATTATTTATAAAATAAAATTATAAATTTAAACATTATATAAGATTAGAAATTTTAATCCATATTAGAAATACTGCCTAACTGAATAGTTAATATTTATTTTAATTATTTATAATTATATATTATATATTTTTTAAATTTATATAGTTTTTGAAAGTACGCAAATAAATTTTCTGAAATAAAATATTTATAAATTAAATAAAGATTAGACTATAAATTTAATGTCAAATTAATAATTATTTTAATAAAAAATTATTTAAATAAAATATAAAAAGAATATACAAAAATATATTTAAATATAATATTTTTTTAATATACAAACATATTTTATGGCTAAATATATATTTAAAATAGAAAAAAATATATATTTTTTATAAGTAAAATAAATATGTAATATACAATTTATCTTTGAAAATAAATATCAATAATCAATATAAGCACTAAAAGGGATATATGAATTTTATTATATATCTTAATGGACTATTATAGAATTATTTATTTAAAATGAATTTATATTTTTTCCACTATCATAATTATTTAAAATTTAAATAGATGTTTTTTAATTTTTTCATATTAATTATTTTCAGTTGAAAAATGTTTTTTTTTTACAAATGAAATATTATTAAGGCTGTTATTATTATTATTATTATTATTATTATTATTATTATTATTATTATTATTATTTTCGTTTTTATTGTTTTTATTTTCGTTATTATAATTTTTATTATTATTATTTTTATTATTATTTATATTTAAAGAATCATTTATTATACTTAAAGATACTTTTCTTAAAATATTATTACATGTAATATTTCTTTAAATTTAATTTTATTAGATTTTGTTTATAAATTAGTTTAATTTTTTACATCTATTATTATTTGAATTTTCTCCTCCTTAAGAACTTTATGCCATATTATTTATACTACTATTGTTTGTCATATTTAACGAAAATGTTTTTTAATGATTAATTATAATATTATTGCTACTATTTATATGTTTATCTTAGCTCTAGAAAGCTTCTTTATTATCAAATGATATATAAATTGATTAATTTGGGAATTATGTGGATGCTCCTACTGATCTTTCTTTGTTTTCGATACTTTTATTTACATTATTTAAATTTTAAGAAGTGCGTTTAGACATATAGGGTATATATTATTTTTTTATAAAATTTAAATTTTATTTAATGAGTGAATTCAATATCTCTTCGAATTTTTAAATTTCTGTTTTAAAAATTTCAAGATGCTCGTTTTCAGTTTTGGGTTTTTTTACTAATTTTAAATATTATATGAATTTATTATAGAAGAAATTTAATCATATTCTACTTTTACAAGAATATTTTAATAGTTTATATTTATGTCTTTTTTTTAAGTATTTATTTCTAACAAAAAATTATCAAAAAGCTTTATTTTATTTGAATAGTCTTATCTTATTTTTGATTTAATTTTTTAAATTTATTCAATTTATTCGACTTATAAACGCATAAAAAAATCAATTATATTTTGAAAGTTTTCATTGAATTTTTTTTCTTCTTATTCTATATATTTATTTACATTTATTTATTTTATTTGTATTGATTTTAATTCGTTTTCTGTATTTTCTATTATTTTATTTAATTGAATTAAGAAGTTATCTAAATCAATTTTCTTTTCATTATATGCTTTTTTTTCACTTGTTTTTCGAATTTCACACATTTCATTTCCTTACATAAATAAATTAATTGTACATTTACTACAATAATATTAATTTAAATATTATTATGATTTTATATAAAACTTTCCCTTTTTTTTATTATTATTTATTTTAGAAAAAAAAAAAAAAAAAAAAATTGATACCTTTTTTTAAGGATGGTTTTTGCATTAAAAATTAGCTTTTGAATTTTCTTGTAATTAATCTTCATTTAATAAAGTTTAAAAAAATGTCTTTTTTTAGGTAAGTATTTATTCGTTTTCGTTTATATTTTATTTTATTGAATTTGTTTTTGTGTGTTTTTTTTAATTAATTAATTTATGGTTTTCTATTGTTTGTTTTTATTTAAATTATTTACCATATTATATAGTTGTTATTTTATTTATGAATTTTATTATGCAATATTTAAATTCATTTGTATATTTTTTTATTAACAAAACAAAAAAAAAAAAGCTATTTAAATTTTTTTTTTTTTTTTTCTTTTTTTATAAATTTAAAAAAAAAATTATAATTTATAATTTTAATAAAAAAATTAATATGTTTTTTTATCATAAAAGTGCAAAATGTACATTATATGATCTTTTATTCCAATTCGAATCATAATTATAATCACCTGGTCCTGGAATTTTATTAATATTTTATTTTTGGGAAAATCTATCAGCTTTTGGAAAACTTATTTAATTTTTCTATTTAGGAATTTATTTTTCATTATTATCTTTTGCAATTTTTAATATTTTATCCTGTTCGTCTACTTCTTCGATTTTTTTATCTTTAAATCTTTCTGCTGCTATACCAAATCCTAAATTAGGAATATTAGTCTTTATTTCCGAATCTATTTACTAGTTTTATATTTTATGTTCAATATCATAATAATTTAATTAATAGGAACCAACTGGTGGTCTTTTTTCTTTATTATGAAAACATATTAAATATGATTAAATTTTATATGTATAAAAAAAATACCTTTATTAACAAAATCAGAACGTCCATTTTAAGATTTAAAAACTGCTGATTATTATTCATTTTATATTTATTCATTAATAGAATTAGTATATGTCCCTGGACCAGGTATTTCCTATATATATTTAATTTTTTATTTCTATAAAATATATATTTTTTTTACATCTATTTAGTCTTTAAATCTTTTTTCATTAACACCGAAATTTCCTTTATATCCTTTTAATAGATTTTATATTACTCTATCTTTTATCTGTTTTTATATATTAAATTTTTATATATTTAGGCATTTTGTATATTAATTTTTTTACAGTTTGCTTTATTTAATATTAACCTGGGCTAGGTTAAATTTCATATATATTTTTTATTCAAATCTTTAATTAGAGGATAAAAAGGGAGGTTTTTTAAATATCGAATCCTATATATAAATAAATATATATTTATTTACATATATATATATTAATATTTATTTATATATTTATACGTATTATTTATTTGCAAATAATCCAGAAACTTTTGGATCATATTGACCAGGACCTATTAAAATTTGCTATTATTTTTCAATAGAAAATCTATTTGGAGTAAAAGATCCGAAATTTTAGAATTTTTCTGGTTTAATTGTTTTTTTAGGAATTGAATTATAATAATATCCAGGTCCAGGTGTTGCTCCCTTTATATATTTTTTTATATATAGTAATATAAATTAAAATATATATTTATATATAAATCAAATATATAGTAAATATTTTATTATACATTTATATATTCTTCATCTTCTTATTCTTCTTAATTTTCTTTTTTTAATTTATTCTTAAGTCTTTAATTTGCTTATTCTTTAGATTAATCAAGTATAAATCCAGGACTTTATTTAAGCTTATATATTGGTATTTATTTATTTGTAACATCATATGTACCTGGGCCTATATTTTCTTATTATTTAATTAATATATTATCGTTTCTGGATTTATATTTATGCCATTATGTTCCTTTATATTTTTCTTTTATTAATGAAGAATAATTTATTTCATATTATCCAGGCCCAACCTTTTTTTTTTTTTTTAATTTTTTTCTTATTTTAATTAAATTTTTATATTTACAGAATCTTATTTTGTTCCTTAATATGAATGCAATGGTAATTAATTCAAATTCATTTAATTTTCTTTATTTTGATTTATAAAATATATATATATGTATTATATTTATATATATTTTTTTCAAACCTTCATTTTCTGTATATCCATATTAATTATATTTAGAAGGTATAGAAGGTACAGATTAATATTTATTAAGTTTTAATAAATGTGAAATAATATAATCGCTATTTTATATATTTTGTTTTTTTGATTTCATTTAAAATTATTATTCGTCATAATCATATGATCCTGGACCAGGAATTAATTGCTTTTCTTTAGTTATATAATCTTCGAATCTTAAATATATAATAATTTATTTATGTATATATGATATTATATATATTTATTTATTAATAAAAATATAAACCTTTTTTAATTTCCGCAAAATATTTAAGTAGGTTTTTTATTATTATTTTAGCTTTTAATATTTTTATTTAATAATTATTTTTCATTATTTTAGGGAATTTTTTGTATATTATAATCACCAGGACCAGGTGTAATAATTATTTATTAAAACTCTTTTTATCTTTCAACTGTAGAATTAAAACCAGCGTAAAGTTTTTTAATATTATAATTTTAATGAGCTAAATAACTTCCTGGACCTAAATTAGATTATATTTATGAAAATTATGGTAAATTTTTAGAAGATAAATAAACAAAAGCCATATATATTAAGTTATTTAATTTTAATAATTTATTTAATTAATAAAATGTATTTAATAATTATTTTTTTTTTATAATAAAATAATAAAAAAATGTCTATTTATAATTTATAATAAAATTAATTTCTATAATATATATTTAAGTAAATATATCTAATTGAATATATATTTAAATATAAATATAAATATAAATATAAATATAAATATAAAATAAATTATTCTATATTAAATATATATATAATTAATAAAATATTTATAAAAATAAAATATATTTCATAAATTATCATCAAAATAATTTTTTTTTTATCTTTTTTTTAAATAATTTGCATATTCATCATTTTATTTATCATCATCTTCCTATTTTACCCCACTAAAATCTATATAATCTTTTTTCTTCCATATTATTTCCTTTACTTATTCAAAACTTAATATTGCTAAATATACTAAACTTTTTCTTAAATAAATAACAAATCCAAAACTCCCTACTATGAACAAAACTTTCATTAAAACTCCTAATATACCTTTTCCTGGACATTTTTTTTAAACTGGAGATCTATCTACTCCTCTTTGACAATTATTTCCAGCAATTTTTCTATATCCAGTAGGTTCAAAATAATACTTATCGCATTATTCAGGCTTTGGTGGTTTAAAAAAATAGTCTTTTTCCGCTATACAAGGCCCCTATCCTTATCTTTCATATCCAAAATCACACTCCCAGTCTTCTTCAGTACACTCACATGTTTATTCATTGACTATTCTTTAGAATTGCTCTCCATTGAGGCAAAGTGAGTCTAGCTTTCGTCTTAAATAAGTAACTTTTTTTCCCATCAAACACTGTTTGTTTTAATATCCGTGTGGAGTCCATTATTCGTAGTCTTCATTTGTGCATTTTTCTGAAAAAACATTGGAGAAATCTATTGTTATTACTACTCCGACTTCATGAATTTCATTATTTATAAGCTTATCTATTCTGCCGATTACTATGAATGTCGTAGAAGTATTATTTGGTTCCGTTATGATGTTTTCAATCTAAATTTCTTCCTCAGAAACCTGGATTTTAGTCCAAGTTTAACCCTCATCTAGTGAATATTCAACTTCTTTAGTTTTTGAATAGTCTTTATCCTTTCCAATAACTATAATTGAACCATGATCGCCTATTTCAAATACATAAGCACCCTTTTTTAACTCATACCAAGTCAATCCAGCATCTCGGGATATATAAGTATTTACATTTTCTTTATCATGAAGTAGATATGGACCTACGTTTCCGTTTGCAAAGACTAGGCCTATGGCATTTTTGGACGAATAGAAGGAATTATATAGTGTATTAGAAGATGAGTGAATGTTTAAGTTACAGTTTAAGCCTTTGCATGTATTTTCGTTCTTTGGTTTAGGGATTCTTTGCCATATTGCGCCTTTATCGAATGTTATCATAGTCTCGATTTTTTGGAGGTCTTTTAATATTTAAGAATGAGAGTTGTCAATTTCTAAATGGTTGTCTTGTGTGTCTTCTCGGGAGTATATTTTGGTTATATGGTCGGTTTTTTCTTTTGTGAATATGTTGGATATGTATATACCATATATTCCTTCCAGTCTTTCAAAATCTACACGGCCATTATCAGAACGGACTTAGCCATTTAGGCTTGAAGAAAAATTTATTCCAGAAGAATCAGATATATAAAGCTTACCTAAAGGAGATGTTAAACCTAAATGGGAAACATTTAGAAATACTTGACCTTCTTCAGCATCTAAAATAGAAAATTTATGGTTTAAAAGCTCCTCTTATAAACGAATTTAGCGAAATTTTTAATCTTTTAGAGACGGATTGGATACTAAAAGTTATATAGCTAAGGTATCTTTAGATTACACTATTAATTTTTTATTTTAATTTATATTTATAAATTTTACATTATGCAACATATAGGTAGTTTTTATGAAGGTAAAATGCATTTCCTTTTTGTATTAAGAGCTATTTAGTGATAAGAAAATCGTCAGATAGATAGAAATTTCTTGATTCTATTAAAGGATTTCGATTTTGGTTTTTATTATCTAATTTTAATGTTAAATAAAAAATATATATAAATGTATATATATATATATATATATATATATATATATATATATATATATATATATGTTTTTATAAATATTATTTATATTTTCTGTACTTTTTGTTTCTTCTATCCAATAAATTCTTTAAATAGGAATTTAATTATTATATTGTTCAAAATATCCCCTTAATATTTTATTTATTTTTTTAATTTTGTATTTTTTTTTACCAAGAAAATTAGGATACATACTTAGTCAATAATTCCCATGTTTTTCCGTAGTTTTGAGATAAATATAATTATGAATAAGAAAAACAAGGTTATTTTGATTGTTTTGAAATATTATTTAGACATTATGTTGAGGTTTAGGCTAAATACAATTCTTTTTTTATAGGATGTGGTTTAAATTTATTTATTCTTTTAAAATAATTAAATAATAATAATAATAATAATAATAATAATAATAATAATAATAATAATAATATTTTTAATTATAATAATTATATACTTTACTCCATTTATAGAGAATGCCTTAAAGTTTTTGCCACAATCTAAAGTTATCCAATTTATATTACCGTTTCCTGCTAATATTATTATATTTTTATAAGATGGATTTCTAATTAATTCTTATACTTTGTAAGACTACATTAATTATTTATTTATTTATTTTTATATTTTTTTACTTTTTAATCTATTTATTGCTTAATTTTACTTGCTGATTTTTAAAGATTTTCATCTTATTTTTAAAATTCAATCATTTTTTCATTTGAACGATATATTGAACCTTCCTCGGTTAATATTATTATGTTATTTTCTATGTTTTAGCTTGTTTCGCACCATATTATATCTTGTATTTCGGAATCCAAAATTGTAGAATATTTGTAGACGTCTTATTTTTATTACATAAAACCTTACATAAGGAATAAAAATATTAATATATTTAAGTTTTTCATTTAATTATTTTTATTTCTCATATTTTTTATAATTTATTTATTAATTTAAATTAGATAATAAATAATTTACGAAAAAAATAAACATATTAAAAAACATTTATAAAATTTAAGTTAAATATATATTAAAATCTTTAATTAAATATAAAAAATATAAATATTTTTTATATTATTAATAAATAAATATATTATTATTTTATGTAAATTAAAAATATAATAATGAATATATATTGTTATTTATTTGATAAATTAATTATAACTATATATATTAATTTTAATTTCAATTAATAAAACGTAAAACTATCTGTTATATATTTATTAAATTATATTATAATTTTATGTTTTATATTAAATATATTATGATTTTCTTATCTTTTATTAATATAAATTAAATTTTATGTAAAGATAACTATTTTTATACAATTTTTATTATTATATAATAATATTATTTAGTTTTTAGACAATTTTTTTTTTTTTTATTAATAATATATTTTTTTTTTAATAATATTAACAAAAATATTATTTAATAAAATATTTAGATGATTAAAAAAAAATATAAATTATGAAAATAAAGATATTATATTTTATAAAAAAAAATAATTAATTATATTAAAATATATAAAAATAACAAAAATTATTTTATTTATTAAGTAACTTTGTATTTTTTCTAATTTTTTTTATTTATTAAAATATTTAAAATTATTTATATTAAATTTTTATCTATATAATTAAAAATAAAAAGTTAATAATTTTATTTTTCAAAAATAATCGAATAAAAAACAAATAAAGCGACAAAAAAGTTTTTTTTTTTTTTTTTTGATTAACTAAATGTAATTAATGTAAATAATATATTAAGAAATTAGATTAATATCTAAATTTTTTATTATTACTCTTAATTTATATAAAAATAAAGGAATTTACAATAAAATTAAAATCTTTAATAGATCAATAATACCTTAGAATAACTTTTAGAAAAAGATAATTTATAAATAGAAGATATTTTAAATGAATAAGGAATACTTTAAAATATAAGAATGAATACAAATAAGTTTGGAAATTTGTAAAAAAAAAAACAACAAAATTAAAAATAAAAATAAAATAATATTTATTATGTAAAAGTATGGTTAAAAATACACATTTTTTATAGTAATTAATATTTTATGCAATTGATTTTTCTTAAATTAAAAAATGGGAAGAGCTAGATGAATAATAAAAATATAAGTATACTAAATTTTAGAAATATATATTAAATTATATTTAATTTTAATTTTAAATATATAAATATTACTTATTAATTTTTATTTTAATTTTAAAAATTAATTTCTATATAGATTTCCTTATGTTGCAAGTGAAATATTATCAATATAAATACGATAGATTTAAGATTATATTTTAGAAGTGGATATAGTTGATGATAATGAAAAAAAAAATTAATAAAAATCATTTAAAATACATAGAGATATTGAATAAACAAAATTAAAACATAAAAATAGCGGAGATTAATGGATTTCTGAAAGTGAAGAAGATATAAAAACAGATTCTGAGCTTAATTACAATTAATTATAAATACCGGGAAATATATTAATTTAGAATATATTTAGCTTTATTAATAATATTGATAAAGAATTAAATAGTACTTAATGTGGATATTTTTATAAAATTGTAACTATGTTAATGGATGATTAACCATATGTATGTATATACTTAAAATATTTTTTTATTGTTTTATTTTAGTTTTGGAATTATTTATAAAAAATATTAAGATAATTGATAAATTAATAAATAATATATATTAAGCAAGTATTGCTAAATTAATTTAAATATTTATAATTGATTAAGAATTAGAATAATAATAAGTAGAAGATTATTAAGTAAATAAAATTATAATAATATATATTTTTAATATATATATATATATATAATATATATATATATATATATATATATATATAATATTTTTTTTTTATAAATATTTATTTATTTTTCTATAAATAGGATATTAAAATAGCTATTATTAATAAATTATTTAATAAATTTGATGTATCTTCTGATTTTGAAACTCATTAAAACATTTAGATGATATTTATAAGTATTATTGACTGTCCTTTCAAAAAAATATATTTTGAATTGAAAAAAATATTTATATGTTAATATAATTTAAGTATTTTAGTTAACTCGATTATTTTTAATAAATCATCTTCTTAACAAGCTTCTTTGTTACTATCATATATGCTTGAATAATATATTGAATTGAAAAATAATTAAGTTATTTTTTTTTTGAATATTTATATTTTTTCTTTAAATTTAATGAAATAAAAAAGAATAATAAAGATGATAATGATTAAAATATAATTAATAAAACAAAAACTATTATATAAAAAAAATTTCCAATTTAATTTATTATAAATTAAGCAAATAAATTAATATAGACACTTGTCTAAAATGAATACTAAGATAATAAAAAACAAAATAGTACACAATTTGGATGTATTGCTTAACTTTTTGGATTAAAAAATCTTAAATTATTAGACCTTGTTTATAATTTATTAAAAATTGGGTCAGAATCTGTTCTTAATTCTATTGTATAATTAAATTTTTTTGAATATCTTCTAGTATATATATATATATATATTTTAATAAATGCATATTTATATTAAATATAAATAATATAGAAATTAATTATTAAGCATGAATTTAATAATATTTTACAATTAAAAATTTAAGATATATTTGATTAATGTTTCGCTATTTCTGCTTATAATTAATAAATGAGAAATTCTATAATGTAATAGGCTAATTTTATTTAATTTTTAATCCAAAACGTATAAAATCCCAAACATAGGCCAGGGTATATATATTATTTTATTTAAAAACTTATTTGTTTTTTTAGAAAATATAAAAAAGATATAACTAAAGGTTATTTATTTATGCTCGTTAAATTTGGAAATTAAATAGAAAGTTATAAAGAAAAATTTGATTGGCTTTCTAAAGCTTTAGAATAAAGTATTTTTAGATAAATATTATTGTAAAAATATTATAAATAATTTAGATAAAGAATGGGATAAGATAAAAAACGATACATTGAAATAAATAAATGAAAAAGAAAAAATGACATTAGGAGGTATAGATCCAAAATTAAATATATAATCAGAAAGCATAATTAGCTAAGAAGAAATAACTATTTAAAATATTTAACATGTAAATTTAAATACTTATAATCATAAAAAAATATATAAATATATATATATATATATATATATATATATATATATATATATTTATATTCTATTTTTTATTTATTTTAATTAGAAATTATTAGCATTGTGTTAGAAAAAGCTTTATAAAAATAATAATGATGATGAAAATCAAAATGAAAATGAAAATGAAAACGAAGAGGAAATAGAAGAAATTGATGATGAAAGTATTATAGCGGTTAAAATCAATTATATATAAAAAAAATAAGAACAAGATATTTAGTAAAAATAAATTGAAGTATTTGATCAATAATAGTTTGAATATTTTTAATTTTGGAAAATTAATATTAATTATAATTTTGATGATTTAATTAAAGATTTGTGAATATACTTATAGTTAAGCATTATTTTTTGTTATTATTATTAAATATATAAATATAGATAAATATATAATTTTAGATTAATGTAGATTTATTTATATAAATAATGTATTTTCTTATGTTTTAATTAAGATTCTATATAATATATTTTTGTTTTTTAAATTATTTAAAATTTTAATAAGTATAATAAACCTAATGTCTTTATTATTAATTAAAATCATTATTTTTAACATAAATTATAATAGATATTTCGTCTTATACAAATTTTATTTAATTTTGAATATTATTAATATTTAAAATATAAATATTATTTATAATTTTAATCATTAATAAAAATTATTTAATTTTTCTATTAATTATTATAAATCATTTTTTTGACAAAAAATAAATTTAGTATTATTTTCTTATTTAATTAATTTATTAATTTAATAACTATTAATTTTTTTTTTTGATTTTAACAAAAATAGAGAGAATTATTAAAATAAATTTATAAATAAATATTATTAATTATTAGAAAAAAAAATTAATATTATAATTTTAAGATAAAGAATAATAAATTTATTTATATAAATTAAAATATTGTTTACTTAAATAATTTATTTTCCAAAAATAACTTATATGAATTCGTTTATTATATAATTTTTTTTTAAAAATATAAATAAACAGAAATATTAGATTTATAAAATAATAGCAATAAGAAATAAATATCTAAATAAAAATAAATATTTTATATAAAAAACAAATTAAATCTATTAATAAAATATAATTTTAAAAATAAAAATAATATAACTTATAAAATATTATATTTTAAATAATTTTATTTATTTTGTTGAGTAATTAATAAAAATATAAATATATATATATATAATAACTCTATATTTATATATATATATATAATAAAATTAAATATTAAATAAAGAATTAAGAATATGTTTATGCGTTCTACGCTGAAAAAAACATTTAATGGCGATGTAAAAATTAAAAAAAAAATAGCCTTTTTTTATTTCCACTTTAATAAAAAATAATATGCAATTTTTTTTTAAACTAAAAAAATAAAATAAAAAAAGGCTGAAGAAGAAGCTAAAATACTAAAAGAAAGAAAACAAAAACTTGCTTAGAAAAGATTTGCTAAAGAAAGATTCTACATAAGCAAGTAAAAAAGAGAATAAAATTTTGGCTTTGATGCAAATTTTTAAGAAGGCATTAAAAAGGTCTACACAAAAAGGGCAAAATATGAAAAACTAAAAAAAGAATATGCAAACAATAATATTGAAATGATGCTTTTTGAAGAAGTATACTATTTATATATATACGTGTATATATTATTATATTTTAGGGAATAGATTTTAATAATCCATAAATAAACATTGAATGGCTCCCTTTACATTATTATGATGATGTTACAAACGAGTAACTTTTTGTAGATGGACATATTAATCTAGAAGAAGTATTTACAGACGATGACGGACTTCCTATTTAAGCAACAGGAAAGGCTATATATTTTGATGAAGAGACTAGACAATATAGTTGGTAAATAGTTGATATATTAGGTTACAATCAAAATAAAGGGAAATTTAGATGCGTATTCGAGAATGGGTAAAAGAAATTAATTCCACGTATTTATATCTGTTTTGATATTGAAGAAATGTAATAATTTGTCAAAAGAGTAGCTGTGGCTTTTTAAAAAAGATTATATGCAGACTCATTAATTAGGTTAAAGTTTTACATTTCTTCTATGCCAACTAATCATTTGAGTGAAGTTTCTCCAGAAATGAAAAAGAATTTCGAAAAATTTGTAAGAAATAAAACTTTTGAACATGCTGAACTTACTTCTCTTTTGATGGAAGTTTCTCAAGAATTTTCATTTAATATGAATGGTATTATTTTTGAAAAATATTTAAATGAACATTCTGAGTATATATTTATAGATTTAAATATTTATATATTTATATATATATTTATATATTTATATATTTATATATTTATATATTTATATATATTTTTTTTAGAGATTTAGTCCCACATGGACTTGTTTTACCTCCTAGAGATGATGATTTGTAAATTCCTTATAAAGGAATGCTTATGTTAGAAAAAGAAAAAGGTGCTAAAGATATTTATATGTTTTCTCCATATGAGATTTATGTTACTGAACCTAAAGATTTTCATGAAGTTTTTAAAGATTTTTGCCTGAATTCATTTTTGATTACTCCAGAGGCAATAAGAGCTCTTTAGGATATTAGAAATGAATGCAATAAAATATTAGAATATGAATTCTTTAAACTTAGTACTCCTTAATAACCTTATAGATTAGAAGCTTTTAAAGCTGAATAAGATTCCGAATATCATGAAATACTTAAGAAATTAAAAATTAATTGGATTCCTACTATTGAAAGAATTATTACTTAAGAATTTACTGGTTCTGAAAAAGGATGGCTAAATTTAAAAGAAAATAATCTAGTAAAACAATAAAATTAAATAATCTATATTAAAAAAAATATTTTATTTATAAATAATAATAATAGGATGTATATAATAATGGAAAATTAAAGAAATTCTTTAATTTAGTAGTTACTATGATGCAAGATAGTTTATTAACTTTATGTTAACGTTCATTTAAGAATTTCTATAAATACTTGTCATAATATGTACCTGAAAAAGTGGAAGTTTTAAGTCCTAATCATGTAATAAACTATTATAAAAACAATGTAATTATAAACAGTAAAGATTCTAATACCACATATTCTGTAAATGCCATAAAACCTTTGTTTGTTGTCGATTTAATGAAAAAAATCGAAGACAAAGAGTTCTTATATTCAACTAATGCAATAAATTTTGTATAAACAATATAGATGATTTATGATTAATTAATTGACGAACTTTCTAAGCTGCCTCATATTGAAAAAACTGTGATGTAGGATTTATTCAGGAAAGCTTCTTTATTAAAAGAAGTGTTTTTAAAAAGTCCTAAAAGAGATAATGGTTAGAATTATTAGTATGTCTCAAAAGAGGAATTATAGTTTGACGAAAATAAATGGGTAAATGAATTATTTAATATTATAAGTAAAGAAGCTGAGTAGTCTATTTAACCTTTAGAAGAATATTTAAAGTAGTTTGATCCTTATAAAGATTTGTTATTGTTAAATCCAGAAGAATATGTAAAACAATATGAAGACGGTGAGAATTAAAAAGAAATTAGTATCATTACAGATGAAATTGATTAAATATAATAAAAAGAAAAAAGCTTAGTTTCTTTAATGCCTGATGCTATTTAAGTTTCATATTTTCAAATAAATTGTTAGGATACTGTTAAGTAAAATATATATAATAAAATTAATAATATATATATATATATATATTTAATAATTATTCTTTTATTTTTATTCTTTATTTTTTTATATTTATTATATATTATTATTTATTTATATTTTTTTTTTATTTTTTTTAGTTATTTAGTGAATAAATATTAATAAATAATAAAATTGTTCATTGAATTAATTGCTAATAGAGCTAAAAATAAAACTATAGAACTCTATAAAGATATATACAGTTGTAGATAAATTATTACAAAAGCTCCAAATAATATAGAAGAGTTATCAGCTACACTCGAATATATGATGGGAGTTCCTATTGAATTAGAAAAATAAAAGAAAGAAATTGAGAAATCTATGGAATTGTATGATATTATGGAAACATATAATTATAAATTCACAGAAGATGAAATAAAGAAAAAATGGTAAGTTTTTGGAGGACCTAAAGATATTTTAAAGACTATGGAAGAATAAAAAACTAATTTAGAAAAAGAAAAACTAAAATTCAGAGATAGAATGATACATGAATAAGAGAATTTTAAAACTGAATTAGAAGATGTGGAAAGGTTTTTTATCAATAATTTCATTATTTTTAAATAAAAAAAAATAGAATTGTATAAAATTTCCATACATATACTAATATTAAAGATCATAGCACTGTAAGTGGACTTTCTAGAGATTTATATTAGAAAATAAAGGAATTTTAAGAAAGAGCCAAGAAATTTAATAATTAAGAAGAACTTTTTAATAAGGACATTACTGATTATTCACGAATTTAATAAATGAGAAAAGATTTTGATCCTTATTATAATTTATGGACTACTTCTAATTAAGTAAATATATTTTTTTTATAATTAAAAAAAATAAAAAAATAAAAAGTGGTTCAAAAATATAGAAATATGGAGAAATGGTCCTTGGGACGAATTAAATGCAATAGAATGCGAAAAATTTGTTGATGAAGCATTTAAAACGTACAATTAATCTATAAAATTTTTCAAAGAAAAAGACATATAAGGAGTTCTAAAAATCGCCTAAGCAGTAAAAAGTTAAGTAGATGCCTTTAGACCTCAAGTTCCTTTAATGGTTGCTTTAAGAAGAAATGGAATGAAAGAAAGACATTGGGAATAAATATCGGAAAAAGTAGGATTTAAAGTGGAACCAACGGAAGATTTTACATTTACGAAATTAATCGATATGGGTTTAATGTAACATTTACTTATTTGCGATGAAATAGGAGAAAGGGCAACTAAAGAATATAATATTGAATGCAGTTTGAAAGAAATGAAAGCTTAATGGGAAGATATTAAATTTGATTTAAAATAATTTAAAACATCTTTTGTAAAATTATATATTTCTTTATATATAGAATTTATTTATATATATATTAGATAATAAGAGGATATGATGATATAAATGCAGTTTTAGATGAACATATAGTAAATACTTAATCAATGTAATTTTCACCATTTAAAAAACCTTTCGAAAAAGAGCTTATTGAATGGAATGATTAACTTAAATTAATGAGCGAATTATTAGAAGAATGGGCTAAATATTAAATGAATTGGATGTATCTATAACCTATTTTTGATTCACCAGATATAGCAAAATAACTACCTGGGGAAACTAAAAAATTCAAATAGGTAGATTAGAATTGGAAACATATGATGAATTATACAAAATAAGTGCTCTAGGTTGTAAAAGTGTGCTAATTGGAAGGTTTGAAAGATAAATTAAAAGAAGGAAATTCTAATTTGGAGATAGTTTAGAAAGAACTAAATAATTATTTGGAGAAAAAAAGAGAAAGATTTGCTAGATTTTATTTCCTTTCGGATGATGAATTATTAGAAATTCTTTCCTAAACTAAAGAACCGACAGCAGTTTAGCCTCATTTGAGGAAAGTTTTTGAAAATGTACATGAATTGGAATTCGATGAAACTAAAAAAATGCATGCTATGTTTTCCGCAGAAAAGGAAAAAGTACCTTTTAGTAGAATCGTGGATCCTGTGCATAAAAATGTGGAAGATTGGATGAATGAAGTTGAGGAAATGATGAAAGAAAGTATTAGAGATAGTTTACTTCTTTCAGTTAAGGATTATGTTACTAAGTAGAGGAGTTAGTGGGTGCTTTGCCATCCTGGATAGTGTATTTTGAATGGAAGTCAGATTGTATGGACTGAGTAGGTTGAGTAATCTATAAAGGAAGATAAAGTGGCTGAGTTTTGGAAAAAATCTGAGAAAGAATTGCATGTTTTGGTTGATTTGGTAAGACAGAGACTTACTAAGTAGTAGATGACTACTATAAATGCACTTATTGTGCTAGATGTGCATGCTAAAGATGTTGTGTAGAATTTACTGGACAATCAAGTGAATGATATTGGAGCATTTGAGTGGATTTCATAATTGCGATATTATTGGGAATAAGACAATTGCAGAGTAAAATGTGTATAGACTAATTTCCCATATGGGTATGAATACTTAGGGAATACTCTGAGACTTGTAATTACTCCGTTAACAGATAAATGCTATATGACTCTAATGGGTGCTTTGAAATTAAATTTAGGAGGAGCTCCAGCAGGACCAGCTGGTACAGGAAAGACTGAATCAGTGAAAGATTTGGCTAAAGGATTGGCTAAATAATGTGTAGTATTTAATTGCTCAGATTCAATGGATTATTAGTAGGTGGCGAAATTTTTCAAAGGACTCGCTAGTGCAGGGGCTTGGTGTTGTTTTGACGAGTTTAATAGAATTAATATTGAAGTATTGTCTGTTATAGCTTAGTAGTTATTGATTTTATTTGGAGCAAAAGCTGATGGAAGAGAAATTGTAGAAGGATTTGAAGGAAGTGATATTAAATTAAAGCCTACTTTTTGCGTCTTTATTACTATGAATCCAGGGTATGCTGGAAGAACAGAATTACCAGATAATTTAAAGGCACTTTTTAGACCAGTGGCTATGATGGTGCCTGATTATGCGCTGATTGGGGAAATTATGCTTTATTCTTTCGGGTTTAAATTAGGGAGAGATTTAGCAAAGAAAATGGTCGTGACATTTAAATTGTCAAGTGAGTAGTTGAGCTCATAGGATCATTATGATTATGGTATGAGGGCAGTTAGAAGTGTTATTAATGCGGCTGGGTTACTTAAGGCTGCCGATCCTGATATGGTATATAAATATTATTTTCTATTTTTTATGTTTTTATTTATATTTATTTTAGGATGAGAATTAATTACTATTAAGAGCTTTAAGAGATGTTAATGTCCCAAAATTTTTAAAAGATGATCTACCATTGTTTGAAAATATTATATAGGATTTATTTCCAGGGGTTAGTAGACCGAAGATTGATTATGGGTAGTTACTTAATTCTATATAGAATTCTATTTAAGAATTTAATTTATAAGCTTAAGAAAGTTTTAATTAAAAAATCTTATAATTATATGACACTATTTAAGTAAGACATGGTCTTATGCTTGTAGGGCCTACTGGAGGTGGAAAAACTAGTAATATTAAAGTTTTATAAAAAGCTTTAACTAAACTTGAAAAATAAGGATTTTATAAAGTTCATTCACATACTATGAATCCTAAAAGTATTACTATGGGTTAATTATATGGTTAATCTAATGAATAAACTAGAGAATGGAATGATGGGTAGATATATATATATATTAATATTTTTTTTTTTCTTAATTTATTTATAAAATTTAAATAACGCAAAAAACGTTAACTTTTTTGATTTTGTTTTTAAATAAAAATTTGAAAAAAAATAAAATATAAAAAAAATATATTTATATATATACATATTAATTTTTTTTTAGTATTTTAGCTTATACTGTAAGAGAAGCTTGCAGAGATTAAAGTTCTGAGAGACATTGGATTATTTTCGATGGACCAGTAGATGCTATTTGGATAGAAAATATGAATACTGTACTTGATGATAATAAAAAATTATGTCTTAATAGTGGTATGATTTTAACTCTTACTCCTTATATGACTATGATGTTTGAAGTAGAGGATTTAACCGTTGCTTCTCCTGCTACAGTTTCGAGATGTGGAATGGTCTATATGGAGCCTATATCTTTAGGTTTAAAGCCTTTAATTAAGAGTTGGATGAATACTTTACCTTAAAAATGTTTGGAAAGGAAGAATATTGTGAGCAGTTTGGAAGATTTCTTTAATATATATCTAGATAAGACTGTAGCATTTTTAAGGGGATTTACTAAGGAGATTGTGCCTACTATGGATAATAATTTATGCTAGAGTCTTTTTAGAATTATGAATTGTTATTTCTAGAACTATAAAGAGACTGAAATAAAAAAAGTTTAACCGGAAGAAATTGATTAGTTGGAATAAATGCTGGAATCTTTGCTTATATTTAGTTTAATTTGGAGTATTTGTTGTACTGTAGATTATGAAAGTAGGGAAAAGTTCTCTTAGTTTATTCGAGAATAGATGATTATTCATAAAGCCAAATAATAATTCCCTAGTTTAGGATTAGTTTATGATTATTAATATGATTAAAAATTAAAAGAATTTACTCCCTGGAGTGAAAATTATAAAAATTTCTAAGTTGATAAACTTATATATAATGAAATTATGGTACCTACAATTGATTCTACTAGAAATATTTACTTAATGAAGTTACTTTTGATAAATGATTACCATGTATGCTTTCCTGGGCCTACTGGTACTGGTAAATCTTTAAATGCATACGAATTATTAGGAAATGGCTTAACAGAAAACTTCTAATATATTGCTTTGACTTTCAGTGCTTAAACTTCGGCAAATTAAACTCAAGATACTATAGATTCTAAATTGGAAAAAAGAAGAAAAGGTATATTTGGGCCTCCTATAGGAAAAAAATGTATTATATTTGTGGATGATCTTAACATGCCTAAAAAAGAAGAATACGGAGCTTAACCTCCTATTGAATTGATTAGATAATACTTTGATCATGGAGGATGGTATAATAGGAAAGATTTGTAATTTATGAGATTGGATGATTTAATTATATTGAGTGCTATGGGACCTCCTGGGGGTGGACGTTCGAATATTTCACCAAGATGTTTAAGACATTATAATACTATTTGCTATACTGATTTAGATGAAGGGATTATTAGGAGTATATTCTAAACACTAGTTAATGCATTTTTGGCTGTAAATATATAATTAAAATTTAATAAATATTTTATTTTTTTGTTTTTAGAAATTTAATGAATAGATAAAAGATCTTATTCCTGAATTAATTAATTCTGTATTAGTTACATATAAGAGGGTTAAAAATGAGCTTTTGCCAACTCCAAAGAAGTCGCATTATACTTTTAACTTGAGAGATATAAGTAAGGTGTTTTAAGGAATATGTAATGCTAGTGAAAAACATTGTTAAGAACCTGCAAGTATAGTTAAGTTATGGTATCATGAAAATATGAGAATTTTCCACGATAGGCTAGTTGATTAAGATGATAGGGATTATTTAAAGGAAATGTTAGCATCTTAATTTGGGAAGTTTAGCCTTGAAAAAGAGTAAATTTTAGACATCGAAAGGATAATTTTTGTAGACTTTTGGAACGGAAGAGAATCGGATTTCAGGCCATATATTTAAGTATCTGATTTGAAAGTACTTATGACGAAAATGGAAGAGTTTTAGGAAGAATATAACTAGAATCCCTAGTTTACGAAAAAAGGAAAATCATTAATGAAATTAGTGCTTTTCTTAGACGCTTGTGAACATATTAGCAGAATAAATCGTATTTTAAGATAACCAAAAGGTAATGCCTTGCTTTTGGGCGTTGGAGGTTCCGGAAGATAAAGTTTAAGTAAAATGGCAACTTTTATTGCTGGATATAAATTATAATAGATAGAAGTTATTAAAGGATATAGTATGAGATCATGGAGAGAAGATATAAAAAATGTAAAAATTTAATTATAAATTAATATATAATAAATAAATATACAATTACATATTTAAAAATATTAATATTTATATATAATATAAATTTATATGTATAATTTTTATTTAATTATAAATAGATTTTAATGATGGCAGGTGTAATTGATGAACCTGTTGCATTTTTATTTGTTGATACATAAATTATAAATGAGTAAATGTTAGAAGATTTAAATTCTATTTTAAACTCAGGTGATGTAACGAATCTTTATTAAGATAAAGATATGGAAGAAATAATAGATGCTTGCAAAAACGAGTGTATAAAAAGGAATTTATAACCAAATAAAATGAATATATTTTCACAATATTTACGTCGTGTTTGTAATAATATTCACTTAGTTATTGCTATGAGTCCTCTTTCTAATCTTTTCTCTACTAGACTTAGAATGTTCCCCAGTTTAGTTAATTGCTGTACATTAGATTGGTTCACAGAATGGCCAGAGGAGGCTTTATTGGGAGTCGGTAAAGGATAATTAATTGATTTTATTGATGAAGTTGGAATTTCTAATTAATAACTAATTTAATTAGTAGAAACTTTTAAGACTATACATAAGAGTGTGGAGAAAATCTCAGTTTAATATTAGTAAGAATTGAGAAGAATTAATTATGTTACTCCTACTTCTTATTTGGAATTATTGACGATGTTTAAGACTATTATGAAGGTGAAAAGAAAGGAGTTAAAAGATTCCATTACTAGGCTTAAAAATGGGTTAGATAGACTTATTGAAGCTAATATTTAGGTAGAAGAAATGCAAATTAAGCTTAAGGATATGCAGCCTCAATTAGAAGAAGCAGCTATTAAAACCGAGTAGATGATGACTTATATCGAAAAAGAATAAAAAGAAGCTGATATTACTTAAAAAATTGTTTCTGAAGAAGAAGCCATAGCAACTAAATAAGCTAATGAAGCACAAAAAGTAAAAGAAGAAGCTGAAAAATCAGTAGAAGAGGCTAATAAAATTCTTGATGCTACTCTAATAGAAGTTAGAAAATTAAAAAAAGACCATTTAGTCGAAGTTAAGTCTTTACCGAATCCACCAGCAGCTTGCATTACTATTTTAGGAGGAATGGTTATTTTAATGTAGGATGAAATTAAGAACAAAGGTGGTTAGATTATTGTTAGAAACGTGGAAGGGTAAATTGGAAAAAAAGAAGAAGATTATTTTGGTACTGCGAAAAAATACTTATTGGCAGATCCAGGTGAACTTCTTAGTTTATTACTAGATTATGATAAAGAGAATATTAATTAATAATATATTAAAAAATTAGAAGATAAAGTAATTATATATTAATATATATATAAATATAATATAAATATATATATATATATATATATATATATATATATATATATATATATTTATTTATTTATTTATTTATTTATTTATTTTCTTATAATTTTTTTATAAAATTTAAATAGATTCTTCATTAAGAAGATTTTACACCAGAAAAAGCCAAAACATGCTCTTTTGCAATTAAATATATATAAGCATGGATATAGGCAATGTACGATTTTAATAAAGTTTTTAGATAAACACAACCTTTGAGAGATAAATTAAATGCTATGGAAAAACTTGTAAATGAGAAAATGAGTGAATTAAGAGTTAAGAAATAAGCTTTGGAAGAAATTTAATAAAAAATAAAGTCTTTAGAAGATTCTTTTAATAAAACAGTAGAAGAAAAAGAAAGATTAGCTAAAGAAATATCTGAATGTTAATTAAAATTGGATAGAGCTCAGAAATTAACTAGTGGATTATCTGATGAAAAAGTGCGTTGGTCTAATGATATTAAATTATTATAAAGTAGGGAAACATTAGTTCCTGGAGATTCTGTTATAGGAGCAGGTATGGTGGCTTATTCTGGGCCTTTTGTAAGTAGTTATAGATAGATTTTAGAAAAAATGTGGATTCATAAATTAGATGAAGTACAAAAAATTATATATACATATATATAAAAAAATATAGATTGGTATTTTACATTCTGATAATGTTACTATGTCTAAATTTTTAGGAAAGCCTATATTAATTTAATAATGGAATTTAGCTGGTTTACCTAAAGATGATACTTCAATAGAAAACGGTATTATAATAGAATAATCAAGAAGATGGCCTCTTATGATCGATCCATAGACTTAGGCAAATAAATATATAAAAAATTTAGGTAATAACTAAGAAATATGTAAAATGGGAATCGATGTATGCAAAATGAGTGACTATAATTTAATAAAAACCCTCGAATTGGCCTTAAGAGGTGGAAAATGGGTTCTCGTAGAAAACGTAGGTAGAGATCTCGATCCATCACTAGAACCTATTCTTTTATAGCAATTCGTAAGAACCAGTAATGGATTAGAATTGACACTTGGAGACAAAACAATAGCCGTAAATTCCGACTTTAAATTATTTATGACTTCAACTAATCCAAATCCTCATTATTCCCCTGAAACTTTCGTTAAAGTATGCATAATTAACTTTGCGATTACAAAATAAGGAATGGAAGATTAAATGTTGGCAAAAGTTGTAGAATTAGAAAACCCTTAATTAGAATAAAAAAAGACTGAAATCGTCAAAAGAAATGCTGCAGATAAAAAATCTCTATATAATATAGAAGATGAAATCTTAAGAAGTCTATAAGCTAGTGATGATATTTCTGAACTTTTAATGGACGAAACTCTGATAAATACACTATAAAACGCTAAAAAATTTGCCGCAGAAATCAATTAAAGGATGCAAGACTCAAAATTAACTGAATAATAAATAGACTAGACTAGAGAAGGATATAGACCAGTCGCTTATAGGGCTTCTTTGTTGTTCTTCTGTATTTTAGACCTTAATGTAGTTGATCCTATGTATGAATATTCACTTTAGTGGTTTTCGAAATTGTTTGAAATGGGCGTGGAAAATGCTCCGGCATCAAAAGAACTTGTTTAGAGATTAGAAAATCTTAATAAGTATTTAACTTATTCACTTTATGAAAATATTTGTAGATCTCTTTTTGAAAAGCATAAACTGTTATTTTCTTTCCTTTTAGCCGTTTAGATTTTATAGGTATTTTTTTTTTTTTTTTTAAATTTATTTCATATATAGGGAGATAATAAAATGGATTTAGTAGAATGGAGATATTTATTAAGTGGTCCAACTGGAGATATAAAAATACTAAATAATCCAACATCTTGGGTAGATGAGAATAGTTGGGGTGATATGTATAGATAAATATATTCTATAGGCTAATTAGAAAACTTAAAGGATTTTGATAAATTCTTTATGAGCAATTCTGATTTATTTAAACCCTTATTTGACTCAACCAATCCCCACTTAGAGTCTTTACCAGAACCTTGGAACTCTTCCTTGAACGAATTTTAAAAGATGATAGTCTTAAAGGCCATTAGATCGGATAAAATAATACCTGCAATTGAAAAATGGATAGAAAGTAACTAAGGTAGGGAATTTATTATACCCCCTGTATTCGATATAAGTAAGGGCTATAAAGACTCATATTCTACGACTCCTCTTATATTCGTACTTTCTGCCGGTTCTGACCCAGTGGCTGACTTTTAACGTTTCTGTTAAGAAATGGACATGTAGAATAAAAACAATAGTATTTCTCTAGGACAAGGTTAAGGTCCAAAAGCAGAAAAAATGATAAAGGAAGCAACCTAAAGAGGTGGATGGGTGCTTTTATAAAACTGCCATTTGGCTATTTCGTGGATGTCCGAATTGGAAAGAATAGTTGAGGAGTTTAATGATAATATACATAAAGATTTTAGGCTTTGGTTAACGTCTATGCCTTCTAATTAATTCCCTATTTCGGTTTTATAAAATGGGGTTAAGATGACTTTGGAACCTCCTTAGGGTTTAAGAGCGAATTTAAGAAGAAGTTATGCAGGATTAAATGATAATTATTTAAATAACTGCAATAAAGTAGATTAATTTAAGAAACTTTTGTTCGGGTTCTGCTTTTTCCATGCTATTATTTAAGATAGGAGGAAGTTTGGAGCTATAGGATGGAATATTCCGTATGATTTTACTATGGAAGACCTTAATGTGTGTTAAAGGTAGCTTAAAATGTTATTGGATGAGTATTAAGAAATTCCTTACAAAGTCCTGAATTATTTGGGGGCAGAAATTAATTACGGAGGAAGGGTTACAGATGATAAGGATGTGAAATTAATTAAATCAATTTTAAGTAATTACATGAGACCTGAAATTTTGTAAGATGGATATAAGCTTTCTGAAAGTGGAATTTACTATTCTCCTTAGCCTGGGGAATATTCAGATTATATCAATTACATAGACAGTCTTCCTTTAAATCCGACTCCAGAAGTTTTTGGTTTGCATGATAATGCTGAAATTACTAATGCCTAAAATTAAACAAGGTCTCTTTTAGAAACTATCCTGTCCGTACAACCCAGAACTAGTTCCGCAGGAGGAGTTTCAAGGGAAGAAAAAATAGAATAAATAGCTACTTAGATATAGTAAAGAACGCCAAAAGAGTTCGATTTTGATGCTATTTTTACGAAATATCCAACTGATTATAATGAATCTATGAACACTGTGCTAATTTAGGAAGTTGTGAGATATAATAGGCTTTTATAAATAATGAATATATCACTTGTGAATGCTAAAAAAGCTTTAAAAGGACTAGTTGTAATGTCTGAAGATTTAGAAAAGATGACGAATTCTTTATATGACAATTAAGTGCCTTAACTTTGGGCAGCAAAAGGATTTTTGTCTTTAAAAAGTCTTTCTTCGTGGATTGAAGATTTAAATGAGAGGATTCTATTTTTATAAAATTGGATTGAACATGGAACTCCGAAAGTTTTCTGGATTTCCGGATTTTTCTTCCCATAAGCTTTTGTGACTGGTACTTTATAAAATTATGCTAGAAAGCATATTATTGCAATTGATAAAATCTAATTTAAATTTGATATAAAGGACGACATTTAATATATTGACATTAAGGAAAAACCAGATTTCGGGTGCTATATTTATGGAATGTATTTAGAAGGAGCTAGATGGTGTCATGAAAGCCATAAATTAGAATAATCTAAACCAAAAGAACTTTTCTGTAATTTACCTATGATTCATCTTGTGCCAGTAGAAAATAGAGTAATTCCAACTTCAGGTATTTATAATTGCCCACTTTATAAAGTAGTTTCTAGGGCTGGTACTTTAAGTACAACAGGGCATTCAACAAATTTCGTTATGTATATTGAATTGCCATCAGATGTTTTAGAATAAATTTGGGTTGTGGCAGGAGTAGCTGGATTTTTAGCTTTAAGATATTGATTATATAATAATATAAATTAGTATTTTTTTTATTAAATAAAGATATTTCTTATTTTATTATATTAATAAGATTTATTAATATATAAATATTTAATAATAAATTATTATTGTTATAATTAATATTTTTATAAATAATTTAAAATTTATATATAATAAATAATAATATAATATATATATAAAAAAAAATTAAAAAGAATAAAATTTTTAAAGTAAACATATAAATAATTTTTTTGTAGATATTTATATATTTATAGATATATATATATCAATATAAATATATATATATATATATATATAATAAATATATATTTTTATAATATTTATATATATAAATATTTTTTTTAATTTATTTTAAAATAAAAAATTAAATCATATATTTATTTTAAAAGAAAGATATTAATTTAATAAATACATATTATTTATTTTTAAATTTATAATAATCTTATATAAATAATTAAAATATATATTAATATAATATATATTATAATTATTATTTTTATTTTAATAATTTATTTTATTAATTTAATATCTATAATTTTTTTTAAAATAAAATATATAACAATTCATAAATATTATATCTTTTTTGCTTTTTCTTTAATAGTTATAATATATTTTTTATTTATTAAAAAAAAGTAATTTAATTATACATCTTTTTAATTGTAATTTTTTGTCGAATCTTTTTAAAAGTTAACATAATATAAAAAAATTTAAAATATTTTTTATTCTTTGATTTTATTTAAAATTAAAAAAAATATAATTGTCTCTTTTTTATATCATATATAAAATATATATTTAAATAAAAATGATTATTTTATTATTATATTTAATATTTGGTTTAATATATTCTCAAAATTGCATAACATTTTTAGACTAAGCAAAAACAATTTTGTAAATATAAGATTTATAATCATGCAATATAATTACATGGGATAATAAAATAATATTAGATTAATTAATAATATCTGGAACATTAAAAATAGATCATACATTATAGCAAGAATTAACATTAAATTTTAAGCAACTAGTAATTGGAATAAATGCTTTAATAGATATTAATGCTTAAAATTTTGCTATTTCTTTTTATCAAGTTGAAGTTACTCAAAAGACTTGTGATTTAACAGATACTTAAGCAGGATAAATAAACGCCATTGGACCTATTATTTATCCCTATAGAATAATAAAAAATATAAATGCAGGATAGAACTTTATTGAAATAGAAACTATTCCTAAATACGCATAAATTAATTAAAAGTTTTTAATTACACATGTTTAAGACTTTAAAGCAAATTAAAAAGAAATTGAAATATTTACTTTGTGGTCAGTAGATAAAAATAAATTATAATTTGTTGAAATTTTCAAAGACTCTTATGTTTTATAAACTTTATAAACTTTATAAACTTCCATATAGCCAGTATAATAGAAAATATATCCTTTAGAAAGCAATTTAATTACCTTTACTAAGTAATATGATTTGAAAATAAAAATATTAAATATTTTTTAATTTAATTTAAGAAAAATATATATAAATATTTATATATATATATATATAATATTTATATATATATATATATATATATATATATATTTATATATATATATTTTTACAAGCCTAAAAAATATATATATGAACTTAAAAAATATATTAATAAAGTGTATGCTTAAACTTAAGTTATGGTTCTTTTACAGGAGTTTTATTTAAGAATTTGCAAGGATTTTTACTTAAAAAAGGTTCAATAAACAACAGTATAATCCACGATACTACAGGAGATGAATTAAGAACATATGATCTCCGTTATCCTGTAATTTTAAGCAATAACTTATTTTTTAATTTGAAGTAATAAGTTATATTAACAAGTATATAAAGTTAAATAATCAAATAATCAAATACATTTATTAAATGTTTTTCTCATATTAATATTTCGACAGATTTCTTATTATAATAAGTATTCATTAGTAGTAATATAATAATTAATAATACAAGAATATAGCCTTAAAATTTGATTAACTAAAATACATTTATAAATACTTAAATTACACTTGGTATGAATATATAAGCTTTAGATATTCAAAACAATTATTTCATAAACAGCCATTTTTAAAGAGCTTCTTTAATAAAACAAATTTCTTTTTCGTTCAATTATTATATAGGATTTTAATTAATATTACCTTAAACAAGAAATAATTTAAAAATTCTCTCAAACACATTAATATATTAAGATAAAGCACAATAAGCTTAGTAAAATTATTTTGTTTCCATTTAAATTTTTGAAAATACCCTTTTACAAGCCCTATAAGTTTTAAATAACAATTTTTATAATTTAAAACCAGCAGCTTGCTTTATAGGAAGATAAAATTACATATCTGGCTAATATAGTGAGTTTTTAGAATCAATAAATGTATTTTCTACATTCTAATCGAACAGATTTTACATTGAAAATCCAAAAAGTTCTTTTTCAACAAATTGCTCATATTGTAATTCTTTACAAACCTCATCTTAATGCTTAGAATACACTAAAAATCATTATATTGACAAAGCTTTAGTCTTAAAAACTTGCCCAGATTCCTGTGTTTATTGTTACGATGGAACAGCTTCTTTAGGAGTGAGAACTAACTAACCTTTATTATGTTTAGTTTCTACTCAAAATTATTACCTTGATGAAGCAGGAAAAGCCACCGAAATAAATTTAGGTGTTAATATATGTGCAGAAATCCAAAAAACCGAAGCTTAGACATGTTCAGAATGTCCTTAATAATAATTTGGTTATTTTAATGAATGCAGATAATGTAACGCTAAATGCCTTTTCCACTGTTAAGGGCCTTATGAAAATTAATGCTATAAATGTCAAGATTACAAATAATTATTTAATCTTTAAAATAAATAATGTGTATCAATATGTCCTATCGGGACAATCAAAAACGGAGATACATGCGAAATATGTATAGGAGATAAATGTGGAATTAAATGCTAATAAAAAGAATGTATTTAGTGTTTGAAAGACCCTTCTTTGTGCGATTAGTGTCTAAAAGGATACTTTTTAGCGAATGGAGTTTGCATGACAGCTTGTCCTTAGTAATATTATTAAATTAATAGGTAGTGTTTAAAGTGTGGGTAGTTTGACAATTTAATTTATTAATCGTGTAGCCAGTGTTAGTAATAAATGTTGTGCTTGAGTTGTTAAAATATATCCTCATATTGTACTTAGTGTATAGAAACTATGTTGAATTATAAAGGACTTTGTGTGGAAAAATGTCCATTTAACACTTATAGAAAAAATGATAACTGTGAAGATTGCTTAGAAGATGATAAACTTTATTATGAAGAATGCAGAACATGTAATTAATTTTAGTGTTAACTATGTACAAATGACAAAAATATATGCACTTAATGTTATTCTAAATATGTCTTGTATAAAGGTGTTTGCTATGATAAATGTCCTGATTATGCTTTTAAAGTTTAGACATCATGTTTTGATAAAGGTATATATATATATATATATATATATATATATATATATATATATATATATATATATAATATATATATTATATAGATAATTACATATTAGATAATAATAATAACAATAGTTCTAATACAAATACAAATACAACTTCAACTACAACTACAAATTCAAATAATATTACAAATAAAAATACAAAATTAGCAAATTAAGAATTAAGTGATGATGATTTTTCTTAATCTAATTTAATAGTTATTATTACTATTTTTTTAATTTTAGCTGTTATCGGTATTTTTGGGTATATTTTTTTTAGAAGAAGAAGAGTTAATTAATAAAAAAGAAAAATTTAAACTATTTTAAGGGCAGCTTAATAAACTTAAATTTAACCAAATAATTTCGATATTGATTTTGAAAAATGTGATAATAATGATTAAAACAATAAAGTTGTTATACCAAATTAGTAAGATTCGGATATTATGTTAAAAAATTCTAATGCTATTCCTTAAGAAACTAATGATAAGATCAGAAGAAAAACTTTTATGTTATAAAATAATTGAAAAAAAACTTATTAAATATATTTATATATATTTAATATTTTTTATAATGAAAATTATATATTTTAATATTTTTGTTTATTTATTTAATACACAATATGAATTAATTATAAATAAGTAAATCTAAAGAACTTGATTATTCTTCATCTTCATCATCTTCTTTATAGGCTTTTCAAAATTATTATGAAGTGCATAATATTGCGCATGTTTAAAATATGTACTAAGAGAGTTAATTTAAAGTCCTTTCAAAAAATTTAGAAACAGATAATGAAGAAGAATATGAAAATATAGAAAATGAAAAATAAATAATAATTTAAAAATTATAATTAGATATTGATTAATTACAAAAAAAAACCGATAATATTTAAAAAAACATTGATTTGGAATTTTATAATGATGATTATTTGCATGCAATATCTAATTTTAAATACCAAGAAAACATAGAAAATAATATCAAGAAAAAAATAAGAAAAGTTCAATAATTAAGAAAAGATTGCTTAAATTTGAAAAACTTAAATGAGGAAATTGACCCTGAATTGTTTTTATATTTAAAAGAGTTAGACAAAGAAAAAGTTAGCGAATTTTTTTCTATTATAGATTTAATTATTAATAATAATAGTATTGTTTCTTTTGATTGGTCTAAATTTTGTGAATTACATTTCAAAAATAAAGACAGTATAGATATATTTTTAATTAAAATGAAGTATTTTCATTTCTAAGAGCTAACAGATTTCTATGATGAATTATTTAGGAAATAAATTGAAGAAAATAAAGATTTACATGAATATATTTATAATTAAAAAAATCCTCCATATGAAATATTATTACTTTAAACATTTGTAGGTATATTATAATTTTTTTTTATTTATTTAAAATATAAAAATAGCAGCAATAATATATAAATACTTTATTAAAATTTAAATAATAAAATTAATTTATATTTTTCTTTTAATTTAAAACTAATTTTTATTATATATTATTATTAAAAAATAAAAAAGAATGGATGAAAATAATGAGGTATGGATATCAGTTAAATTTATAACTTATTGAATAAATTAAAATAGTAAATGAATATAAAAAAATAATTGAAATATCTGATGTTAATTTGTAAATTAGTTAAGAAAGAAATAAAAATAACTTAAAAAATATTCAAAATTTAATGGAAAAAATATAATACTTAAAATAATAAATATAAAAAATATAGTAAATTTGATTTCTATTATTTTTTTTAAAAAAATGAATTAATATGTACTAATTCAAAAAGAATATATTATATATATACAAAATAATAAACTCAACATTAAGTAAAAATATTAATTAATATATAAGAGCATATTTTAAAAATAAATAAAAAATATTTTTATTTAAAAAAAATAATAATATTAAATCTTTTTTTTTATTTTTAACTAAATTTAATGAATTTTTTTTATAATAGCTTTTATATTTTAAATTAATTTTATTAGCAGAAATTATATATTAAATTAAAAAATTCTGATTGTTTAATATTTTAACTCCTTTTTTTTAATAATTTATAAAATAAATATATATTATTTTTTTTATAAAAAAAGATTATCTATAACATTATCACTTAATTTCTTAACAAAGAAAATTTTTTTTAATTTCCTAAAAAATTAATTTAATATATAGAAAAGAAAAAAAAAATATTGAAATAAATATATATTATATCACCAAAAATTATAAAGCAAATAATAAATAAACAAGCAAAATAAAATAAAAAAAATTTAAACCAAAACAAAAAACAAATAAATAATGATAATATAACAAAACTTAAAATGCTAACAACTTTTCAGAAGTTTTTTTTCTCTATTTTAATATGCAAAATCCAGTAAAATTCAAGAAGAAAATAATTTGTAGAAATTAAAAAAGCTAAATGAATTAAGACCTTAATTATTCTAGAACTTAGAGAAATATAATATAAAAAATAAATATGATATTTTTATAACATATTCTAAAAGTGATCTTTTTGACAGAAATCTATTTGATAATATCGAATTAGATTTTATAAAAAACAAAAATAGTTTTACTATTACACAATTGATATCTATTTATGAAGGCGCTTGTAAAATCTAGAAAGGCACCGATAAGTTTTTTTATATTTTCGAATAGTAATTTATTAAAAATTTGCATAATTTTATGAGTAATTAATTATTAAAATTGTCTTTTGTTTTGTTAAAATATGATAAGTGTTCTAAAAAAATTGTTGAGTAAATATACATTCATTTTATTAATAGGCTTGATAGTTTTTCATAATTAAATTAATTATAAATGATCGCGTTTTTTATAAGTTCTCTTGCATTGAAAAAAGAAGTATATGACCAGATTTTAGATAGATTATTTGAAAATTTTTAAAAAAGAATTAGCGAATTTTCAAAAAAAGAAATAGTACTTTTTGGATAAATTTACTTTTCAACTTTTTTAAGAGAATATTAAAATTTAATAAATGAAAGAGACTTAGCGATTATAGAAGGCTTGAATTTTAATTTTAAAAATGATGAAATAATAAGAGAATAGCAATGTATTTATTTAAAGTATTAAAACGCGTTTTTAAAAATATAGGATTAGTTTAGGTAGGTTGTTTTAAATCATATAAAGGAATTTAATATTAAAGATTTTAAAATAATTTTTAATATATATAAATTCAACAATATTTTATTAGACTTTTAAATTTAAAACTAATGGAATGAGTTTATTGATAAAAATTATTTGGAATTAAACATTAATGATATATTCGTATTGAATTAATATATTTATAAAAAATATATTTTGAAGTACATTTAAAATAATATCTAAAAGTTTAGTTTTAATGATATTTAAAATTTCTATAAAATAATTAAAATAGACAATACACTAGGTAAATTTAATTATTTATTTATTTAATTATATATTTATATCAAATAGAATATGAATAATTTCTAAACTTAATTGACAAAAGGCTTTTTAATATTTTAAATTAATTTACTTTGAAATAATGCATATGTATTTTATGTGTCAGAGAGGTTTAGTATTTAAAATTAAAAGATCAACCTTTTTCTAAATAAAGGAAATTATTTTTATAGACTGTTTTAGAATAAACTACTTAAAAATTATTAGAAAAAGAAAAAACTGATGTAAAGGTTTACATTCAAATTTTAAAAGTTCTTTTAAAATCTTAAATTATTATTGATGATAAATATTTAGAACATTTTTTTTAATGTATAATAAAAAACATTTATTTTGATGAATTTGATGATTTCATGAAAATTGTTAAACTTTTTAATCTAATTAGTAAATACTATTCTGGATTAAATAATTTTATTTAAAACACTATAAATTAAATTGAAGAAAAAGCAAATATTGGCTGATGTATTAATATATCTAATTATAATATAATTAAAAAAAAAATATTTAAATAATTAAAAATACTTTGTAAACTTTATTTTTTAACTTTATTTTTATTTTATTTTAAATAAAATGCTTTTAATTAAATTTAGTTTTAATATGATTTTTTTTTATTTTTATTTTTTAAATTATATATATATATATTCAATTATAATATCCAAAAGTAAAACTGTTAAATAGCTCTTTGCCCATAGCTTATAATAAAGAAGCCATATTTTACATAACCTTATGTTAAGCTTCTGGCATTAAATCAGTAATAGCCAAATAATTATCATTTATAAAAAAATTTAAATTTTCATATAAATATAATTCAACACCAAAATTCTAAAAATTAATATCATCTAAAATTTAAACACTTTAATCTGCCACTCTAGCTTCCTTTGGAGGCATTTAAATCATTTTTAAATTCAATTCTAGAGTTAAATCAACCCACTAACCTGTTTCTGGACATAAAATTTCTTATTTTTAAAACTCAGCTTTATAATTCATTTTTGGAGTATTAGGAATATAAGTAACTAAATTATAGTATTTAAATTAAGGAAAATACTCCCTTAATTTACTCGCATAGTCTATTTCTATTAATATACTTGATATACCCATATTATATTTTTTCTTAAGTTCTGGTTTATAATAAAAATACTAACTAAGAAACATTTCTGGAACAATATCAACTTCCGAAACAGCAATTAACTCTTTATTTAAATAATATTTCATTAAAAAATTTCCTATAGGAAGTTTCCATTAATTATCAATTGAGCTAATCAAATATTATGTTTCCATTATTTTAGCTAAATTTTATTTTTAATATGTTTCTTTTGTTAATTATTCCCGATTATGTATTTATGTATAATATTCACAGTGTAATTGATAGGCTTCATCATCATATATTGGTTCGCATATAATAATGTGTAAATTTCCAATTTTTATTTCGGTAGAGTTTAATATATCATAATTATATTTTTTTTTTTTTATATTTTTAATTTTTTTTTTTTATTCATCTTCTTTTTTTTCTTTAGGTTTATTTTCATATAATTTATTATTTTTTTAAAAATGTATAAAGTAGTTGTTTATTTAAAATGTAAATGATGTTTTTGGAAGTTCCTAATTTAATAATTATATAATTTTTTCTGAAAGTATTTATTTGTTTTCGAACATATTTTTATTATTGTAAAAAAAAACATTAATTAAATCAGAATAATAATCAGAAAAATTATTATTTTTTGATTTTTAAACAAACTTGAAATTCGAGGGAATTTATATGTTTTCGAATATCTAATTTTAAATTAAAGATTCTAAAATTTAGCGAATTTAAATTATTTCTTCATTTTCCAAGTTATGTTTTTGTAGACAATTTTATAAATTTTTTTGGTCTTTTTAATTATGCATTAATTTAAAAAACTTATTTTTTATTTTCTATTATTAATGGTTTATTTTAAATTGTTCTACAGGAATTCTTACCGTAAACATTTTACAACAAGACAAAAAATTGTTTTGTTTATAAAGATATTATCCACTTCTAACAAAACCATGGCATACAAGTTTATAGTAAGAATCAGGAAGAATTAATTATACATTGAAACCACAATGAAATTTAGAATCAAATTATTAGCAATATTTGCATAATTCTTTATTAGATATTTCCGAATGACAGGATCTTAAATCGATTATGTATTAATATTAATTTTATAACATTAAATTAAATTTTTTTAAAATTTTATTTTATATATTAATTTTTATAAAAAAAATATTTTTTTTTTTTTTCTAAAATACATATAAATAATTATAATTTTTATTCATCTAGAATTATTATGATTATTATGTTTATCATGATTTTTGATAAAATAATCATGTTAAAACTATTCTTAATTTACATATTATTATTATTATAATTATGATATCTATTATTATTATTATTATTATTATTATTATTATTATTATTATTATTATTATTACTAATATTATTAATTTTATTGTTTATTATTTTTTTATTTGCTTAATTTAATTATTGTTGTCTATTTTATTATTACTATTATTATTATTATAACATCATTATTTATTATTAATAAGCCTATTATTATTACTAAATCTATAAATTTTAATTTCTTGGAATAATATTTGATACATTATGAGACCCCTATCCACCTAAAATATTTGTAAATGTATTATTAAAATTAATATTATTTGCTGAGTTAATTAATTAACATGTTTAATTGTTTGTATTTGTAGTATTTGACAGATGGCATGTAATATTTTAATTTGTAACATTATTTTGCATGCTTTCTAGATTATCCATTAGCCTAGTCAATTCTGTCATTAATCCTTCAATTTTATTAAGCATATCTTCCCCTTCTCCCTATTCATTACCTTGATTAATAGTTTACTATTACATCTATTATTTTCCTAAAAAACTTTCAGGATGAATATATTCTTCATTTAATGTATTTGGTTATATAGCAGACCAACTATTTGCTATTTATTATTATTATTGTTGTTAATTTTCGTTTATTGCAAATGTGTTTCCTGTATTTTACATATTTTACTATGATATTTAGGCCATTGATGTTTAAAGATTCTTTAATTCAATCATTAAATTAAGTTTTTCATATTCAGATTAAAAAATCCTTTTTTCTAATTCTAAACAGCATGAACATTCTCGATTTACGATTGATTCAAGTTCTAACTCCTCATATAAATATTGCATTACCTGTTAGATTTTTTCCATTTCGTCTTTATCATCAGTTTATATTTCATTATTATTAATATTTAAATTATTTTGTTTTTATTTTTTATTTTTTTAATTATTTAATTTAGTTTTTTTAGTTTTTATTGATTTTTTTGAATGTTTTTTCTTTTAAATATTCTCTGTTTATTTTTCTTAATGATTTTCTAATATTTATTAATCATTATTTTGTACTTTTTATTCTTCTTCTTCATCACCTTCATCTTCTTCATTTTATTCTTCTTAAACTTCTTAAAATTTATTATTCTATTTAAATAAAAGTATAAATAATATAATATATATATATTTATATATATATTTATATTTTTATATTTGTTTTTATTTATTTTACTAGATTTTATATTCTTTATTTTCTATATTCTTATAGATACTTTTCTTAAGATTCTAGTATAAATTATTAGAAAATTTATTATTATTCTTCTTCTGATAGATTATGGAATTATTCATCATTTTGAATTTATTCATTGAAATATTCTTATTACTACATGAAAAATTCTTCGCTAAAAATATATTCATTTTATTTTAAATCCTCATCTTCATATTCTTAATCTTAATTTTATTATTCATTACTACTATTAATATTATTTATAACTTTTTTTTACTTTTTTTTTTTCTTTCCTTCCTAAATTTACTATTATTATTATTATTATTATTATTATTATTATTATTATTATTATTATTATTACTATTACTATTACTATTACTATTACTACTTTTAATCTTCCTAATTTTCTATAAATTCTTCATTTTTTTCATCCTAATGACTACTTAATTACATATTATGTTAATAATGTGCATTAGCTATCATTTACTTATGTTGTTTAATTTACATTACCTCTCTTTTTTCTTTAAAAAGTTTAATATTTCTAATAAGTTTATCAAAAATCCTCTTCGAAATTACTTTCAAGCTTTCGCCGAATTTTTCTAATTCATCTGTATTTGGAGTAATTCCTGGATTATTTCTTATATCTAAACTGATCAAATTTTCATTATTGTCAAGCATTTTGTCGATTTCTAAGAGCCCTTCAGCATCAATTTAATTGTATCTTAAATTCAAGCTTCTTGTCCATCCATCGAATTGTAAAAAATAGCACAAATCCTTTACACTTTTGTAATTCAAAGCGTTTCCCATTAAATTAAGTTCACAAATTCCTTCCAAATTAACGTCATTTTCAGGTACTTCACCTCTCAATCCACATAACCATATCCTATCGTCCCTATTTTTAGAGTGTGATGATAGTAGTTTTCCTATTAGACCACCAGCTTGTCCATTAAGTAGATTAAATGATAAATCTAACAATATCAAAGACTTATTTTGTGATATATTTTCTATAAGACCTTTTTCGAGAACATCAGAAGTAATAAAACAATGGATTAAATATAACTCTTTTATTGTTTAAGATTGGGCAAATCCTGAAGTAAAAGCATATAAAGTTTCTGAATTTATTTTAATTTGTTAGACTTTTATTTGTGTCGTTTTTTCACTTTTTCCTATGTTTTGTCCAAAACAGGTCATTATTTATAAAAAGAGATTTGGGAATTCTTAAGAGAATAATTTTTTAGAAGATTTAGTAGTTTTATGGCTTGTTAATTATTAATTTTGTTAATTTAATTACTGCTATTAAGTTATTAAGGTTTTTTTTTTTTGACTTTCATTATTTATGTTTTAGTTTATTTTATTATTTTCAGAATCTTCTTCTTCAGAAAAAAAGGAAGAATTTTTTATTTTTTTTGTAGATATTTATTCATGTTTTTTACAAAATTGTTCTTCGTTAAAATCTATATTACCTGTAATAGTAATGGCTTAAAATTGACATTCTCTTAAAATAATTTTTAATGGATCAATATCGTTTTGGGTTAGATTATCATAATTTATATTAATTTCTCCATCTTTAAGGGAATGAGATATTGCATTATTTATTGATACATTCTTTTTTTAGCAAACTAATTTGTAAAATTATAAATTAGATTGACCTTTTTTCTTTTTTAATTGTTTAGTTATTTATAAAGATTTTTATTTTGAATAAGTTAATTGCTTTTAGGATGTCTGGTTTTAATTGTTTGATGTTTATAAAGGCTTTTTAATCATATTTTATGTTTTTTTTTATTTTTATATATATATTTTCTTTTCTATTTTTCTTATTTATAATATTTGAAAAAAAATCCTTCCTTAAATTTAAATGTAAAATTTTAAGTTATATATTTTTTTGTTTTATGTTTTTTGTTTTTTTAGTTTATATAAGTGAATTTAAATATAAATGATAAAAAAAATTTTGCATAAAATATATATAAAAAAAAATTAAAACTTATATAAAAAAATTCATACAAAATTTTTAATTTTAAGTTAAAATAAAATAAATATATAATAAATTTATTTATATAATTAATACATAAAAATTTCAAAATTAAATAAATAATTTATTATAATTTATAATAATATTTTACATTTAAAATGAATATAAAAATAATAATTTTACATAAATAAAATAAATTAGATATATTTATATGTTTTATTATTCAATATGCACCAATTTCTTCTTCTTATTCTTCTCTTAAGGAAGGAGCTAAATTTAACCAAAATTTATCTTCATTAATTTTAGGATAACTTAATACTTCTAAATTCATTTTTACATGTCTATTTTTTTTTTATCCAATCAATGTTGCTGATTGAAATATATAAAAATAAATATATATATATATATATATATATATATATATATATAATATTTACATATATTACATATATAATATTTTATTTTTTTTATTTTTTTTATATATATAATTATTAATATATATATTATATAAATTAATAAATATTATATATATATGTGTATATATTATTACAGCATATAGCGTCTGAAGGAATAGATCTTATAAATTATAAGTGTTTAGCCCCTAAATTTGCACATTCAAATACTTAAGAACTTAAAGGAGTATTAATTAATGCTCCATTCATTAAAGGTGATGAAGTAATTATATTAATTTAAAGTTATTTTGCAACTTTTAATAGATATTCTTCTTACTTTTCACCTTTTTCATTTTATATTATTTAATATTTTTCAGCAAAACATTCTGGCATCATTAAATTTACCTTTATTTATAAATAAAATAAATATTTTTATATTTATTAAATTACAGGTAATTAAATAAACTTAAACCCATGATTTTTTCCTCCTACATTTTCTGCCAAATTTACGATATCTTCCAAATTTAAATAAAATTTTTCCATATAAGAAGAACATCTAAATGAAATCCAAGTTGCCAGTCCATAAGAATTAATTTTTTTTTACATTATTTTTTCTTCCAAACATTCAAAAGCCTTTTATAATAATAAAAAGTACTTTTCTCTACCCAAAACAGGTAATATTTATTCAGATGAATTTTATAAATAAAACAAATCTAAAGTATCTATTCCTAAATTATTCAAGGACATTTCAATAGATTAAGAAAGGAAATTTTTAGAAAGAGAATATTGATTATTTATAATTTCTGCTTAAGATAAATTTAATTTTTTAATCATATCTTATCTGTTAATTTTTTAGTCATAATCTTCGGGAATAAATCCTCCTTTTGAAGATAAAAAATATTAGTCTCTTTCTATTTGTTTTTAAGATTTTAAATAACTTAAAGCAGCTCCGATTGTTCTTTCGGATTTTTAATATCGATAATTTATAGAGGTATCTATAACATTCACTCCTCCAGTACAAATACTATCTATTAAAGCATTAAACATCTATTAATATTTTTATAAAATTAAATAGATTAAATATATTAAAAATATATATTAAAATATATAAATTTATAAATATTTAAATAAATATTTATATATGTATAAATATTTATTTATATATATTTATACATATATATATATATTCATATATATAATATTTTTTTTTTTTAATTATATTTAGCAACTTATAAATCATTTTCTTTTGTTGGAGATCCTTAATATGTTCCAAATCCAATACTTGATAAATTTATATCAATTTTATAAGGTTATTTGAAATTAGACTCATCAACTTTTTTTTATTATTATTTTTCATTTTTTTTTTATATTACTAGTTTGTATTTTATTAGACTTGTATGTTATTGTTCCATATTTTGTTGCCGATCCTTTTAATATTTTTTCTTGTTTTATTTAATATAATTATTCAAATTCATTTTTTCTTTGAAATATATTATGTTCGTTTTCTAATTCATATGTATGACTTTTTATCGAAAATTTTTTCTTGAGTATATTTGTTAATTAATTATTTAATTTATGTATTATTCTATATTTCATTATTTTATATTTTTATTTATTAATAAAAAAAATCTTTTATTATATGCATAATTTATTATTAAATATTAAAATAAAAATAATTAAATTTGATTATATTTATTAAATAAATGTATTTAATTTTTTTATTTTAATAAATAATTAAAATTATAATCAAATATTAATATTTAATTATATATTTTTTTAATATATATAAATATATATAAAAAATATTTAATAATATTTATATTATTTTAATAAAAAATATATATTTTTTTATATTTATTAATAATTTATTTTTTATATATATTTTATATTATAATAAATAAAAATTTAAATATTTATAAAAAATAATTATTATATTATTTAAATACAAAATATCTTTTTATTTTTAAATAATTAATAACCAAATAAAAAATGATGCAATTTTTTTTGTGTATAAAATTAACTTTTTATAAAATATTATAAAATATAAATATAATAATCACAATTTAATTTTTTTCTAAATAAATATTTTTAAATAACAATAATATTATAATATATCACTATATTCATTTTTTATTATATTAAATAATACTTGCTATTTAATTTTTTATATTTAAAATATATTTTTTCTAAATTAATTTAATTAAAGCAAAAATAAAATTATAAATTTTAATTTTTATTTATTTTTCTTAAAATCAATATATATAATTACTTATTAGCATCATCTTTTTGTATTTTTTATTTAATTTCTTTATTAAAAATAATTAGATAAAAAGATGATAATTCATTTTTTTATCGTCTTTTTTGACATCATTTTTTTTAAAAAATAAAATCTTGCTAAAAGTAATATATAATATTTTTTAAAAATTAAAAATAAAAAAATATCTATGTATTCTTTAATTAAAAATACTCCACGTCGATATTTTAGTAGTAAAATATTTTCAAGTGCCATCGAAGCAACAAAAGATATAAAAGACGGTTCAAAACTTCTTGTAGGCGGTTTTGGTTTATGTGGAATTCCTGAAAACTTAATTTAAGCCGTCTGCACAAACGGGCCAAAAAATCTAACTGTAGTTTCAAACAATTGTGGAGTTACCGATTGGGGACTCGGCCTTCTTTTATAATCTCGTTAAATAAAACGTATGATATCATCATATGTGGGTGAAAATGCCGAATTCGAACGCTAATATCTATAAGGTGAACTAGAGGTGGAGTTAACTCCATAAGGTACTCTTGCTGAAAAATGCAAAGCTGGTGGCTAAGGTATTCCTGCTTTTTATACCCCCACAGGAGCCTATACATTGATTGAATAGGGCGGTTTTCCGATAAAATATAAATAAGGAGGTGTTAAGAATGGAATCGAGATAATTTCTTAGAAAAAAGAAAAAAGATCTTTTAATAATAGAGAATATATTCTTGAAGAAAGTATTTTTGGAGATTTTGCATTAATAAAAGCCCAAAAAGCAGATAAAAACGGGAATTTAGTTTTTAATAGGACCGCTCGAAATTTTAACCAAGATATGGCTACAGCAGCTAAAGTAGTAATTGCAGAAGTTGAAGAAATAGTCGAAAATGGAGAAATAGATCCTGATAGTGTCCATGTACCAGGAATTTATGTAAAGAGAATTTTCAAAGGAAATTCTTTCGAAAAAAGAATTGAAAAAAGAACTCTTTAGATAAATAATGATAATAAAGAAAATTAATTGAAATAAAAGGGCTTCAAAGTGAGAGAAAAAATCATCAAAAGAGCCGCTTAGGAAGTTCGAAATGGCATGTATATCAATTTAGGAATTGGTATTCCTACTCTTTTGCCTAATTATGTGCATCCTGATGTTGAAATTCACATCCATTCGGAAAACGGAGTGATAGGAGTGGGTTCTTATCCTGTTTCTGGGTAAGAGAATGCTGATTTGATAAACGCAGGCAAAGAAACGATAACGCTTTTGAAAGGAAGTAGTATTTTCTCGAGTAGCTAGAGTTTTGGGATAGTCAGAGGAGGCCACTTAGATCTTACAATATTAGGAGGAATGTAAGTTAGTAAAAATGGAGACATTGCTAATTGGATTATTCCTGGAAAGATAGTAAAAGGAATGGGAGGAGCAATGGATTTAGTAAGTTCGGGTAGTAAAGTTATCGTAGTAATGGAACATATGGCAAAAAACGAACTTAAATTATTAAATGAATGTACTTTACCAATCACTGGGAAAGGTGTAGTGAATAAAATTATTACTGATATGGCAGTTTTTGAAAAAGTTAATGGATAAATGGTACTTATGGAAGTTGCACTGGAATATACTTTAGATGATGTTAAAAAAGCTACTGGATTTTAATTTGAGGTTTAGAATCCTTTAGGAAGTTTTTGAGTTATGATTTTTTTATATTTAAATATTTTTATTTTAGATATAAAATAATATTTTTTTATTTTTAAATTATTTATATATATTTATTTCTATTAAAATTGGATATATCATAATTTTTCAAAAGATTATTAACATTTAGGACACAATAGATTTTCTTTTTTATTCTATTAAATATAATTTTAAATACAATAATAACAAAATTAATGTTTGCAAGGTTATAAAATCTTTTACATGGTAATATTTTCTTCTTCACAAATTCCACATAAATTATTTAAATGTTAAATGTTTCCCAAAAAAGTTGTATTAAAGAAAATATTTTTCAAGAAATTCAAATCTTAGACATAAGGAATCACAAAAACTAAAAATTCGGCCATAACACTCCAAATTATAGTCCTATTTAGCAGTTCGAAATCTAAATATCTCTGTCTTTTTTCGTTTATATAATTAAACGTGACTTAGCTTAACCTTTCGGGTATACTTCTATATTTTCCCGTTATGATAAAGCATATAAAATTGATAAAATTGAAAAGTTTGTATGTTTTTTCAATTGTTTCTATAAGTTTTTTAAATTTATTAGAATCTTCTTTAAATAAAAGAATATTTTTTAATTTAGAAAATAAATACTTAATTAATACATCAAATAAGAAATATAAAATTTTTTATTTTGGTTTTAATTTTTAATTATTTTTCCCTTCAAATTTTATATTTTGAAGTTAATTTCCTGGAAGATTATTGTCTTTACTTATTGTTTCTCGGAAATATAAAAAATCGACAACGAAAGTTAGTTCGGGAATATATTTGTTTATTGTTGAGCTGTTAAAATGGGAAAATGATTTAATTATAACTTCTTTTAAAATATTTTTGCATTATAAATCTATTTCGGCAGATTCTAATTAATTTATTCGATCTATTCGGTATTTTTTCATCATTTTTGTTCTATATTTTTGTTTTTAAATATATATATTACAAGATATTTATTTTTGTATTTTTTGAAAAGATAAATAATAAATTGTAAAGTATAATATACATAATGATTTTTTTTTATTTTTTTAATAAATAATATACAGTATAAATAAATGACAAAAATTAAAAATATTAATTTTTACAAAAAAAATAAAAAAAATTGGCATTTAATGTTTTTTATTTGAAATACATAAATTTTATTATATACTTGAATATTTAATAAATGTTTATTGAAAACAGAAAAAAAAAATTTAAAAATAAAAAATAATTAATAATTAATTTTTTCCAAACAATACATTTTTAAAAATTTAAAAAAAATTAACATTAATAAATTATTTTTTAATAACAACAAAAAATGGGAAATTATTGTACTAAACCAATAGACGTTTAATAATAATAAGAACTGGTAATAGAATAAACATGTAGAATGAGTTTTCCTTAAGAAGTTCGAAAACCAATATTTTTAACATAGCCTTATTTACGGTCTGGAATATCAATAAAACATCAAAGCAAGGATATATAATTTAGTTATCCTCAAATTACTTATAATGCATTAATATAAGTGAATACTTTATGCTTAAGAATAAATTAGATATTCAAGCCTAATTTATTAGATGAGAAAATATCTATATTTTATCAATTTTGTTTAAAAGATGATTAATGTTTAGATTCTATATATGCTTAAATAGACTCTTAATAATTAAATATAAACCAAATAAATAAAAATTCATAATCAAAGAATTTAAAAATATTGCATTATAATCCTTAATTAATGCCTAAATTATCGAAAAAATATCAATGGATTTACTTAGGAGAACATTAAGTTTAAAAGTTTATTAAAATACAGCTAAAAATTAGCTAAAAATTAAAAATTATTTAAAATAAAATCCTTTAAATAACATTTCCAAATCCAAATTCACTTCTTTTTTAAAAAAATATTATTTCTTAAAATTAAAATGAATAATTTTTCGAATTTAATATAAAAAGTGTTCCTGAAGTAAATTTTATTAAATCAAAAGATTCCTAAATTTTTTAAAAAGACGGATATTATCAAATAAAGCCTTTAGTTAAAAACAAAGACTTTGATATATATATTAGTTATCAAAATATAAATGACATAATCTTACTTTAAGATAAAAATTAAGCAAAATAAGGATTTTTTCTCCCCAAAATAAATAATTTAGATCCATTATAAGTATACTCAATGCATTTAAAAGATTATTTTTTCTATAATGATATTAATAACATTTATAATGAATTTTTATTTGTAATTGCTGTATAAGAAAGCGATTGCAAAGTAAAAAATGCCTTGAAATTGGCTATTAAAAGCCTACCATCGAAATGCATTTTTAATATTTTAAGTTTGGATGGATAAGTATAAGATTTATTCGAAAATTCATAAATTTGTTCATAGAAAAATGTTGATTTCGTTCTTGAAAAAATCGAGAATTTCTCATATTTTTTTACTTAATAACAGGAAGATATTAATTATTAAAATTTACTTCTTTTGTAAAAATATATTGATTAGAAAAGTCCTTTTTTTATTAAACTATTTTCCTTATAATTGAATGTGAAAATTTGTTAAAATTATATAATTACTTGAATGTTTTGAATATTTAAAAAAATACCTTCCTAAATATTTTTGCTATCAATACTTAAATAAATAATAATATTTAATACCTTTATAGTAGTAATTTTACTATTTTATAAGTAAAAGAACTAGATTTAGAATTAATAAAGGCTATTTCGGAATCTTTTACGCCTTGCTTTTTCGATTTTTAGTTAAACTAAGGAGAATTTTAAGTATTTTTTAAAAACTAATTTGTAGAATTTAATGTAGATAATGAAGAAATCGAAATTTAATATAGACTTAATGATGATAAAGAGAAATAGTTTTTTAAAAAAAATGTGAGTTAATTTTAAACTAATAATGTAGAAAATATAATTAAATTGGAAGATAAAGTAAATTAAAATACGATTTTTTCTGTTAATTTTTTAAATGAAATATAATAAGTTTAATATTTACCTATTATTTAATTTTATGAAAATAAAAATTAGTTTTTTTAAAATATTGATAAATTCATTAAATGTAAATAAAATAAAATCTCTGAAATTATATTAATTCCGGATAGCATATAGTTTTAATTTTTTTAAAAAAGTACTTACAGTTATTTAGACTTAATTTATTTATAATAATAAGAAGGGTTTTGGATTTTAGATAATATTTTCTGTGAAATTATTTAGTTTGATAAAAATTATTTGATAAGCTTGATGGTTAACGAAATTAAATAGTTAAAAATTAGCGAAGATGTAAAATATAATATATGGGCAACTTTAATTGCTTATATATTTATTAACAAATATAGTAAAAATAAAGAAAATAACAAATTAATAATGTTAAAAAGTTTAACATTTTTAAATAATTAAGGCATAAACTTAAATGATGTATATTAAAAGGTTAAACAATTAATTTGAAATATTTAAATATTTATGTATGTGTTTTGTTTTGTTTAAAATATTTATATAAAATATAATGAAATTTTTAAAAAGAAATAAGAATTTAGAAAATTTTATAAATAATATTTTTTTTATATTAAAATCAAAATAAAATGGTATTAATAAAATCGAAATAAAATGGTATATAAAACTTTAAGATCGAATACAAATACATTTGTTCGAAACTTGTAAAAATAACAGAAAATTATCAAAAACCAAAAAAAAAAAAAAAATATTCGAGAGGTTTTTTTTTTGTAAAAAAAAATATAAGCAATGTACTAAATATTTAATAAGAAAAACAACGAAATAAAATATAAATATTATTTTTGAATATAATTATTATTTTTAAAGTTTAAATAAAATTAGCCTTTTATTAAATAAACAATTAAAAAACATTACATAATTATCAGAATTTGCAGTAAAAGTGAATATTTTTAAACTTATTAAAATTAAAAATTAAAACATTTTTAAGACATATTATAATAATTTAAAGTTTATAATAAAACATATCCACTAATAGAAAATTTAATAATATATTTCAGATAAATAGATATTGAATACATAATTTTGTAAGAAAATAAGAATCTATTTCTTTAGATATATATATTAAATGTAAACAATTGGTTAAATTAATTTAACAGCTATATATTTTATATGATAAATATTGACATATCAATTTTTATAAATAATAGATTTCAGTAAAATTATGAAAAAATATTAAATTAATAATTATTTTTAATAACACTAATAATAATATTTAAAGATAATAAAATTTAGTATAAAATAAACATTATTAAAAGATTATTATTTAATTTTTATTTATATTAAACTAATAACATTAGTTTTATTAATTTCTTTAAAAATAAATCTATTTTGTTTTGTTTTATATTAATATATGTATATTTATTTAATTTTTTATTTAAATTAAATTAATTTTATTTATTTAATTCTATTTATAATTTTAAAATATATTTTTTTATTTATATGATATATTTTCATAATTTTTCAGCAACAAGCTTCTTTTTTTTTTAGTTTTTCGTCTTAGTTTTTATTATTTTCTGTTAGAACAATTTTTTTTTATTACTATGGTGCTTACTATTAATTTTTATTTTCGTTATTAATATTAATATTATTATTTCCTTCTTTAGTTGCATTTTAATTTGTATTTTATATAATTTAATAATTTAAAACTATTTTTTTAAAAAAAATAAAAAACTAAAAAAAATATATTTACCGTTTGACTATCCAGGATTTAATATACTTTGTTCAATAGGTTATAAAGAAGTTGCCATAGATTTAAACATGTTTAATACGTTTTCGCCTGTTTTTGCTGAAATTTCATAATAATTAACTCTAATGCTTTAAGCCTTTTATTCAGCTTCCTATTATGTTACTTCTCTTGCTTTATTAAAAATTATAAATAAATTATTAAAATATATATTTAGTTAACATAATTTCATATCTAATTTGTTTGCAACTAATATAAAAGGAGCATCTATTCCTCTATTATCTTTATAATCTTAAATCCATTTATCTAGATTATCAAAGGATGTCTTTTCTCAAATATTTTAAATTTAGTTATATATATTTAATGAAATATTAATTTATTTATAAAATATATATTTCTTTTTATATTATATTTACAAGTAATATCAAAAACTATAACTGCACATGTTGCATCTCTCAAATAACTAGGTATTAAACTTCTAAATCTTTCTTATCCAGCTGTATCCCATAATTATAATCGAATACTTTTTTCATCTATTGTTATTGTTTTGGCTAAAAAATCAACTCCTATTGTAGGCTATTATAATTATATTACTTTTTTATTTTTAATTTTATAATATAAATTTATTTATTACATGCGATTTTTCGTCAAAAACATCGTACATAAAACGTTCAATTATGCATGTTTTACCTACATGTTGGTCCCCTAAAAATATTATTTTATGCTTTATTCTTGAGTTATTTTAAGAATTAGAGTCCATACTTACACCACTTTCGTTTGTATCCATATTTATTTTAATTAGTTATATTTTTATTTTATAAAATATTTAATAAAAGTAATTTTATTTTACAATATTTTTCCAAAATAAAAACACAAATAAATTTAATTATTATTTTTAAATATTTTTTTTTTAATAATAAAAAACTTAATTTAATTGTTAAAATAAATAAAATTCAATAAATAGAAATTTAAGAAAGATCAATATTTAAAATTTAGCACAAATCTACAACACTTTATAGTTAAGAAGGATTACTTTAATAATTTTTTAAATGAATCTAATAATTGACCAAGTCTAAATTCCAAAAATATCTATATTTTTAAGATTATTCAACTAAAAAGTTGTAATATCTCTAATTTAAGAAAATAAAACAAAGACTTTCAATTTTTAAATCTTTACAAATATATCTAAGAGAGTATTTCTTAACAATAACGAAATATTCTTTTTCCTAATTAGCTTAAAGTGATTTTAAATTAAACATTATTTGGGATAATTTAGTCCTTTTTTAATATTTATCAAGCCAACCTTTGGATCCTTTAAACTTTTTTTTGTTAATAGAAAAATCGAGTGCTTTTTCCATGATAATTTTTCTCTAGCATTTAATTTTATGCCTTAAAACATAATCAATACAAAACTCAAACAACATAATTTCCATATAAATATCCATTATTTTTCTTCCCCCTCCTTCTTTTCTTTCTATTCCGAATTATTACCATCTTTGTATATTTTTTAATGGAATATTATATTTTAGCGAAATATTTTTAGCACTTTCTCCTTATTAAACCTTTTTTTAAATAATAATAATATTAGATATATAATTACTTCTTTTAATAAACTTTCTTTTAATTATTGACTATATTTTTAATAAGGGCCTCTTTACTTAGTTTAGAAATTATTATATTTATTTATTTAACTAATATTTTTATCTACTTCTTATTTTTTTTCAATATCCGAAATTAATTCTTCATCTTCTTCTAAATGTTTTTCCTAGAATTTATGTATTTTTTAGCTTGATTTTTCGAGTATTTTAAGAAATTTGGAAATTGATCTTTAGTTATTTTAGTTAATTTATTAAAGAAAGCTTTCTGAAAAAGTTTCATCCAGTTATTATAAGTAAAATTTACAAGGCGTAATATTATTTTAGTTAATTAAATAATAATTGCTTTTTAATTCACTAAATTCGTTTTATTCTTCTTACTTTACGTTTTCAATTTTTATTATGGGCGATGTAAAAATTCTTCTTTTCTTTAAAATATTACTAGAAGCAGTTCTTTGGTCGTTATAGTTTCTTAAAGGAGATATTAATTAATTATAAAAATTATAGTTTTGATTTATATTTTCAATGTATCTAATAATTTCAGACTCTTTTACTTTTTTTTTTTTTTTTTCAAATATATTTAAATATATTATATTTAAACTTTGTTTAGCTATTTATTTAAGGAATTAATTAGTCTCTTGCTTAGTACTTCCTATTATACAATATGTCTCTAGTAAATTAAACACTTATACTGTTTATGTTGCATTTATCATTAGTTATTGTTTAAGATTATCTAAATAATTTTCTTAAGTTTACTCCATTTTTATTTTTTTTAATAAAGTATTATTTTTTATAATTTGTTGATTTATATATTTTTTTGAATTTTTCGCGTTTATATTTAAAAAAAAATAAAAAATATAGATTTTTTAATTTAGCTTTACTAAAAAAATTAAATAAATAAAAATTCTACATTTCAAAATGTTTGATAATTAAATTAATTTAGGTTTTTATAGTAAATAAAATTAAGAAATAAGAATATAATACAAACATTCAATAATTAAATTACAATTAAGATTAATTATCTTATTTATTAGAAATGTTATTTAATTTAAAATATAATTGATTCCATTAAGAATCTAAATCATTAGATTTAAATTAATCACTTTTGATTTCTAAGTCTTATTTTAATGCGATTTCAATATTTTCTTAATTGTCTATTCTTTAAAATTGTTTTCTCTTTTTTATTTAATTAAATTATGTTCATCATAGGCTTAATTTCTAATATCATTTAATTCTTCGTTATTAAAAGTTCCTTTTTTAAAAAATTCTGAACTTAATTTTAATGTATTTTAATTTCCGGTAAGACTCATTAATTCTTACATTTCTAATAAATACTATATTATATATATATCATTTAAAAAAATAAAAAAAAGAAAAAATTTTTACCACAATTCTATCTTCATATTATTTTAATTAAGATTAAAAACTTTTAAGCTCTTCTTATTAATTAAATATTTATAAATGTGATTATTTTAAAGATTATTATAATTCATCTATTGCTTTTTCATATTAATCTTTCAATTGTCTTTATATATATATATATTTATATTAAATTAATATATAAAAATATATTATATAATATACCTAAATTATTGCATATATAACTATTTTTCTTTATTAGATTCTTCAAGCATTTATTCATGTTCTTAACTTTAGTTTTTGTTAAATTTATTTTAAATTTCTGTTTGAACAAGTTTTTAATTAAGGTCTTTTAATTATTAATTTAATAAATTGTTTTTATTAATTTAATTTTGCAATTAACTTTCAATTTGAATAATTTTTTTGACATTTTCTTCATATATATTTTATATTTCCTATTTATAATAATTTTAGAATCCTTATTCTAATTCTTAATTTTTTTATTTAAGTTTATTATTTTCAAATAGAATTCTTTCATGTATAGTTTCTTATTCTTTTTATTTCTCTTCAAAATATTACACTTTCGCTATTAAAGGATTCAGTTGTTTTTCTAAAAGTTCCCTTTTTTTTTATTCCATATTATAATCATTTTCGCTTTTTGTGAATTTTAATTAGAGATGTTACATTTCTTATTAGAACTAATTTTTCATATTTTCATATTTTTAATTTTATAAAATAATTTCATTTTCTTTTTATCCGTTATCTTATTATAAATCACAAATTATCTTATATTTTTCTTAACTATCGTTTTAATATAATTCTAATTATTTTCTTAAATTTTAATTTTCTCTATCTTTTATTTCTAAAGATTATTCTAATTACTTTTTTTTTTTTAAAAAATATAAATAAAAGATAATAAAACAAATCTTACTTATATTAATTATGATTTACTTTATATAATTCCATCTTTTTCATTCACAACGTTATCATGTATTGAAATTTTATATTCGTTCTTTTCTTAAATTATTCTTAATTCATCTCTTTGCTATTTATATTAGTCTATTTTTTCTTACATTTTTTCTTATAAAATATCAAATTTTCTTTACTAATATTCGTTTTTCTTTAATGCTTAATAATTTTCATCTTAAATTTTTTAATAATCTAATTGTAATTATTAAAATTAAACCATATAATTTGTTGCAACACTAAATATTTAATTTTAATTTAAATAATATAGTACATTTTTTGTTACGCTAAATTATGATTATTTATTTATTATAAATTAGTTAAATATGGTTCGAATTTATCATATTCAATTACATTAAATTCCCTATTTTCTTTATTTTTCCTATCATTTTGGATTTTTTAACGTAGCTGTTTTTCAATTTTATCATATTCTTAAGATGCTTTTATTTCTCCCTGAGAAGCACAAGATAAATTATCCATTTTTTTAAAAAAATTTAATAATATAAAAATATATATTTAAAATTAAATATTTTTTTTAATAAAAATTCAAAGTTTTTTTAAAATAATAACAAAAATTTCAGAGTTTTTATTATTTTTAATATAATTAATTTTAATCTAATAAAAAAACATAATTTAAACACATAATAAACCTATATCTTCCAAAAATTATATATTTATCCTAAAAATAATTAAATATATGTCCATCTCAAGCTCAACTTTTTTTACCCGATATTATTTTTATTAATCTTTTAAATGTTAATTAAATTGAGAAGCATTAATTTTTGTAAAAAAGCTATTATTTTTACATGGATACAGCTAAAAATAAATAAATAGATAATAATATAAGCTATTCAAACATTTTTAATATCTTCTGAATTAGGATAATATTTCAAAATTAAATTTATTATTCATTTGTTAATTAAATTATTTTTAAATATTTCAGTTTTTTAAAACTTGCATTTTCTTTTTTATTTTTGCTAATTTTTTGGTAGACTTGAAGGCACATTAATTAGAAAACTTCACTATTTTCTAAATTAGCTAAAAAGTTTATTTTTGTAAATGAATTAATTATATATCTATTAATTTATTAATTTTTTATTTTTTTAACTTGGGAGATTTTCTATAACAAGAAAAACGAAAAATGTTTATTTTTTAAAAAAAACTTAGACGACTGTTTTTTCTTTATTAAGTAAAAGACTATTACTTTACATAGTTTTAGTAATATTCTCCAAATAAATATAATTTCTTATTATATATATATAATATATATTTAGTTATTGATTTGAAGAATTTTTAGGATTTATAAGTAGAATTTTTTGGGCTTGATTACCATCTGTATACCATTTAATTGAGCATTTTTTAAAAATATATTTTTTAATCGTTAAAAATTAAAAAAAAAATATTTTAAACTTATAAAAATAAAATATAATTTTTTTTAAATATATTAAACATTATTTTTATTCTTAATAAAAGTTATTCGAAATATATATATATATATATATATATTTATTAGCAAAAAACATATTTTATTAATATATAATATTTTCAATATCAAAAAAAAAATTATTTTTAATAAAAATTAAATTACAATCAAATAACTCAAAGTCTATCTTCTAATTAAATATTCTCGTCATAATCTTTATTTTTTAAAATTTCTAAAACTTAATTTCTATCAAATTTTTATGCTTTGTCATAACAGTTTTCTCCTTTATCATCGGTTTCATAAGGATTAGCACCTCTTTTTAATAATTCATTCACAAAGTAAGTTCTACCTAAAGAACAAGCTTTTAATAAAGGAGTCCATCCTTTATCACATTTTTAATGAATATCAACTTTTATTTTAATTTTATTATTTTATTTTTATTAAATAATAAATGAAGACTAAATAACCATTATATAAAAAAAGAAGCATTCCAATTTCTTTTTTATTAGTAGTAATAGTTTCATGTAGAAAAGTATGTCCCGAAGCTTTTATTACTATCATATTTGGGTCTAATTAATTTGTTGATAATAATTCTTTTATAGTCTTTAATTTATTTTATCTAACTAAACCCCATTCCCTTGTATCATTTGGATATGTAAACATATCAGAATATGGATTAAAAGAATTATATGTTAAATCTATTTCATTTATGTCGTATATATTATAAAAAAATTGTATTTGTTACTTTTAAATTTTTCATAAACAAACATTTTTTTATTTTATTTTTAAGATTTTTTAATTAGTTTAATTAATTTTTTTTTTATTAAATGTGTATTTTTTTTATAAATTAAAATATTAAATAAAATAAAATTTAGAATGTTTTGAAATCATTTTCTATATATGTTTTACCATTATCCATAACATGTATATTTATCGAAAGCTCTTTTATCTTTATTAATAAAATACTCGTTAATTAAAATACCTGTATCCCATAATACTTTTTTTACAAGTTTTTCAGTTACTTTCTAATGTAATAATATATATTTTTACTATATTTATGTATATAATTACTGTCGAATAATCCATAGAAGGACTTGAATTAACTTCTAAAATCCAAACATTATAATCTTCATCAATAGTAAAATCATATCCATACATTTCTAAGCTGTTTTTTCTAGGTTGAATAATATTTTAAACACTTACAAGTGAATCAATGATAATATTTTATATTTATTTGAGTATTTTTTATTTAAAAAAGTCTTAAACATTAGTTTTTTTAAACAAATATTCTTCAAATTAATTTTAAAAAAGCATAGTTTCATCAACTTTTTCTTAAAAATTATTCGCATTTTTTTAAATGCAATTATTGCTCAAGTGAGCAAACTTATTTGATAAATTTTCCTCGTTATATTCATCTACACATATTCTCAAATAACATTCTTGATAACAAAAAATTGTTAAAGGTTTCCAATCAGTTACTATAACCCATTATCTTATATCAAACTTTTATAAATATTTAAAATTATAATTATTAAATATTATAATATTTTATTTTATTATATATAAATTCTTTATACATATTTCTTTTTTATTTTTTTTATTATTTTTTATTTTTATTTATGTGTATTTATTATATTATATTTTACTTTTTTATTATTTATTGTTAAGGGATTTTCTAAATATTTTTAAGTAATCCATCCTAATTCTTTTCCACTAACATACTAAAGCAATTATTCGAGTTTATTGAATGTTCTTATTCCTCTTCCTCTAGATAACCCTGAAGGTTTTACTATCCAGATGTTACTTTTACCGTTAAGAGTGTATTAAGGATCATTTTTTTAAGAAATTTCAAGTTGATTTTTTATCAATTAGGTTATATTTGAAATATCTTCATTTAGTTTTTTGATAGTTTTTTAAAATACTTTGTTATAGAAATTGGAATCTTATAAATATTATTCTAGATTGATTTACTCACTCAAAATAATCCATTCTTCTTAAGAAATAGATTTAGGAGAAACATATTTTTTTTAAGTAAAAAATTAATTTTTAATTTTAATATAAGAAAGTGCAATTAGAATTTATAAACGTTTGACTTTGGAAATTTCAATATTATTTTAATAGTTTTCAATATGTTTTTTAAGAATACTTTCCGCTTATGTATATTTAAATTCTTCACAAAAATCTACAAAATCGCTTTGATTATTCATTTCATATGTTCTTGGGAAAAATTTATTGAAATTAATTTACTTAAAAGAGAGTGTTTTTAAACTTTTAGCAAGACCATTTTTGGAAATTAAATGAAAATTTTTATCGTAATGATTTGTTATTTGTTTATCTAATAGGAATTGAGTATTCACGTCTTTTTTTTTGTTACCCATTTTAAATCAAAAATAAGACTGTTTTCTTATTTATTTTGAACCCAGCCATGAGATTTTAAGTAGTTTCGGAGTTCTTAATATTCACCAATTATTATAAATATATTTTAATTGGGTAAAATTTTGTTTTTTCTTTTAAAATTGGCTAACGTTTCTTCAGTAACTATTTGTTTTGGTAAATAACTAAATGATTGGCATTTTTATTATCTTTTTAATTGCTATTATATGTCATTTTCGTCTTGGAGATCGTCATAAGTGTGTAAGGGGATTTTTTAAGACTTATAGGGACGAAAATCGGTTTATTTTTGGGGAATCAATTGAATGCATTTTAATGGGTTTTCTAAAAATAATTTTACTTTCTTTTCTTATATTAATTTATTTAAAGATATTGGATGGTATTAAAAATAGATTTACATTTTTTCGAAATTTTCTTTTTCATAATTTAATTAACGGACATCACATGATTTTGAAGATTATTTTTTGAACATTTATTTATTTTTTAAAAAAATACTGAGTTTTTTTAATAATATATGATTTATTAATATTAATAATTTTTTTAAAAAAATTGATTTTTGAAAGTTAGTTAAAAAAACATAATTATAAATAATAAATATTAATTTACTTTATATTTTTATATTTAAAAAAATAAATAATTATCATAATATATTTTAATTTTAGTCAATTTTTTTGTTTTCATTTACTTAATTTTATATTTATTTATATTTTTAACATATATATATTAATTATTATTTATTTATTAAGAATTATTTTTAATAAATACATTTAATTGAATGTTAAAATAATTACTATAATTAGAATACATTCTAAAAAATATTTAAAAATTATATAATTTTTTTTTATCAACTTTCATATAATTATTTATATGTTTCTTTCCATTATTTAGCTTCTTTACATTTTTAATCAAAAATTTTTTATAACTATTATATTTCTGAATTAAGCTTTGAACTATATTTTAATTCTTTATTTTTCCTTTAATTTAAAAGCATTTGATTAATTTCAATATAATATTAGCTTTTTCCATGATTATTTTTATTTTATTTAGTATTATATCTATTTTTATAATTTGTCTTTAATTCAATTAGTTCATTTTCTTTTTCCATAAGCATTTTTTTCAATTCTTAATTCTAGTATGTTAACTTTTCTATTTTTTACAATAATTCTTAATCATTTTAACAATATTTATTTATTTAATCTGCTAAATTATTTTCTGGAAAATCACATAATTAAATCCCTTAAATATTACTGACTAAATTGTTTAAGTCTAATTACTATTAATCTATTTTTATTTTTATATATAAATAAAATAAAAAATTACCTTTATTATTTAAATCTTAGGAAGTATTTATTTCTTTTTTAATTATGTTTGGGCTTTCAACATTTCTATATTTTATTGATGATATTACAGGATAATTACTGTTTTGATTATATTACTAATTAACTGTTGAATTTACTGGCTTTTTAGCTTTTTTACATTTTTAATATTCATCTTAATTTAACTCAATTATTAATTTATCTTTTTCATTTACTTATTTTGCTAAATCATTATTAATATTTTTTAAATTCTAACTTTATTTTAGTAGATTTTCTAATTCTTATTATTATATTTTCACTTCATTTAATAATTATTAATTTTTTCCTAAGAGATCTTCATTATTATTAACATAATCATTAAAATCTTATTCTTTTTAGTATATTTATTAACTTTGAATTTTATTTTCATTTTTTAATTTATCATTTTCTTATTAATATTCTTATATTTATTATTAAAACAACATATTTTCGTTCCATAATTTTTCATTTTCTACTTAAAGGCATTAATTTTCATTTTATATTTTAACATTAGAGTCATATATGATTTAATTTTCATTACAAAGCTTTTCATTTTCCTCATTTAATTATTAAATTTAATCACTTAAATATTAATTATTTTAATAAAGTTATTCTAATTATTAATTAAAAATTTATTTATCTTTTAATTATTATTAATCGAAATTTTACTTTTCCTTTTTTAATTATTAATCAAAATTTTATTTTTCATCTATTAAAATTTAATTAGTATCGTTTAATTATTAGTTTAAATTTTGTAAATAATTATTATCTTAAACTAATTGGTATATTTAATTTTATAAAGAAATAATGTTTTATTAATCTTATTCTTTGTTTAAATTATTAGATTCGTATAATTTCTTATTATCTAATTAGTTTTCGTTTTTTAATTTTTAAATTTAATCTTCATAATCTTATTTAATTCTATCAAAATTTTATTTTTCTTTTTTTAATTATTAATCCAAATTTTGTTTTTCATTAACTAAAATTTAATTGTTATCATTTAATTTTTAGTTAAGATTTTTTAAATATTAATTATCTTAAATTGCATGATTTATTTAATTTTATAATGATGTAATGTTTTATTAATTTTATTAATCTAATTCTTGGTTTAAACTATTTTATTCGTTTAATTATTTATTACCAATTTAGTTTTCGCTTTTAAAATTTTAAACTTAGTTTTCATAATCTTATTTTAATCTATCAAAATTTTATTTTTCCTTTTTTAATTGTTAATCCATATTTTATTTATAATCTATTAAAATCTGGTTATTATCATTTAATTATTTATTTTGATTTTATAAATATTTATTATCTTTAACTAGTTGCTATATTTAATTTTGTAATGAAATTATTATTTGTTAATTTTATTAGTTTAAATCTTAGTTTAAATTATTTGATTATTATAATATATTATAATCAATTTAGTTTTCATTTTTTAATTATTAAATTTAGTCTTCATAATCTTATTTAATTCTATCAAAATTTTATTTTTCCTTTTTTAATTTTTAATCAAAATTATGTTTTTCATTAATTAAAATCTAATTAGTATCATTTAATTATTGGTTTAGATTTTGTAAATATATATTATCTTTAATTAATTGCTGTATTTGATTTTATAATGAAATAGTGTTTTATTAATCTTATTAATCTTATTCTTGGTTTTAATTATTTTATACATTTAATTTTTTATTGTCAATTTAGTTTTAATTTTTATATTTTTAAATTTAATTTTCATAATCTTATTTTAATATATCTAAATTTTAGTTTTCCTTTTTTAATTATGAATCCATATTTAATTTTTCATCTATTAAAATTTGATTATTATCATTTAATTATTTATTTAGATTTTGTAAATATTTATTATCTTTGACAAATTGTTATATTTAATTTTATAAAGAAATTATTATTTATTAATTCTATTAATCTAAATCTTAGTTTAAATTATAAGATTAGTATAATATATTATTATCAATTTAGTTTTCATTATTTTATTTTTAAATTTAGTATTCATAATCTTATTTAAATCTATCAAAATTTTATTTTTCCATTTATAATTATAATTCAAAATTTTATTTTTGATCATTTAAAATCTAATTAGTATCATTTAATTATTCGATTAAATTTTTTAAATATTATTTATCTTATATCAATTGTTTTATTTAATTTTATAATGAAATAATGATTTTTTAATTCTACTAATCTAAATCTTAATTATAATTATTTGATTAGTTCTAAATATTATTATCAAATTATTTTTCGCTTTTTAATTTTTAAATTTAGTTTTCATAATCTTATCTAAATCTATCGAATCCTTAATCAAAATTTTTTCTTTCATTTTTTAATTATTAATCCAAATGTTATTTTTCATCAATTAAAATTTGATTAGTATCATTTAATTATTGGTTTAAATTTTTTAAATATTAATTATCTTGAATTGTTTGCTTTATTTGATTTTATAAGGTAATAATGATTTATTAATTCTATTAATCTAAATCTTAGTTTTAATTATTTTATTAGTATAAATTTTTAATATCAATTTAATTTTCATTTTTAAAAGTTTAAATTAAGTTCTCATAATCTTATTTTAATCTATCGAAATTTTATTTTTCTTTTTTTAATTGTTAATCCATATTTGAATTTTAATCTATTAAAATTTGATTATTATCATTTAACTAATTGTTTAGACTTTGAAAATATTTATTATCTTTAACTAATTGCTATATTTAATTTTATAATGATATTATTATTTATTGATTTTATTAGTCTAAATCTTAATTTAAATTATTTGTTTAGTATAATATATTATAATCAATTTAATTTTCATTTTTTAATTATTAAATTTAGTCTTCATAATCTTATTTTAATTTTTCAAAATTTTATTATTCCTTTTTTAATTATTTATCAATATTTTATTTATCATCTATTATAATTTAATTAGTATCATTTAATTATTGGTTTAGATTTTATAAATATTTATTATCTTTAACTAATTTCTATATTTAATTTTATAATGAAATTATTATTTATTAATTTTATTAATCTGAATCTTTGTTCAAATGATTTGATTAGTATATTATATTATTATCAATTTAGTTTTCATTTTTTAATTTTTAAATTTGGTGTTCATAATCTTATTTAAATCTATCAAAATTTTATTTTTCCTTTTTTAATTATAAATCTAAATTTTATTTTTCATCAATTAAAATTTAATTATTATCATTTAATTAATGGTTTAGATTTTATAAATATTTATTATCTTTAACTAATTGATATATTTAATTTTATAAAGAAATTATTTTTTATTAATTTTATTAATCTAATTCTTAGTTTAAATTTATAGATTCGTATAATTTTTCATTATCAATTTAATTTTCGTTTTTAAAATTTTAAACTTAGTTTTCATTATCTTATTTAAATCTATCGAAATTTTATTTTTCCATTTTTAATTATGAATCCAAATGTTATTTTTCATCAATTAAAATTTAATTAGTATCATTTAATTATTCGATTAAATTTTTTAAATATTAATTATCTTTAATTATATGCTTTATTTAACTTTACAATGAAATTATTATTTATTAATTTTATTAATCTAAATCTTAGTTTTAATTATTTGATTAGTATAATATATTATTATTAATTTAGTTTTCATTATTTAATTTTTAAATTTGTTATTCATAATCTTATTTTAATCTATTTAATTCTTTATCGAAATTTTATTTTTCCTTTTATAGTTATTAATCCAAATTTTATTTTTCATCTTATAAAATTTCATTTTTATCATTTAAATTTTGGTTTAGATTTTGTAAATATTTATTATGTTTAACTAATTACTATATTTAATTTTATAATAAAATAATGTTTTAATAATTCTATTAATCTAATTCTTGGTTTTAATTATTAGATTCGTTTAGTTTTTCTTTTTCAATTTAGTTTTCGCTATTAAATTTTTAAATTTAATGTTCATAATCTTATTTTAACTTATCATATTCTTATTAGTTAAAATTAAAATTTTATTTTTCATATTCATCTTATTTATTATTCAGTTAATTTTTTAATTTAAATAATTATTACTTTATAATATCCAAATTATTATTTTCCTATTACTAATTAGATAAATTATAATTTTAATCTTAATTTAAAATTTAATCAATTTAATTTTATAATATATAATTTTGATTTTCTAATTTCTCATTTATTTTTTATTTTTCTTAAATAATAATCTTTTATTCTTCTAATTCCTTTTCAAGTTTAAAAATATTTTTATTTAATTTATCCTACTTTATATTATTTTCTTCAAGTTTTTGCTACAGAATATTTATTTCTTCATTATATTATATTTTTTCAAAGCTATTTAAGTTATTTTAATTATTAATTTCTTAATCTTATTCGCATTACATTTCTTAATAGTACTTTTGCATGTAAACATTTTCATTTTTGGAAGCATCTAGAATGACTTATTCTTGAATATTTTAAGATAAAATCAGTTTTTATTAATCTTGAAAATCTTCATTGAGTATGATATTTTTACTACTTTAATAACTTGATTTTAACTTTTCTATTTCTCCTATTTTTTAAGAATCTATGTTTATGGTTCTGTCTTCTTATAAACTTTTAATTAAATCTATTAAGTATTCCATTTAAGCGAGTAGTTTTAATTCATGTTCTCTTGCTTCTATTTCTTATTTTAATTTAAATTAGTCGAAATCTTGAATTTTTTGTTGGTTTTCATTATTTTTATTTGGTGGATATATAGAAATTGTTTTTTATTAAGGTTATGTTTTTACTCCTGATAATTATGGCTGTATTTTATTCTTTTAAACTGCTGAAGGAGAAAAGAATATAGGTTATTTAATTTTTTTATTTGGTATATTCATATTTGTTATTTATTTATTTTCAATAAAATTGCGAATATTTTTTTAAATTTTGTGGTTATTAAATAAAATACTATATTTGTTCAATATTTTTTTTTGAATTAAAAATAAATAAATAAATTAAATTCCTTTACTTTTATATTAATAAAAATTATTGATTATTAATAACAAATATATATAATTAATACAAAAATAATTTTTTATAAGTATTTTTTATTTTTCATTCATTTTAATTATTATCCTCATCATCTACCCATTTAATTCTTTTCCCATCTTCCCATATCCCATTTTTAATTGTTCCATCTAATTATATATATTTACCTTTTCCATATTATTTTCCGTTTTTCCATTCACCTTCGTATTTCCTTCCATCAGCCCAAATATAAATACCATAACCCTTTGTATAAAATATTTAAATATAAAATAAAAATTGAAACAATTACATTTTTTTTATCATTGCTATATTCTCCTTCATATTTTCTTCCATCTTTCCATGTATATATACCTCTTCCATGCATATTATTATTTAACCATTCGCCTTCATATTATCTACCATCAGACCATACATAAGTACCCTTTAAATTTTATTAAAAATAAAAAACTAATTTTTTTTTAACTTTTCCTGAAATTTTATTATCATTCCATTCTCCATTGTATTTTGAACTATTTTTTTTTTTCATTTAAAAAATATAAATTAATTCGTTAAAAAATTAAAATAAAATAACAAAAATACCCATCAGCCCAAGCATATATTCCATGTCCCGATTTTTTTCCATTTATATAATTTCCTTCGAACCTCGACCCATCATTCCAAGTTTCAATTCCAAACCCATGTTATAAATCATCTTTCCATTATCCTTCATATTTTGCACCATTCACATGTATATAAACGCCTTAACCATTAGCCTTATCCATAACCCATTCTCCTTCGAAAATATCCCCGTCTACATGATAAAATTTACCCTTTCCATGAGCTTTATTATTACACCATTAGCCTTCATATCGAGCTCCGTCTGGCCATTTTTGCTCTCCATAGCCATCTCGCATATTTCCTTTCCATTCTCCATCATATATAGCACCACTTTTGAACGTATATTCGGGTCTTTTTTCCCTTATTTCTGAATTATGATTGTTTTCTTCATGTTATTAATCTTTTATCATATTATGTTTTTCTTTTTTTAAAAAAAAATACTTTATTGTTAAATAAGCGATTCCTTTTCTTCTTCAAAATATTTAGAACCTTATTTTTATTAACTTTTTTAAGATTAATTATCTGGGTCGTTATTTTATTATTAATTAATGGTATTTTCAGTTTATTTTTAAGTGGATTCTGGCTTTTTTTCAGTCACTTGAGTTCTTAGAGTGTAATTTTGATTTTAAGTCTGCTCTTGTTCTTAATTTTTATATGTTTGTTATAAATTTTAAGTTGAGTTTTTTTCTACTTTTGCTATGTTTTCTTCATAATCTTCATATTTTTTATTTTCATCTTCCTTTTATTTATTAAATTTTTTTTTATTTTATTTTTTTACATTTAAAGTTGCTTTAATGTTTTTTTCAGCATTATTAATGTCATTATTCTGATTGGAAGTTTATTGTTTATCTTATATTTAATTTTCTATATCCTATATATTTATATGCAAACAATTAAATAAATTAAAATACTATTTATGTTTAATTGTCAAGTCCCTTGTCTCCTACACAACCACACTAATTACCCATACTTAAATTTATTTGTTTATAATATTAATTTTATTTATTTATTTATTGAAGTTCAACTTTTTTTATTTTATATTTAATATTACAAAAATAATTTAATTAATTATATGTAAACATAACATAAATATTTTTTTTTGAAAAATAACAAACATTAAATAGCATTTATATATTTTTTTTAAAAAACAATTAAATAGTCAATATTAATATAATCATTAAATTTCATATTAATAATAAGATAAAATTAATTTAATTAAATTAAATTAAATTAAATTAAATTAAATTAAATTAAACTAAATTAAATTAATATTTTTTTTAACAAAATAAATAATTTTTAAAATTATTTTTATAATAGTAAATATTTCAAAATTTTATTTTTTAAAAAATAAAAAATATATATTACTATATTTTCGTTTCATTTTAATAATTTTATTTAATTAAACTATATTGATATTAATATAAAATATTTATATTTAGCCGGTTATTAATTAATTTTCAAAGTTATTTTGGAGGTATTTATTTACGGTATCAACATTTTATCAAATAAAAAAAAATTAAAAATTAATTTTTATATCCTTTAAAAAAATATATTCTAAAAAAAAAAAATAACAAAGTAATGGATACTTAAAGTTTTTAACCAATCCAATAAGATTAAAAAAAATAATAAATTGAAAAATATTAAAAAGAGGATTTTAACACACAAAAGTTTATTAAAAAAGGAATATAAAAAACATAATTTTTTTTTAAAAACGATATTTAAAAATTAAAGAATAAAAGCCTAAACTTTGTACAAACTATAACCAAAAATAATACAATAAATAAAATACTAAATAACCCTTCAATAAAAGATAAATACAGAAAATTACTTGGAAGTAATATTTTAGAAATAAAATGTTCTTAAAATAAAGAAATTTTGGATTTGTTTTAAAAAATTGAAGCAAAGTTTTTTTCTTCACAAACAATAAAATTCTATTTAAGTGAATTAATTCAATAAATTCCTAATTTAAATCTTTAAAAAATGAATTTAATAATGAATTTTAATCCTTAATTATATAAACTAAAACTTTAAATTAATTAGTAGAATTAATAAGATTTATTTATCTCAATGGATAATGATGAAAACAATGATTTTAATTTTTAAGAATTAACAAAAAGGTTTACTGACTTCAAATAAAGGATATATTATCACGAATTATAACAAAATTATAAGACTAACTAAGAATCTTAATTTACAGAATAAATAAAATAAATAATTTAAAAAAAGGTAGTTAATATATAATAGAGTATTAAATAAAATATATAGGTAAAGAACGAGAAATAAAATGAAACAATATAAATTATAAAGTAATATTTTGAACATAAAAAAGTGAGTAATATTTTCAAAGTTAATATTGTCGAAGAAATTGTTTAAAAGTAAAAAATAGAAAATTAAATTGCTTTATAATTTTTAAATTAATTAATTTCTTAATACCCAAAATGGCTTTGTGAATTAAATAATTCTATTTTGGGTACAATAATAAGAATTAATCTAAATTTTAATATTTGAAAAAAATAAAGTTAAATCAATATTTTGTATATCTTTTTAATATATTAATTTTTATTTTTTTAGTTTTTTCAATTAAAAATGAATTATATATTTTTTAAAAAAACAACTTTTAAAAATAAAAATAAAGAAAATAAATAAAAATATAAAACTTATTTTTTTTTAGTTAACAAAAATAAAAAAATTAAAAATAAAATTTACACACACAATTAAAAAATAAATGAGTAATAATCTTAACGAAGCCCCTCAAAATGCAGTTGATGAAAATTTCGAAGATAATGATGAAATGGCTTTTTTACCCGCAGATCATGTAAAAATCTATTATTTATTATTTAAAAAAAATAATTAAATAAATAGCATTTGCTATAAGAATTACAAGCTGCTTTAACAAAATAATTAACAGATGAACATGAAAGAGTTGATTAGAAATTAATTGAATGCGATTCTAATTTAAAGAAATTAGAAAAAACTAAAGAAGATGTTGGTGTAAGATTATATTCTGTACAATAATAATTAGCTGAAAATTAAATGAATTTTGAACAAGCTCATGAAAATTATAATTGGGTTTAAAAATTAAGGTATTTATTTTTTGAAATAAATAATATAAAAAAATTAAAAGAATTGAAGCTGAATAAAAGTTAAAAATTGATAACGAAACTTATTAAACTAAAAAAAAGAGCTAGAAGAATTACGAAAAAATACATAAAGGCATAAGATGAATTATCTAAATTAACTAGAACCTTATTTTAGATAGCAGAATTTAATTAATAAATGAAAGGTTAAATAATAAATACTAAAACAAACACTTATAGAGCTGAAGAGAATGTTGTTTCTTTGGAATAATAGAAGAAAAGTTAAGATTTACTCATAAATTAAATGAATGAGGAAATAAAAAGACTTACAGAATTAAAAACTATATTGACTGCATAATTAATTTCTCAAAAAGAAGAAACTGAACAAGCGCGTTAAATTTTAAAAGAAGCTCATTTAGAAATGCAAAAAATTATTGCTTCGAAAAAAAATTTGCTTGAAAGATGGTAAAAATCACTTATGACTATGTAAAGAATGGACAATGCTTTGTAGGCTATTAAAGAGGCACTTAAGTAAAAAATTTATATATTATATTAATATTATATTTTTTATTTTAGAGGATAATAAGAACTTAATTTGTAAATCGGAACTGAATTAAACGGTGTGAATTCAGAAATAAGAAAACAAAATGATACATAAGAAGTATTATAAGGTATATTTTTTTTTTATTTATTTTAAATTAAAATAATTAAAGGAAAAAAAAAGAAATTAGATTATGAAAGAACATATTTGGAAAGAAAATAATACGAATTGCATGAAGAAAGAAGTAAATTGGAAGCTTAAATAAATTTATTGACATAATCTTTGCATTAAACAGAAACTGAAACATCGAAAGCTGAAATAGATACAAACAGTATTGAAGAATAAATGGATTTAATTGAGACAAATATAATGAAACTTCACACAGAAATAAAGAAGCTTTATGAAGATTTAATTCATTAAAAATCAGAACATACTACAATCGAAAAAACAGCTACAAATTTGAATAAACAAGCTAACCAAATTGCAATTGACATTGAAGATAAAGCTGTTGAATTGGAAAATATATGTAATGAAATTGCCCGTGTAAAAATTGATCAATTAAACACTTAATCATAAATTGAAGTACTTGAATAAAAGAAAAAAGAGGTAATAAAGGAAAGAGAAGAAAAAGAAATTACTGTGGCCACTTATGAGGTTTAAATAAGATAAGGACATGATTTAAATGAGAAAAAATAACACGAAGTAGGAAGATTGAATAGAGAACATGATAAATTAAGCAGTAATTAAAGTGATTCCAGTAGGGGTCCTTTGGAAGCCAAAAGGAATAATTTGAAAAGATTGGCGGATGAAAAAGCTTATGAAAACGAATAAATGTAAAGAGAATGGATTAAAAAATAAACTTTTTTAGTTATGTAAAATAATAGATATAATAAATTGGAAGAAGAAGTTTCTTAATTAAAGACTAAATAGACTATTATGGAGTAAAAGAAAATGCGTTTGAATTAAAATTATAGATCTTATGAAAAAGAAATTAGGGATATTTAAAATGCTTTGAAAAACTTGAGAAATGACATGAATAAATTAAATGACGCTTTACACAGAAATAAGGAAAAATAGGCAAAATTGGATAATTAAAACTTCAATATTAATTCAGAATTCGAACAAAAGTTGAAAGAATTCGAAAAAGAATCTGTTAAATTAGAAGTCGAAATCGATAATTTGAAAGAAGAAAAAGCTGAATTATTGGCCGAAATTGTAGAATGTGAGAGGTAAATTCTTTTATGGGAAAGAAAAATTTAGCTTGAAAAAGAAATGCAAGATGCATTAGATCCTACAGTAGGATAAACTGAAATTTAAGAATTAAAGAAGGAAATTCATAGAATGGAATTGAGATTAGATGAATTCAGGAAAAAGTAGGAAACTATTATTGCAGAAATGGAAAGAACAGTTTATAAGAGAGAAACTATTTAATTGAAATATATGAATAAGGATAAAACTTTTAGTAGTATAGATAGTTAGAATAAATCAAAAAATGTAGACAATACAGCCTTAACTATTAAAAAACTTAATAGTTGAAAATTACGCTTAATTAAACTACCAAAAACTCAGAGTAAATGGATAAAACTATCAAATAAAAATAAAATGAAGTTTAAGAAGTAAATTTTATTATAATATAAATTTAAAATAATTTTTTTTATATATTAAATTTATATTTATTTTTAAATTATTAATAATTAATTATTTATTAGCTTAATAATTAAATTGAATCTGAAGGAAATAATTTATAAGAATTAGAAGCCGATACTTATGATATGGATATGAAATTGTGTATGTTAAAACTCGAAAAGAATTCAAATATATTCAAAATTAGTTATAAATAAGCTTAGTCCAAAAAATATGATGATTTAGTTAATAAAAATGCGAAATTAACTTATCCAGAATCATAATTAATAATGTATTTTTTATTTTGCTTATTTTATATTTTTTTTTTTAAATAGAAAATATTAAGAATAAAAAGAAATAAATAATAATATTTAATAATGTATCGAATAACTTTTATAAGAATATCCTTAATATTAGTAGGTTTTAGCACCATTAATAGAAGTTTAAAATTTTGAATAATGATATATCTTCAAAAATATTATAATGATTATAAATAAAATTTATGCTACAAAATAAAAAAGAACATATTATAAATGTTTATTTTATTTTTTTATAATTTCTATTTAAAATAAATTAATATTTATTTTAATTTATAATATAAACTTAGTTTACATTTAAAAATAGTTATTAACTTAATCATAAATACTTAATTAAAAAATAATTTTTTTAAAAAAATATATAATATTTTTAAATTTAAAAAACTAATTATATAATTTTAAATTATAATAAATAATAGGCATATATTTTTTTTCAATTTTAAAAAAATATTGAAAATAATTTGATTATTGCTTTAATTTAAAAGTTGTAATTTTTATTGTTTTTATATAAATTAAAAAAAAAAATATTTTAAATAGAAATATTATAATTTAAACATTTTATATAATATTTTCAAAATCGATAAATAGAAATACATAAAAAAAAACATAAATATATTTATGTAAATAAAAACATTAATAAATAAATAATTTTATTTATTTATATTTAATAATTGTTTATAAATTTAAATATATATATTTATTATTATATATTCATCTAAATTATTAATAAAATTTTAATTATGGAGATATATCTTTGAATATATGTGTTTATGTTTAAATTGTTTTAAAATCTACACTGCTACTAATGTTATTATTCTAACTTTAATATTAGGATAAATCTAAAGAATATTGAGTTTTAAAAACATTTGTTTGTAATGGATTATAATTTTAATTTAAGAATGGTCTATCGTTTTCTTTCAATTATTATATTTCTTAACATTATTATTAGAGAAACTAATATTTCTATTAGATTTATTAAATGAAAATTTTATTTTATTCTATTATATTAATATCACCTTTCTTTAAATTATTTTAATCAACATAGCTATTATTTTGGTAAATATTATTTTTATTGAATTATTACTTGTTTAACTGAATGCTTTATTGATTAATTTTTAAATTATCTACAATTTATTATTAATTATTATATATGTTATTCTGGATGTTATTTTAATGAATATTTACTTCTTTTTAAATATATATGTTTGGTTAGCTTTTAATCGAAATTTAATTATTTTAATAATTTGTATTATTATTACAAATATTTGGGTTATTATTTTCTGAATTTATTTATTTATTCATTATTTTAGAAAACTATTAAAAATCAATAGTAACTGATCTGTTATTTTTGAATTTATTCTTTGTAGCTGTATCTTCTTTTTTATATTATTAAAATTATTAAGTAGAAAATTCTTTTTCATTAGTTTATTAATATTACAAACTAGAAAAATCTTTAATTATAGTTTATTCAAATTATTAGGAAGGAATGTCTTTAGCTGAAATATTTTAATACAATTCCGAAACATTTTAAATTACTAAACTACTTGAAATCGACTTTTCTTTCAGATTTTAGATTATAGGTATGTCTTTTTTAGGTGTGAAAGTTGGTGTAGGCATAAAGGAAGCAGTGGGAATATTAAAATATTTATCATTTAAATTTTCATAAGAATATAAATTTCCAAACATTTTTGATTAGTCACTTTGTTAATTTTAACTGGAGAACTATTCAGAAATCTATCTTTTTATTTTTATAGTAGTTATTAAAGGGGAATCTTAAAAATTATGTTAGTTATTATTTTAAATACTAACTGCTGTTTTTTATTAATCCAAACTATCTTCATATTAATTGCTTAAAAAACTAGAAGTCTTTTCATTCAATTATTTTTCCTTATTATTAGTATTTTCTTCAGTAGAGACTCTTGTTTAGGAAGGCGAATTATATTAATTATTAGTTTAAATACTTTCTGTTTTTTGTATATATAGGGAGTTATCACTTTTTCGAATGAATTAATTTAAATATTTTTTTAATTGACTTTTATCATATTCAGAAATTTCTCTGATATTTTTTTCTTCGATTTTTTCTTCTGTTTTTTCTTCTTTTTTCACAATATTTTTGTCAGTCTCTATATTATCTTTTTCGCCTGTTTTGAAATAAATAGGAGTTTACGATCTTTTCAAATTATTATTTATATTAATGCTGATACTAGATTAACTCATCATATGAAAGCTTTATTATTTTCTTAAATTCTAATCAATATTATTATTATTTTTAAGATTTTCTTCAAACAATTTAAAAATCCATACGCTTATTTTTTCGACAAACTCAGGTTATCTATCTGCGTTATGGTTTCCATTCACATATTCAAGCCATTTTCTTCCATTATACCTATTATAAAGCTGTTCAGTGTGTTAACATTTGATAAAAGTATCTTCTTTGGAACAAATAAAAAAGCATGGGATATGCAGATTATGTATATTTTTTGTCAAATCAATACTTTTTATATCTAAATTGCATTTTTATTTAATTTATTCGCTTATAAAGCTTAAAGCTGTCTCTATTAAAATTGAAGGCATTCCTGTTTTCTATTTAGCTAAATCTTGTGCAAGAAATTTTAAATTTGCAAATCCACTATCAAATATTACACCTTTGATATTTCTCATAGAGCCTGGTTTGTTTAAATATTAAAAACATGTTACAGCGCCCATACTATTTATATTTATATTAAAAAAGTAAAAATTTCTTATTTTTTCTATACCTTCTTCCCCATAATATCATATTACTTACTTTTTCACTATTTTTTAAATATTAGATTATTAAATCTAAATCTTCACTTTCGTTTTTTCCTAAAGTTACGTATTCGCCTTCAGAAAGTCCACTTCCAGAAAAATCGAAACAAAATAAAGCTAGACCTTTAGATATTAATTAAGGTAGAAATCTAAGAGGTTCTAATCGAGATCCACTGTTACAATGACAATATATAACACAATTTATCTTTTTTAAAGGAAAATCATCATTACTCTAACTTAAAAGTAAAGGGTAAAATAAAGAACATTAAAGTTTTTATCCTTTTTTGTTAAGAATTATTATATCTTCTCTTTTTGATTTATATTATCCATATATTTGGTATGGATTTCCTTTTTTTTTATATATATTAAAAATGTTTAATTTTACCTAAATCTTGATTATTATATTCTTAGCGGGTTGGTCTAATAAACATCTTGTATAACTAACCGAATTGATTTATCATTATTTATATATAGTTTTTTATAATCTTAAAATAATATATATTTTTTTTGCTATTTATTTTTACAAAATGTTTTTTTTTTTAAAAATGTAAATTTAAATTATTAATTGTTATTTTTTAATAATTTTATTTATATAAATATATATTTATTATGAAATTTATATTAAATAGATTATTCTTAGTTTTTTATTCATTTAATTTTATTAATTATTTTATTTTTTTTGAAAGGTATAATTATCTCAATAATTATATTATTAAATTTTTAATCTTTTTTATTTTAACTTTTTTACAATTTTTTTTTTTAATTTTAATTTATAATAAATTCAAAGATTCATTTAATTAATAAAAAAATATTAATAAATAAAATAAAAATAAACATAATTTTTTTTTTAACAATTAAATAATATATTTATAATCATAAAAATATTGTTGAAAAACATTAAAACTGAATTGATTTTGATAAGCATTTGTTTATTTATATAAAAAATTAATTTTTCATTTATAAAAATAATAATAGCAATTTTATTTATTATTATTTTATTATCCTAAGTTAAATTATTTTATAAATACGAATACTTAATAATTATAAAATATTTTTTTATAATATAAATGAAAATTGCTAAAGAAAAGGTTGATACAATTTTAAAATTATTAATAATCGGAGACTCTACAGTGGGAAAAACATGTATTGCTTTAAGATTTTGTGATGATAAATTTTCATTATCACATACAAATACAGTTGGTATATAAAAAATTCTATGTTTTAAATAATATTATATATATATATAAATATTTGTCAAATTATTCAGATTTATTAATATATTAAGATAATATGTATTAATAGGAATCGATTTTTAGTTAAAATATTTAGAAATATAAGGAAAAAAAATAAAATTATAAATATGGGATACTGCTGGATAAGAAAAATACCGGACCATAACATAAAACTATTATAAAGGTGCTCACGGAATTTTATTAGTTTATTCAGTTCAAAATAAAAACTCTTTTTTGAATGTAGAAAATTGGTTATATAATATAAAAGAGCATAGCGATAATTAAAATGTATGTATATTTTTAGTTGGCAATAAATGTGATTCTAAAGAAGAAGAAAGATAGGTTACAAAATAAGATGGTGAAATTTTAGCAAAATAATATAATTTACCTTTTTTAGAAACTAGTGCTTTGAATAACATCAATATATATGAGTCTTTTATTTAATTGAGTAAAATGGGTATTGAGTAAATCGAACTTAATTAATAAAATTAAGAAAGTAAGCCGTTAAGTATTATTAATTTTAATGTTTTATAAGAGGGGTATTAAAAAAATACGAATAAAATTAATTTACAATCAAAATAATAAAAATAAAAGAAAAAATGTTGTAATTGATATATGAAAAAAAATATAAATTAATTATAAATTGTATTTTTCTCCCTTTTTAAAAAGTAAAAAAATTTTTTTTTTAAAAAAAATTCTAAAACTATATATATTAATAAATATTTAAATTTCATTTTTTTTTTTTTCCTTTTGATTTTTTCTTTCCTCCTCCTTATTCTTTCCATTCTATATATTCCTATTATATAAGTTTTAAAGCATTATCTATTCTTATAAGGTTTAGTTAATTTTCTTCTTTTTATTTAGCTTCTTTAATTTCTAATCTCTCAATTCTTTATCTTTCTTCTTCAATTTCTTCTTACCATTATCTGAGTTTAATTAATTCTTCTGTACACTTTTCCTTTTCTTTATTTAAAATTTCGATTTTTTCTTCTAATTTAAGTTTTAAAATTTGAGTTTTCTTCTCCCATTCGTCTGACGAAAGTCTTGCTTACTCTTCTTTTTTGACAAGAAAATCTTTTAATTCTTAAAACACCTAATTTTCAGTATCTATTTTATTTTATAAATTTTTAATTTAATCTTAAATATGCTTTTATTCTATGTCAAAAGTTCTAAAATCAGTCGATTCTTCTGAACGTTTTTCTTTTTCTCTATAAGAATTTTTAGCATATGCTCTATTTTTTTTATATAAAAGTTTTTCTTTAAATGTTTATATTTTTAAATTGATCTCAACTTATTCTTATTCATATTCCTTATTAATATATTTTAATTTCATATATTTATAAATAAATTACTTTAGTTTCATTTAATCTATCTACTTATAACTATTTTATATCATTACAAAGCTCTTTTTCCATTTATATTAATTTCCTTAATTTGTCTTATTCTTCTAGTTCTTATGTGGTCATATTAAAAAATTTATGTATGCTTCCATTTTGCACCATTTGAATTAAAAGTTCTATCATTTTCATAAATTCTCTCCTATCTCTTTATACTTTGGCTGAATCGCTTTCTATGTCGGGGTTTTCTTTAAATAACCTACATAATTTTTTTGTGCTTTCTTTTAAATTTGAAGCTACTTCCACAATTTTATCTTTTTATTTTTTTATTTATATTAAAATAATAGTTTTTAACTTTGGATTTCTATAAGTTATTTTTTATTTTGAATTCCTGTAAGAGATGTACGAATTTAAACTAATTATGCGTATTCTTTTTCAAGTTATTTTTATTTTTTTAATAATTTCGATATTTCATATCCGGCAAGTTCGGATGATAAATCGTCTTAAGGAAGAACTGATTATAAAAATGAAAGAGTTTCAGATGATTCCTTAAGGATTATCTAAAGCTTATGTGAATCGATTATATTCATATATAAGTTTTGTTTTTAATAATATTAATTAATTTTATTTTAAAAAAAAGTATTTTTATTTAATAATTTATTAACGATAAAAAAAATTAAAATATTTTAATTAATTATATATTAAAGTAATTTTTTAATGATAAATTAAAAAGCAATAAAATAATGTAATTACCATTATATTTTTGTAAATTAATTAAAGTAAAAAATATAATAAATAATTTTAATAATTATTACACTTTATATTATGCCATGCCAATATAAAACAAAATAGTTAAAATATTTATTAAATTAAATCTTATATTTTTTTAAAAATAAAGATAAATTACAATAAAATATAAAAGCTAAAAATAATTTATAAATTGTAATTGCTTTATAAAATTTTTAAATAAAATTATATAATTTTTAATAAATACATAATGCATAAAATTAATAAATAATTAAAGAAAATATATTTTATATTTATAATTTTTATATTTTTTTTTTTCATATTTTTAAATATAAATCTTTTTACACAATAAAAATAAATAGGTTTTAAATTTTAAAATAATGAAAAATCATATTCCAATAATCATAAAAGCCTTCATATTTACAACATTATTAATATTTTATATAACATTCAACTATTCAAACCCACAATAATAATTAATGAGTTCTAAAGGAATTCCAGAAAAATTATTCGGTTCATATGTATTTATTTACGATGGAATATACGATTAAACAAAATAATTAAAAGGAGGCATTCCTAAATGGTTAATTTAAAATGGTGGAAATATTGCTATTTTATCATTTTTAGATCCTTTAGAATTAGAAGTTTCAACGAATCTTCCTCAAGAATTTTTAGATTCTTTAGCCCAAATATCAGTCTAAAGAAAGGACAACTTTTACGTAATGCTTTCTATTGGTGGTTGGGATTTTTAAAATAGATTTTTATAGGCAAATCCAACAAAAGTAGCCCAAAATGCAGCTTATATTGCCTAAAAATACAATATAGGAATTGAACTAGATTCCGAATCTGATAATACCAAAAATTGGATAAATGAATTTATATAGACCTTTAGAAAAATAATTCCTAAAAATAATAATAATTAAATGTCCTCTGTATTAACAATTAATACTGGGGCGTCTCCAGGAGCTTTCCCTAACGTAGAGTAAGCAGCTTTAGACAATATTGAATTACTAAACTGGGTTAATGTAATGGTATATGACCCTGAATAATCCCCCGACAACAGAATGTATTGGAATTAACATAAACTTTAGGGAAATTAAATGACAGTAGCAAGAAATTTGGTTAATACTTGTGAAGATTTAGCAAGTTTAGAGTAGACTCTACAATATAAAAAAAATTAACAAGATGTTAAAGGTATACTTTTTTGGGCTGCACTTTCTCCAAATACATGTGATTTAGCTTAGGAAGGAGCTTAAAATTGTGGAACTAGTTGCAGAGATTGTACTGGAGGGATTGGAAGTAAAGGAAATTGGCAATGTAGGGCGATCTAGGAGGCTTGTAAGAGTTTTGGGGTTTGTTGAGTTTTACTTATTATATTATTATTCTTTTTTTAAAAAAATAAATGAAATATTTTTTTATATTATTGTTATAATTTTTTTTTTTTTTTTGTAAAATTTTTATTTTTAAATTATTCTTTTAGAAAATATTTAATATTTATTTTTGAATTTTTAGATATATAAATACAAATTTATAAAATAGAGTTAATAAAATACTTATAATAATAAATATAAATATATTTATTTTACGTTTTTATTATATTAAAAAAATATAAGAAAAAAAATACTAAATATAATTTTAATTAACAAAAAAATAACTTTTATTGATTTATATAATAATGTAATCGAATTTAAATCTTCAAGAACAGAAATAGACTGAATTAATAGATTATTTTTCAGCATTACAAAAGCTAAAAGCATTAGAAAGTAACCTTTTAAATTAAAACGAATAAAGTTTATTAAACGAACTAGAAAGTAAATTAAATATTATAAAGTAATACGATAAATAAGAATAAGAAATTTAAGAAAAAAGAAATAAATTAAATTACAATGTATAAAAAAATTTAATTAAAAATATAAAAAGCTTAAACAATATTAGTTCATCAAAATAGAATTACTAAAATCTTTATTAAAATAATATTACTTTAAAAAAAAAAAATAACATTTAAAAATAATAATAATAATTTGCATGGCATAAACATTAAAGTTTCACTTTTCACCCATAAATAAATAAAAATTCTTAAAAACTTGCAAATAGAGATTCTAATGAGAAAAATTATTCTGTAAAATATTTATATTAGGATTTTATAGACCGAAAAAGCAAACAAACTGAAAAAATAACAAACATTTAAAACGAAATTCAAGAAAAAATGTAAAAATCGAAAATAACAAATAAAAGTTAACAAATCGTCCTTAAAAAAATTGAAGAAATTCTTTCTTAAATCATTGAATTTTCTGATTAAGGAGAATACATTTCTTACCCTAATTTTGGTTTACTTTTTTCTAATGTTAACATTTTTAAATGCATATAGTTCAAAAAAGACTAAGATTAAACCTCTTTATTTTTACACGATAGAAATACTATAGACCTTAATAGAATGGCTAAAGAAATGAAATTTCACGAATAATCCTATAGAATTTTATCATTAAATCACTAAAATGGGGTTTCTAAGAAATTAGCTTTTAACGTCTTAATGATTTTATTCGAAAATAAATTAACTAATGCATAAGCTGAAAGCTAACTTAAGGAAGCTATTTATTAATAATTAGAAATCTAATAGTTAGTTGAAGATAATAAGTAATTAAATAAAATATAAAAAATTGATATTGTAACATAATTTATTAATGAAAAACTTTAAGTATAAGAAGGTATATTTTTTATTTTTCTTTAAATTATATTATATATAGGATTATCAAGTGGAGAAAATTGGAATTTGGAATAATTAATTCTTAATTTTCGACGTTTAAACGATGATAAAATAAACTTAATGGAATGGTATAAAAACAAAGGCAGCATTTTTAAAGGAATGCATAGTTATTCTTCTGAAAAATTTATGATGAATAATAATTCTTAATAAACTAATAATAATGAGTTAAAGTTTCATCCTAATATTAACAAATATTCGATTATTTTAGATTAAACATAAATTACATAAAGTAGTAATAGATTTGAAAAACTTTATTAAAATTCAAAAAGTTTAGAATAAAAAAAAAAGTAGCTTCAGGAATAAATAGAATAAGAAGAAAAATAAGTATGTACTTTTAAACCTTAAATAAACGAAAAAAGTTAAATAATTACAAATGCAAATTAAACTAATAATGTTTCTGTATATGAAAAATTACATGAAAAGCATAAATAATAAATTTAAGAAATTCAAGAGGCAAAATAAAAAATTGACAATTTAAAAATGTAATTAGAGGCAGAAGAATGCACTTTTAAACCTCAAATAAACTACGAACTATAATTCGATAAGGAGTACACAGTTTTAGGGATTAAAGGAGCCAAAGATTTAATGGAAAGAATGTATAAAGCACGGGAGATTTAGAATGAAAAAGAGAGTTTTTTTGAAAGAAAAAGACTGTCTTTGAGTTAAAAAATGCTTCGCTTTACTGAGCCTATGCCATTTTCCTTTAATTAGAATAATAGTATGTCTAATAATATGAGTAAAATTAAAGACAGGTAAGTTATAGGAAATGTTGATGTCAATTTTTCAAAAGGAAAAAAGGGAACGATTATTATTCATTAAGGGGATAATCCTGAATAACTAGCTAATAATTTTTGCAAAATATATTCGCTAAATGATGATATGAGGAATACTTTGAAATAACTACTAATTGATTACATAAATAATTTAATGAATTATAATAGTTTGTAGGAGTAAAATTATAAATCATGCAATTAAAGTTAAACATTATAAGAAGAATAAGAAGGATAAGAAGGATAAGAAGGACAGGAAGGACAGGAAGGATAAGAAGGATATGAAGGATATGAAGGATATAAAGGATATGAAGGATACGAAGGATACGAAGGATACGAAGGATACGAAGGATACGAAGGAAATGAAGATTTGGGAATTTAAGTTAATGATAAAAGCTATGAATATTAAATTTGAGAATTATTATTAATTATTGAATATATTACATTTATTCTTATTATAAAATATTTTTATTTTATTATATTAAATAATTTAAAAAATGTTCTTCTTAAGACTTTTTGCAAATTCTTTTCTATAATATTTGAAACTTTTTTAATTATTTTACTAATATATTTTTTAAAAAGTCCTTTGTAATTTATTCATAATATTTAATAATGAAAAGTAAAACTATAATTATAAGTATATAAAAAAATACAATTAATTATATTTATTCTAAAAAAAAAATTAAATTAGAATTTTAATTCTTTTAAGTTCTTCTATTTTATCTTGCATTCTAATTAATTTTTTTATTTAATAATTAATTACTTTGACAAATAAAATAGTTTAACCCTCTTTTTTTAATTAATAAGAAATTTCAAATTATATATTTATATAAGAAAATTAAATATTATATTGATATATTAAATATGAATCTATTTTATTTTTCTCAAAATTTTATTAAATAATAATTTCTGTTTAATTCATTAATTTCTATTGATAAAATTTCCTAAGTTAGTACATTTATTAAACATATTTTAATTGCTTTAGTCTAGCTTTATAAAGTCTGTTATTATTTTTTACTTATTTTATAATTAATATATTTAATGAGAAATTGCTTTTACAGTAAAAAGTAGATTTAAAAAATAGAATAAATTTTTCATTATTATAAACAAAGATAAAAAAATATACGAATAAATAATAAAAAAAATATAAATATAAATAAAAAAATAAAAACAAAAACAATATAATAAATTTTTATAAATTAATAAAATTTAATAAAAATTTATATATTAGTTAAATATATTTAATTTAATATTTATATAAAAATGAATTATGATTTTGAATAAAATTAAGAAATTTAAGAAAATCAATAATTAACGAACTTATTTTAAGATGAATAATAAAACAAAGCATATTTAAAACAATAAGAATTATAAAATATAATTGAAGACTTGAAATATTAATTAAAAGCCAAAAATGATAAGAATGAGCAAAAATTAAATTTAATTATTTAATAAAATCAATAAATACTAGATAAAAGCGATTTTTTATAAGATGAGAATTCCCGAAACTAAAAAGAGGTACAATTATTGATTTAAATTAATAATTTTAAGGAGTTAATAAGTTAGTTATAGGAAAAAATTGCAGAATAATAATAAAAAGAGGTCAAATTAGAGTCTTATATAAAAGATTTATATAATCTAATAATTTAAAATCGAGAAATGTATTATAAAGAAAGAGAAATTTTAGAAAAAAATTTCGAATAAAATAAAATAGCAATATATTAGTAAAATAATTTATAAATAGAAGAATTTGAATAAATTATAACCGAAAAAAATAACCATATATAAATTTCGGCTTTAGAAATTAATTAACTTTAAGAAAAACTTAAATTTTTAAACGAAAAAAATATTATTCTAAAAGAAGAATACTAAAAAAAAATCGAAAAAGAGATAATATAAATAATATAACAGGAAAAGCTAAAATCTGAAAATGAAATTAATAATATGAAAGGCATATTTGAAACTTAATTTTAACTTTTTATTGAAAGAATATAGTATTTAGAAACAGAAGTGAGTATTTTAAGAAAAAAAAATGACGAAATAAAATTGGAATATGAATGCATTTTTTAATAAAAAAAAATAAAGAAATTAATATAATATAATAATAAAAAAGTGATTAATAATTATAACAAAATAAATAAAAATTAACTCATTCCTATATATGTGATTCTGTTTTAAGAAAAAAATAAAAATTGAGTTGTTTTATAAGTAATAAAGAAAATGGAATTTATTAAAAATAAAAGAATGATATAAAAAGTACTGAGGATTAAAATAGGATTTAAAGTCTTTTTTAAAATTTAATTGAAAGAAAAAGTTTTAATTTTAATTAAAATGATAAATTTTCCAAATTCTAAACATAAAATAATATATGCTTTATGTAAAACCTATTAAAAAGATAAAATGTAGGATTTACTGAGCAAAAAAAATCATATTTATTATAAAATGAGAAATTTTAAAATAAAATTAAAGAATTTGATGGTGTTTTAAAAGATTCAACATATATAAATATTTAGAAAACTAAAAATGAAGAAAATTGTTAGAATAAATTATAAAGAAGTGTTACAGATAATAAATAAATAATTAAGAAATACAATTCAATTAATAGTATTAAGTATTGATGATAAATCTAAATTATTATTTTAAAAATATATATTATAAAAGTTCTAAAAACAATATTTATTTAATTAAATTATATAAAAAATGAAATATACATAATTTATTAATAAAAAATTTATTATTTAATTTCTTAAAAATTTAAGTTTTATTATTTTTAAAATATTAAAAAACAATTCAAAAATTTACATTAATTATTTTTAAATTTAATATA